GATACCAAGATAGCACATATAAATCATTTTATAGATAACCGTGGGACATACGCGCGAGTCGTAGAGCAATAATTATTACATTGCAGTCTATAATTATTATATTTAGTCCATTCAATGCTAGCAATAGGTCGCGGATTCGATTAATGTTGCAGGTTTTGCAAATTGACTTTTCTAAAACTTTTAGACATCACACTGTAACGGGTTAACGCGATATATATTAGTTAAACTTATTGGAAAATAATTTTAACTAAGGCCCGACACTTCGGATGCTTTGCAGCGCCGTGGTCACGGGAAGACTGTCTTTTTGTGACCACGGCTCCTTCGAAATAATTTTAACTAATATGTGTACTACTCGCGTGAACTGCAGACAGTATTTTTCTATATATGCTCTTTTTGTTACATATGTATGTTATGCATTTGGATTTCAAATATTAGGTGTCTAGTTCAACACTCAATTCATAAGGAATATATCCTGGGAAACGGCAGAACTTGAATCGACAACCACAGCGTTCCGTGCTGTTACTCTAACCAATAGAGCTACACGTCAGCGACGTATTTATAAAAACGTTAGCTGTGGAAGCAAGTTCTAGTCATGCCCGCGTCGTAAATTTAGTCCAACTAAAATCTATTTTTCATTTACGTGAAAGTAGTTACGAAAATAACTTTGTTGAGATAAAATTTTATTAAAATCGGTCAAGCCGTTTAAGCGTAAATTTAATATTAAGTATTTATCGATCGTTTCAAGCGTAAAAGAAATGACTCGAACCTGCGATACAGAGTGTCGTAATACCCTTCCGTAACGAACGGTACGATCAGTATCGCGGTCGCGGACAGTTCTGTGTTATATAGTATAAATGAATCACCCTGTATACGGCCTTTACATAACATCACTAAGTCAACAGCACAAGCGCTCAAAAGACACGCTTCAATTGCGGTTTACAAAGGAATTAGTTAAGACGGAACTCACTGTTATTAGTTCAACTGTTTCAAACCCAGAGGTACACAAGACTTCTCACACTAGTCGAGATATGGGTCACTTTTGTATTTATTAACTACTGCACCCGCGACTCCGTCCACGTGGAATAGTTATTTTGTTATATACATCAAATTTTGTTTGTGCAAACTCCTCAGCTTTAAATTTTTATTTTTTACACAACGTCGTCCACTTCTTGTACAGCATTTTTTTAGATCATTTAAAGAAAAATGATTCTTTCACATATAGTTTTATTTTTCGTTGCTTTTCCCCTTTGAAGTGCACGCATCGGAAGCTCTCAAAGATGAATAATTTTCCCCGTTATTTCTACATTTTCCTCTGCTTTCCTTGAAAATTAGTTTTTTTTTTCAATTACAATCAGATCTTTTTCTCTTTGTTCTCGTCCTTGAGGTTAGCACGTTGAAACAGACGAACTCATCAGATTTTTAATATTAGTGTAGATTATTATTTACTGATGTGTCGACTCTCGCACAAGGTGTTCCGTACAATTTACTATTTAGCCGTCTTTACCTTTAATAAAATGCTATTTTAATTATATTTTTTACAATAGTAGGTACTTTTTATGTAGCGACATAGTAGAAATGACATGTAGACTTGTAGTGTTTTATGTGCTTCAAGAAGTTAAAGTGTTCTCGATGTAATTGTACGTCACTTCCGATGGTGTACCTTAGCAATTGTTAATGTAATATCTAGTAGTACTAAACTGGAATTACCTAATCACCAGTGCGATTATGCTAAGATAATAGGGGAGTGATTGATTGCGCGCGCGTCGACTTTCGGTGACCTTGAGTTGCTTGCGAGCGAGACGGATGTAGCGCGTGAGAGCGAGACGGCATAACGCTCGCGCAACGTGGTCGGAGCACGTGGTTTTTAGGTTATATTCGTTTCGTGTGCGATTGCGTAATTTTATAACGTGGCTGTTGTGTCTCTTTCTTGCCTATGTGTGATGTCGGTGGGTTAGATAGGGATAGAGTTATGTAGGACACGTTTGAATACGTGGGTCCCCGTTGATGATATTTTTTTTTAATAGACTTATTATTCAGTAAAGATCGCTAGTACGCAAGTGAGGTATTTTTTGTAATAAATGTCTATGTGAGAATTTCACGTCGGCTTAAATAATTATGAAGATACGTCATGTATTTAAATCGTCGGGAATTGTGGAATACAATATTCGATAATCTGCGTCTGCCCATGTCTGATTTTGCCCGACTCTGCCCTAGTTATCATTAATTAATGAGCCATTATCCACATTCATTAGAAAGTTTCTTTGTCCACCCAAAGAACCCTTTGCTGAAAGTAGCATAGGACTAATAACGATAAAACGCTACACGAAAGGACATAATATGTCAGCAACATTTTTGTACCTGTTAACCTCCTGTACACTTTTTTAACGATAGAGGGCAGAGAGGCGCGGGTTTCTCTGATGGAAGGAAAGGTGAAATACTCCAACCATGTAACATTTAAAACAATGTGTGTCGGACAATTTTTGCTTTGGACATTGAGGGGAACAGGTTGAAACCGTAATGCTTAAACTCCGCTTTCCATCTGCGTACGTAAGCTGGACGGAATTTTCGACATTCCTAACATCCATTTAATGTCCAGATCCTCCACGAAGTCCTGCATGCTTGTAAAGTGTTTAGAAACATATTGCTCCCGATGGGAATCGAACCCAAGACCCGTATTAGCCAAACATTACTACTAGTTGATCAACGAGCCCGTGAACCGGTAGTACCTCTTACTCTCAATGCAATGTACAAATAAATTACTAGCTAATTTAACCACTGAGCTATAGAGGCGACTATAATAACATTGAAAACAATTATCGTTTTTGTCATACTAGCGTACAAACAGTCGATAAAAATTTGTAACGACCTTCGTTTCGAACACGCTCAATACTATTTATCTATAAATTCTATACTAACATTATAAAGCTGTGGTGTATGTTTGTTTGTTTCAACTCGGGAACTACTGGTTTTAATTGAAAAATTGTTTGAGATACTTTCTAATCTCTTCTTCTAAAAGAATTGACTTAATAGGTATTTGACAAAAGAAACCTCCAAAGCGAAGCAGTACACACTTAAATAAAACACTTTTAACGGTTTATAGCGCGAATTATATTAAGTCAAGACATATTAGTGATAGTAGTTAGAAGATGGGGTTTCGAAGATCAAGGGTTGTCCCTAACGTCAAAATTAGTGACAGCCCCCAATCTTCAAGTCCCCCCCCCCCCTGACACTAGGGTTGCTGCAAAGCATCCGAAACGTCGGGCTGTAGTTAAAATAAATAGTTGATACATTAACTAATATATAGCGTTATATAGATATAGTGTTTTATTTAAATAACGCTAAAGCCGTAAGGCCTAGCCAGTCTTAATATAACATAAGTTATTCATGTGACATATAAGTTATGCAAATGATTTGACATTTTAAGCGTTCAGGAAGACATTAAGAGATTTCGATTTCGTTCGGAGCTTGTTTTATAGAGGTGGATTCACTTCATGTTGGTATTTTTAAATGGTACCAGAGGCGCGCGGTTCTAATTGTGGTAAAAGGAGCGAGAGAAGGGGGGCAAAGTTAGGTTTATAAATAGGAATAATTATGTTTGTTGAGACGCTATACTCAGCTGTTTGTTTTAATAACTTGAGCTATATGTGGACTTTCATTTCCACATATAGCTCAAGTTGTCTAGCCGTGTTTTTGAAAAATACTTTTGCCATTAACATTTTATTTAATAACGAATTCAAATACAATTAAATAGGTCACTATGAGCCAACTTTAAAATTATCGTTTTTATATTTATTAGAAAGACTGTGTAAATTATAAATAAAAAACATACCTGTATTTTGATACGATCCGTTTCGAATACTTTGCAGCAGACGTAAAGGAGAGGGCCTAGGGGGATATAATTAAATCGATTATTAAAATAAATTTGATTTTATAGGCGTACTTTGAAAATCAATTATTTAGGACTAGACTTTTCGAAGCGGTCTAGTTGTTATTGAGTTTAGCGCACACAAACACAAAAATAACGATTAATGAATGTATTGTTTAGATAACTAACCACTGAGGTAGTGTTGTATATTTTTGAACTATAAAAAAACACCTGTAACTGAGTTACTCGTAAATAAATATGCATCACTTTTAACGCCAGTGTCAAATCAGTGCGAGTGAAAATATGTGTCACTAATCGATCCAGTGAATAGTGTTTGTGATTATGACGGCCGGTGTGGCCACGAAACGGAAGTCGCGGGCCAGGAAAAGTTGGGCGAGAATCGAGAGCGATGCGCAGGTGAATTGGCGCTTTTAAAACACTTTACTTTAAACACACTTCTTTGAAATTTTACGCAATAGTATATTTTAAATACGCATTTAATACATATTATATTTAAACCACTTTAAACGGTTTGAAACAGGAAAATTTGTGGTTTATTTTTGTCTGTGATTAAGTGCTGTGCTTTGAAGGGACTATGACGTTCCGTAGCCATTAAAGGTTACGTTAAGTTTTATTTATTCATAATTGTACAGCCAGAGTACAGTGGTTAAAGAAGGTGAAAAATAATGAGACTGTCTGGCCACAAGAATTTGCTTTTTCTGATCTTTGTCGGCAGAGTGTCGACTAGTTGAGGTAGTTTACGTGGATTGTATTGTGATGACACTTTTTTGAACGGTTTAAAACGCGAAATGTATTGGTTAAATTTTTGAAATACGGCTCGACGTTCCGAAAGCTTTGCAGCAGCCGTGAAATACTAAAACTTTTCGCGTTTTAAACCGTAAGTGTTTTATTAGATATTACAGACTATTTAATTAATAAATAATAAAATTATTTAAACTACAGACAGTACTCAGTAGTAGATATAGATTTGTAAAGTTGATTAGCGAGTTTATATAAAATGCCCGTTTCCAATAATTCATAACATTACTTTTGGGGTTTTTTACCCCCCCCCCCCCCGGGCCCCCCCGCTTTGGTCACGCAGGATATATTTTTATATTAAGTATTTTGTTTACAGGCTTCTGACTTCACTGACATCGGCGATTGGCCCACATTAGGTGCAGCTGTAGCAGCCAGGTGTCACTCCACGCCCCCACCCCACGATGCTGATCCAGCGCATCACAACGGGAACGCGGTGAGTTTCATGTACTAATAATTTAGCGCAAAGGTTGAACACTTCTAGCATTTAGCAGTGCGAGGAGATCCTAGGTTTAAAATTATGGGGATACGATTAATAAATTTGATCAACTACTGTCAATAATATTAATTAGTAAAGTACACGTATATATTTGTTTGGCCCCATGTCCCACAGGGGAAAAAGGGATTTTACATTTTTAGATTCGTTCCAAGGTCAAGTACTTCTTTCAACCTAATGTTACAAAGTTTCAATGCCCCATAGCGGGGCTCCTCCTTCTTACGAGGTTTTAGCATCAAGACCCACCACGCTGCTCTAGTGCGGGTTGGCCTAACGTTACAGTCACTTAATTAGTAGCCCAAAGTAAAGTGTGATAATTGTAAAAATGACGTTAATCGATCGAAAACGGCACCCATCTACTAAAAATATTATATTGTAATAAATATGATATAAAAATTAACCTTATATCTAGTGTCATGTCAACCTGTACGATAGCGTCATACTCATACTTGGTCATGTGTCGCGATTTCAGGATCAGGAACGAAAACCGCCCGAGGAGCCAAAACCGGAGAAGGTGGAGCAGCACAACCACCAGCCGCAGAACGATAAGCACGCACACGTCGACAAGAATAAGAACTCGGGTGAGACTTGTTTAATTATTAAAGAGCTAAGACCTTTTTATGATAGAGGAAGAAGGTCAGACAGAGTGAAGGGTTCACTCGATGGTAGTACTTTAGCCACATAACATCTACACAAGACGCGCTTTTGACCTGTTTTAGCTTTGGATATTCGGAAATCTACAAACCTCGAAATGTGATTAAACTTGGCAGTTTTTTTCAACCGGTGGGTCGTGACCCAGACGGAATTTCGATATTTCTACCGCCTATTTAATATTCAGATTTCCAGATCAAGTCTAACATGTTGCAGAAACATTATAAAATAATTTGAAAAATCTTACACCCGGTGGGGATTCAACCCACGACTCGTTGATTATTAGCCCTCGCTACAGAACTGTCAAACTGACTATAATGACTGGGTAGTCTGAAATCGAAACGCGATTAAACTTTACTTAACGTCTAACACGACGCTAAAACTCTTCCAGGAGGTGGCAAGGGTGGTAACAAATCGGGGAAGCACAAATGGGTCCCGCTGGACATCGACGTGAAAGCGGCGAGGCCCGGCAAACATGCCCAGCACAGCGTCAGGCAGGATCATGGTATGTTCACACCCACGATAACCTATAATGCTAAACCTGGACAATCGAGTACTAATACTTATTATTAAAAACCCGGACCTTAAAAATGCAAATCCAACGAAATATTAATATAATCCAATAATATATAAAAGTAGTAAAGTAGTGACTTTATGGGTAATATTTCCACAGACACCGTGTCCCTAAATGGCGAGGATAGCCGCGGTCGCGGAGCCCTCAGGGGGCGTGGGGCGATGCGCGGGGGCCGGGGTGCCCGTCGCCCCGGACCCAGGCCGGCATCGGTTCACTCACACCCCCATCCGTTATACCACCACCCGGATTATCCGCACCACGAAATGCCCCAGGTAAATTAGTTTTCCACTGCTGGGATTCGGTAAAAAGCTTGATTTACCATGTGGGTCATATCCAATTGATATATTATGTTCCACAATAGCAAAGGATTATTATAATATTGTTAAAAATCGATTTTAGATGAAAAAAGATATGACAGTACTTGAGCCGTGTCGTAAATTTTTTTTAATATAATAAATTCGATTTCGCACACTATTCCAATCAAATATTCACCAGTCAAGGTAACGGACACTGAAATATGTTCGCCCCATACCCCACAGGGGGGATTTAAATTTTTATATAGTTATATAAATTATGGGGCAAGATATGTTGGCTGAGTGTATCTTGTCCCTGGTATAATTATTTTGTGGAAAAATAATTATACCAGAAGATATGCTATTTTCCTGGGTTTCACCATCATTTTGATATATATATGCTGTTTTATTATTGGTGTTTTGGGACTTAAATTTGAGAAAATCGTAAATGTATGTTATAAGGTATTTGAAATATGGTCTTAGATGCCGAGTTTGATTATAAACATACTTTTTAACATTTTCATTTAAAGAAAAACGAAAACGTAAGTAGGAGCTGTCACAAAATTTGGGTTTTCGAAGTATTAAGCTGTCATAATTTGGAATTATCACTTGATGGCACTTTTTGAAAACGTTGAAAGCCCTAAAAAGTTAAGGAGTGTACTTTTTTTGAGTATTTTACACAATGAGAAGCTATATGTTAAATTAAATTAACTCTAGTAATAAAAAGGTTATTTTAATTTTATGTATTTATTTCGTCATTATTTCAAGTTATCTGGTGTGGGTTCATTTCAAATTAATTGTCATTTCTTTATGGGATATAAAAATTATAAAACAGTCATTAAGACTGGTTATTATATCATTCTTATTCTTGTATATTTATAATATGTTTGGCTTCTATATATATCTGGTTTGATACTCGGGCTGTGTGTTACAATACAAGAAAATAATAAAAAAGATGTGATACAACTTTGAAGTTAATTAGATTATCAACCCTTAGTATACAAAATAATGTTTAATCCTCAATTTTAATTATTTAAAATGAAATAATTTATTTGGAAAAAAATAACAATGCAATTTTTTGATCTTGTATTTATATAAGCATAAATAAAAATAAAAGTTCTCAATTAATTAAGGAAATTAAAATTACATCAATTTAAAAGTTACCTCTTTGTTAAATTTAAAAACAAAGTGATCACGATGTTGTCTCTATAAGTGAACAAATCAATTTGTCACTAAAAATACTACAATACCTTATAATAACATCCAAGACCGAAAACAACCGTCCCAGTCAGTAGTAGGGCCAGCCCCCCACCACACACAGCCCGAGTGGGTGAACTAACATCATCAACCCCCCCAATCCCCCCCGCTAGCTGCGAGTCGCTCAGCCGGCGATGCCGCAGGGGCTCGTGCTGCACTACGGGCTGGGAGCGCTCGGACCGCCGCAGGCCTTGGCGCCAGGGGCGCTAACCCCCACAATGGCGCCGCCGTTGGCCCAGGCGTACTACTTCGGAGGATCCACTACGACCGCTGCCCCCTACGGCATAGGGCTCGACCCGGTCACGCTGAAGGATCTCATAAAGAAGCAGATGTGAGTATTCACTTCTTAACAAATTTGGCAAGGTAGGTAGTATCTCGGGAAAAGTTTAATAATAATTGTTGCGGTCGAGTAGGGCACATCATCCCCTCTTGTTCGTTGTGTGCGAGGTTTTATTTTGCTGTTGGAGAGGATAGATACGCATACACACACAGCTTGAGTGTACTAAAAACATCAAATCTATAAAAAATTTAATGTAATGTTTTTTATGTTACTTACTGTTACAATACAATCTCTCTGTAAATATATGTGAACTTAGATCATGATGTTACCTGATAAATAGTTATTTTTAATGTAATTACACCACGAACCTGTCAAGTTATATTCCACTTTACCTCACCAGGAATCTATTGGGTACACCGATAGAAGGCCTATTTTCCCATTTTTCCCCCCCCCCCGCTTGACCTTCCGGTTTCCGTATTTTATTATTTCATATTATCTTCTCGTTATTTTGACAGTCAACATTTGGGAGTCATACACAAGTCCCCCTAACACAAATTGCGAATGTCGTGTGTTTATTTTATAATAACACGTCTCATTCAATCCGCAGCGAGTACTACTTCAGCCCGGACAACCTTGCGCGCGACTTCTTCCTGCGCCGCAAGATGTCATCGGACGGCACCATACCGGTGACGCTAATCGCCTCATTCCACCGCGTGCGTGCGCTCACCGCTGATGTGCAGCTGGTGTTGGACGCGATACGCGACTCAGATAAGCTACAGCTGATACAGGGATTCAAGGTTAGCATGTTCCGACAATACTTTACACACCTTTTACACATTCTTATTTCATCAAGGTAAACTTACAGCTAATTAAACTGGAATATACAGTACAGTAAGCAAATTTTCACAAATAGACAGAAAAAGTACCGTAAACAATTAAAACAATAAAAAAATGTGTGTGTATATCTGTGTATACACACACAACATATTTTTCTTTTGTGTATTCGGTTACACATATAATACGTTTCCACCAACACAATATTAAAGTAAAGCCATACATTGCTTCCATAAACTCGATATTTTAAGTGTTATACCTTTAAAATAAAATACTTTTAACGGTTCACAACGCGAAAAATTAGGAAATATCATCATTAATTCAAATTGTTTTATGCATAGGTGTTATACTGAAGAGACAATAGTACTTGCAGAGACCACGAGTTACCATTATTCTCTGGTTTCATCCTTACATTAAATTAAATTCCAAAAACCTAAATCACCCTAGTTTCGCATTAACAAATAACACAGCACTGAATTGTTTAAAAGGAAGACAGATCGACTATTCAATCGAGAAGTCGAAGTGAGGAGCGCTTATATACACGCGTTATCACTACTTATTCCTTCCTTGATGACGTCATCTCAGCATTGCTCTCACAATAAATTATTGATTCTCATTTTCAGGTGCGTACTGCGATCGAACCTATGAAATGGGTGCTTTCCGACTTAGCCCTGAGCGCGACCGAAGAAGCGGAGAGAAATGAACGAATGGAAAGAGCCGATGTAGACTCGGACAAATCCCAGAAAACCGACACGACCGGACAGGACGCGACCCCGGATAACCCAAACTCGTACCAAGAAATTGCGCACGCGAACCCGGATCAAATAACCGCGGTTAACGAAAACCCGGATCAAATAATCCCGGTTAATGCAAACCCGGATCAAAGTACTGCTGATAACGCAATACAGGGAAATGAAAGCGCCCATAACGCGAGCCCGGATTTAAAAATTGTTAATGCAATCTCGGATAACTCGAACCCGGGTAACGAAACTGCTGATAAAGAGGAGAGTGAGGATTTTCGCGGTGAGCGGATAGAAGACCCGCCGAGGATAGAACAGTGTGACTTGGATGTCACCACGCAGGTAGTCATCGCTTCTGTACTTCCATTGACTAATATTTTGCATTTATTTAGACTATGTGTAAAACAAAAAAAAACAGTTTCAAACTGTATTTGAAAATGCCATTTCCCGAAATATTTAACGGTTTAAAACGTGACATGTATTAGTAATATTTTTATTTTATTTACTTTAATTACGATCCGACGTTTTGAATACTTTCCGTGATCACATGGGGAGTTAATGTTAGAAAAAACTTTATATTATTATATATTTGCAAATCTTTTAAAGTGTGAATTTTTAATTAATTGATTAAAAACTTTATATTACACGTCGACAGGAGCTTAGTTTTTTAGTATTGTTTAAAATACAGAACTTACAAAGTTAGTATTCGCTTATTTATAATGTAAATACATTTCTATATAGAAAACTATCCAAGAGACGACGACTGCGCGGCAATCCGCTAGCGAAAAACCACAGGAAAAAGAGATTGAAAGTAGCGAGGCAAGAGAAGAGGCGAAGAGCGAGTTGAGAAGTGAAAAGTCAGAGTCCAATGATGATCCTCCGCTGCAGTCCGATGGATCTGAGAAGACAGGCGAGAAACGGTAAGTCTGGTGGGGGAGGTGGAGGGGGTGATTCTCCATTAAGTGACATAAGTATACTGTTTAGTGGCTTCTGAAAAGAAGCACTCAGCTACATGAGTACCAAACTCATGTCCCAACGCTGATATTATGTGATCCCTTCAGAGGCCGAGTTAACGCAATTATATTTACACACATCTATATATTGAAATTGTTGAAAAAAATGTGTCTGATGGCTTAATTTATATTTAATTTATTTTCTTTGAAACATTTTTCACTGAATAATTACACAAAATTTTCTTGTTTCTATTTTTATATTTTTATACATTCTTTTTTTTTTTTTTCATTTTTTCTTTTTTTTTTCATAGAATATATTGCCTATGATTAACATTTATTGTTTCGTGTTTCCTACTCAAAAGACAAGAAGAACCCTTTCACTAAGGTGTTTTTCCTCTGTTAGTTCTTTAAATTGTTATAGTTAGTGTATAGAAAAAAAATGCATTAAATTACAACAAACACAAACATATAAACTCACTAAGAACGTATTTTTTTACGTATAATAGCCCGATACACACTTGGCCAATTTATTATGTTTTAGATAACAAAAGGTACAATTGTACTCAATAGCTCTTGCTCAAATATAGTTATTTTTTTTCTACAGTCGCAAGAAGCAGATGGTCGGTATATTCCCTTTGGCGACCATGGGCGGTCCGCTCGTGGCGCCCGTGTCCAGTCTGCTGAGATGCGTACCACCACCGCCGCTGCCAAGGTATGTGAGGCCAGGGGAAATAATTATCTACATTTTCTCATAGATATAATTGGACTATGGTATATACAGTATACCAAGAGATTAAATTGTATTTTGGCGCGAATTGGGTTTTTCGGCCATTTATCCAAGTTGGGGTTTTATACGGTAATAGATATGGGTGGATTGATCAATGAGAGAATGGTCTGAAAACCCAAGTAGCAAATCAAGAAAATTTGCAATAATATAAAAGTATATTTTAATAGAACTATTATATAAATAATATCGTTTAAAACTATCTATAGTTACGCGAGTAGTACACATTTAAATAAAACACTTTAACGGTTTAAAACGATTCATTATAAGAGTTGTTGTAACGTACTATATTATTGTCTATAGTAAAAATTGCTTTAAAAAAATAAGTTTATATGCGAGTAAATAATACAAGTTACATTTTTTTCCAGAATGTTCCGTAGCACTCGCGGAACCGGATCAGTCTCGCCCCTCGCGCGAGAAAACCTTAATCCGGATGTGCCCGAGTTTGTGCCGCAATCGGTTAGGCAACGTGAGTATTCAAACAAATACATGCAAACTGCAATACACTACATACTGATATTACAGTAGTAGTAGTAGTAGAAATCGATATTACTGATTAAATTAATTGGGGGCAAGTAGTAGATCTGCTTTTTGTTCTCTGCCCAACCGAAACAAAACTCGTGCTAAACGTAATGCTAGCCAACGCGTTTGGGTAATCAGGCGTTCTATACATTGTTCGATCATCCTTGAAATAAAATGTTTGAGGGTAGTTTTATATCTTCAGATGTCTAGTATTTCTAAATCAATGTTGTATTGTACGTATGTTCTGGGTATTATACGAAATATCCTTTAATAAGAGATACAAATAAATGATACCTAATCATTTTTATGATGTTTGTGGTCTATTTTTTACCCCGTAATTTAGGCCTGAAACCTCTTTTCAATAGAGTTTTTGGGTTACGCATTGCGGGTAGATTAACTTTTATCGTTTTCGCGAGATAATCGTCTTTTCATAGTGATTTTTTTCGACATAAACGATGGACAAGCGATCTTCATTATAAAGACCAATCTTGACACGAAACATTTTAGTTTTTTTTTTCGTTATTGTTTGTGTATATTTGTAATTTAGAAAAGGTTGCAGAGTAACCTATTATCGAATACTATATTTTGTATCGATATTTATAAGTTGAACATATTTATAAATTACAGTTATGTTATGATTAATGAGTTTAAAGAGAGGATTTATGTTTGAAAAAAAAACAATAAGTTCATTCTATTTTGCAGAGGAACCGAACCCCAATAAGTCTGAAGAAGTTGTGGAGCAAACCAGCGTAACCAGTCCGGCTGGAGATAGGACGGATCCTGATGTGTGGACTGAGGTGAGTTATAATTCTCAGTATTATATACAGACAAATATAATTATGATTTTCTCATGGGGAGTACCCTCACTGATTCCTCTTCAAATCTTTTGGTTCCTTTTTAAAATGTTATTATCCTTTCCATCTTATATATATTTATTTAATCATTAAAATTACATTGTCATGACACGTGGAAGCCCAATTCGACAATTAACTTAATTATCTACTGTTAGTTTCCTAATGTGATTTGCCTTGATTTTTATAGACAAGTAAGACGATCCATTATATGTGCCATACCCGATACACAATTAAACAATTTGTCTATAGTTATTCGAGAATTATCAAAAACAACTTAATTTCAGGGTTAAGTAAATGGCATTTTGAATATATCTAACTGTATTTGTGCTCCGTATTAAAAGTTTCAAAATAAAACCCTGAAAATCGCCATTCACCTCGATATCAATATTGGTGATAGGTGAACTCTAAAAAATAATTAAAAAACCCTTTTTTAATCAATGTTAAAGAACTCGCAATTAACCCCCTTTTTTTAACTTTATCTATACCGAAATATTTGTTTAACTTATAAAAGTCTTTGATAGTTTAGTCCAGCCCAATTCACAGAACTGTGGAGGTATTATAACTTCTGCAAATTGCAGGTCAAGCGCCGCACGAAGGCAGGTTCTCGCGAACGCGGTAACGCTCGTGAGGAGCCCGAGGAGGTCCGCGAGGAGCTGCACTTCCAGCTTGACGAGGAGTTGGATCTGCCGCCGCCGAGGCATAACACCTTCACGGACGCTTGGTGAGTTACATTTTCACGCACAAGTAAAATCAACTCAAGGTTTTTTTCCAATTCTCTTTGTGCTCAGCTGATAAAGCATGGCTGATATTAAGCGCTGATTTTCAGCTAGGCATCGCGTTTACCACAAGTGAAGCTTTTTCGCGTGTATTAAAATAAATGGAAATTTTATTTTCCAATCTGCTATAGCAACAGATGGCGCAAACGTCTGGTCGTACTTATAAATAATATCTTAATATGTACATATATATTTAGCATTTATAACAGTTTATAACGTTTATAAAAAATAATAATTACTTGAACATTATTTGTTAAAATTCCGGGCTTTTAAGGTCCGATGACGAATCGGACGTCGAGTTCACGGACGGCGACATAGGCCGTCTGCTCATCGTCACTCAAACGAGCACGAGAGCGCCGAAACACGACGGCTACGATCGCCAAGGAGATTGGTCTACGCGCACCAAGATCACTCAGGATTTGGAGCAGGTTAGTGAGTAGTAAGACGTGGGAGAAACAGAGTTAGACGACGAAAATATTGCAGATTGTGTGTTTATCCTATTAACTTCTTTAATTGCAATTACAAAATCTTATTTAAAAAAACACACACACACGAACGCAAATATAATACACACACCGCATCACACACTAGTTAATTATTTGAAAATATTATGTGTGTAGAAACACATACTAAACTGTTTAATTATGAAATTTTCACATTTTAGGTGATCACAGATGGACTCAGACGCTACGAAGAAGATTTGTGGGGCGAATATTCAACGGTTAGTGTGTTTTATAATGTTAATTTATAGTTTTTTGTAAGATGTCGAGCCTAGTATAGAAACCTGATTATTAAATGGGGGGTTTGAATACCGAAATTCCGTCGATGTCACGAATCACTGTCCACGGACGAAAGCTAAATTACGACAGCTCATCTTGTTTAGATGTTATACGGCTGGGGTATTCCGTCTTCCATAAATACGTTAGCTATATCAATATGACATAACAATGATGACATTTGTCACTCCCTGATTCTGTTATTATATAAATGTCATGGTCCTTTTATCTAGTGCAATAGCGGTAGTCAGTACCGCACGGTCTCCGTGATAAGTCGCGAACAGTTCGAAGCGACAATGCCAGCGGAGAAGCACCAGAACCCAGCTGAACCGCCACCGCCGCCACCGCATCAAACGCAACAGGTAGGCCTTACCTACAATTATTTAAACTAACTGCACAAAAACGGGATTGAGACAAATCGGTGACCACGTTCGGGACATGGTGGCTGAAATTCAACCTCGACACGTTATTGTTAAGGTTGAATTTACATTGCGCGAGAGCTGCTCGTATCAAAAGGGTTGAAGAATTTTATGAAGATGTGTAGAACAATAGGAATATTGGATAGACAGCAGCACGAAACCTTGTGTGTGTACAAGGAACACCTATGTCATTGAATTAGATTTTATTTTGAATATACCTTAGAAAGTAGATATTTTGATATTAATAACCACCTACTACTATTCTTGTGGCAATATTTTCTATATAATATTGTGGTTTCCCCCATCTCCCCCCTTAACAGATAAATGTATATATGTACAGATGGAGCAATACGAATCGAGCGGAAAAGTGAAACGGCCAAGACGCACCGCGCGTTTCTACGCGGCCAGCAAGGACCCGCACGCGACTGACGTCATGTGAGTAAACCATTTTGCCTTGGTTAACGCAAAATAGGCTTTGGTCTTAACAAGAAAGTTTTTGATTCTGAGACTGGACTATTGTTCTCATCATGATGTCTAACTTGTAATCGAAACTTCCACTTCGAGGGTCCGTTTATTTTTCTCTCATTGATATTTTTTTTTGTTTTGACGCCCTATTTATGAGTTTATCCAAGATATGATTACACAAAGTATATTAAGATTATATTTTTTATTTTTTTTGGCGAAAGAAGAAGGCGGGTGATCAGTCCACGCCATCTGCTGACCTTTTTCCATTCCCCCTCTGCGGATTATCCGACACTTTCTGCATTAATTTATTATATAATTGCAAAGCAAATGTTAATTAATGACCAGCGTTGATTGTGATGATGATGATGATATTTTCCACAGAACTAGCCGCAAGCACAAGACGCGGCACAGCCTCAACCCGCCGGTGGAACACCACATCGGTTGGGTTATGGACGTTCGCGAACATAGGCGGCATCATAGAGACAGCGGGTGAGTTTTTGTTATTTTACTCGAAATCTTATGTTTTAACATAAATTTTCTTCCAAATGTATTATTGTTCTTTTAATCGATTCCCATTTAAATTGTAATCCTTACTAATATTATAAATGCAAAAATAACTCTGTTCTTGGGTCTGTCTGTTAGTGTTTAGGCCTGGTCTAGACCCTGAGAAAGTGCACAAAGTAGCTACTTTTAATTGCATGAAATTAAGGAGGGGGATTCGTGGTTTTTGAAGCTAAAACAATGAAACTTTCTTCTTTGGTTATTGGGAGTGGGAGTGAGAGTTAGAGTTGGAGTGATGTGTGACTTACATCGAATGTAAGTGTGTTATGGAGCAATACACACCCCCCCCCCCTCTTGTTCCCCCCCACTCGTTCGCATCGATTTTGTACTACAAACTATTATAATTTACATTTTACTGCCACTTATATTAAAGGCGCTTTCTAATTTATATTTTTGTATATGTTGACAGATCGTCGCTAGGCACATCGCCAACGTTAGGCTCCTCATGTGGCTCCGCTCCGCAATCGCTGCCCGCTTTCCACCACCCGTCGCACGGGCTTCTGCGAGAGAACCACTTCACACAGCAGGCCTACCACAAGTACCACTCACGGTGTCTTAAGGGTGAGTTGAGAAGAAGGAAATTTACGTATATTTATATTGTTGACAGGCCATAGGATATGTATTCCTAAATAATAATATGCTTAGATTAAAATACTCAATAAAAAAAGTTAATTAAGCCAAATAATTTAACTTAATTAAGCATTGGTATTTGGCGAATATATTTCTGTGTCCGTTTCAGAGATCTATCTATTTACAGACAAATAATTTGCCTTGTTAAAAAAACTACGGAAAATGAGAAGGTCATTGATTAATCATCTCAAAATATTCTAGAACGCAAGAAGCTCGGCATCGGTCAGTCTCAAGAGATGAACACGCTCTTCCGTTTCTGGTCTTTCTTCCTTCGGGACCACTTCAACAGGACGATGTACAACGAATTCAGGTTGGTACCACGTGTTGTTATGTTGTTTCACGCTGTCTGCAAAGGTGGTGGTGGTCATAAAGTTGTACATTTATAATGTTAAGTGGATAATGATATTCGTTATCATCTACCATCAGATGACACGCTTTTTAGCGCACTTTTTGTAGGAAAATAACGAAAAAAAAATATTAAAATCTAAATTGCCTAATCTAATCATTTCTAAATTAAAACTTTTGAATAAAATCCAGATAAAAAGGGCCATAAAAAGCGAAATTTGAAATATTTATGCATAAAGACGTTAAAGGAATATAAACTCTTAAATCCCCTATAGAACGAATATCTTGAGTATCATTTCTTACATGAATACAGGACGCTAGCGAACGAAGACTCGGCTGCCGGCTTCCGTTACGGGCTGGAATGTCTATTCCGATTCTATTCCTACGGACTGGAGAGGAAGTTCCGACCGGAGCTATACCAGGACTTCCAGACTGAAACGATACAGGACTACGAGAAGGGTGAGTGGTGAAAAGAGAGATATAATACCTACTTGGCGTTTTGGCACTTTAATGACTAATTAAAAATTTTTTTTTTTTTTTTTTTTTGTTGCCTTGAGAAACAACATTTCTTAATTCACATTTTCTGACGGCTTCTTTGGTTCCGTAGTTGTAATATACCTTATAATTCTCCTAAGATTCGCCTTTGTTTGAACTCTTAAAATCTAGATATTAAATTGATGGTACAATATCCCGTTCATATCACTAATCAACGTTCGCAGATGTAAATTTCTAAATTTCCAAAATCAAAATAGGACAATGTATCTAGCGAAGATGTTATATGGCGGGGTTATATCTCCTTTCTTGTCTCTCTTCCCTTAGAGTAACAATAACTTATGCTGTAAACAAGATCAATCAGTGAAATGGACAGCTATAAGACTTTATTGTCCCTGTAGGTCAACTGTACGGCTTGGAAAAGTTCTGGGCGTTCCTCAAGTACTACAAGCACGCCGCCGCACTTCAAGTGGAGCCCAAGTTGAAGGGATACCTCGCCAACTTCAACACGGTCGAAGATTTCCGAGTGCTAGAGGTGAGGGGTCACAGACACTTTGAATATTTAATGTTTTTTTTATATATAAATAAACCACTTTCAACGGATTAAAACCCATATATGAAATTTATTTTTGATTTATTAAACTACGACCCGATGTTTTGGACGTATTAAGACAGCCACTACCGCCATTTGTTCCTCGTTCCATCGTAATTGGTAATCTCTAGATAAAAAATAGCTCAAATAGCCAAATAGCTGGATTCCTACAAAATGGACTAACACTGTCCTCTTGTTTTTTAGAAACTAGAGCCTATTAAACTCCACTACCGTAGCAGATTTGACTTTAACATTGAAGATACTTCATCATCATCCCTGTGTGATTAAAATAAATAAAAATATAAGTAATACATTTCGTATTTTAAACCGTTAAATTGATTTATTGAAATTTGTATTACTGGCGTAAACAACAGACTGCGTTTAGTTTGTATCTAGACAATCTTCTATTCTTATTACTTTTTTCTTTTAAGTTATTAACTTCCTTAGTATAAAATGATAGACTAGTGAGTGTCAATGTGTTTGTTTGTGTTAAAAATTGAGATCATTCTAGATATATTATTCGGCGATTATAATTAAATTCATCTAAAATCGAATATCGTTTTAATATTGACATAAATGTACAGCCACAACTCAACGAGCTGCTCGGTGCGCATGGACCAAACGCGCCCGGGCGCGGCCCCCACGCACGCCCCTACGATAGACACAGATCTGTGTCCGAGAGCGATAGGCAGCACAACCAACAGCACAGGAATTATTTCAAGTAAGCATTTTGTAATACTATGAGAAATAAACATATATATAGCGTCACGTGATTTAACAACAAATTCTCTAAGACGCCGGAAATCAGCTCTGGGCGTGTAACTAATTTATTGGAATTAAAAAAAATATATAATTTTTAAAAATTATATTTACTACCCAAGGATGAACTATCAAGAAAATAAGAAAAATGATTACAAAACTTTACTAATAATAATAAAATAATAATTTAATAGTGCCTATGTTGCACTTAAGTGCACTTAAGTGCAACATAGGCACTATTATTATGGAAAAATATAATTATTACACGTGTGCAGCGTCATCAAAAGAACAGTGGAATAGTTGCATATAACAGAACGAAGTGAGAAAAGTAATTCCATATTCATGTATTGTGACTTTTACAGGGTCCCAAACACATCTGGCAATACTGAACGCGGTCGCGCCGGTTCGTGCGGGGCGCAGAGCGTCGTCGCTATCAATAGGACCAGACGTAAGTCAATAAGAAGGATTTTATTTCTATTTTTATTATTTAAATCTGATTCAAATAGAACTATAAATGCCCATATTTAAATAGGAATTATATTAAACACAAATGTTTTTTTTCAGCGCCGAAATCAAAACCGGATAGCTCCGAAATGAAGCAACCGGTCGCAGCGCGCACGCAGTGATTGCGCACACGCAGACAATCCGACGGACATTATCTTGTATATATACATAGACTGAGCCGTTCGCGTATATAATTATAGGACGTTGCATTTTTATATAAATAAAATAATAAAAAAAAATTAAAATAAAAAATCTTTAAACTGTGAAGTGTCAATGAACGCTAGTGATTTAAGTGTTTAATTTTGTGTGGCGAGACCGGTTCGCGGTACCGGCTTTTCATGTTTACGATGACGATGCGGCGTGGTTGCGGTTTTCTGGGGTTGCAGGCTGTGTGTGGATGAAGCATAGGTGAGCGTTTTTGCATAGAAGTGTTTTACTTAGGCCCAGGTACTAACATTTTTAGGCTTAAATTCAAATAGATACCCTTCAGGAATTCATAAGGAACAAGTAATCTATGGCATTTTCTAAGATGAGGTTAGCGTAACATCTTATGATATCATCCACTCCCGATGGTCATACGTCTAGAACAATTTCTCAATTACGCCGGCCGAATGTTTAGCTTTAGATTTTTTCCAACCTATTAGTTGCATTCATACCGTATAGTTTAATCTGAGTTTTTGTTCTAAAATGAAAAATAACATATTTCATGATTATTGGTCGTTCGAGCCGGATATAGGCATAGCCCCAGAACATTGCTAATATATTTTTTCTTTGTCCACAGCTTGCTAACGCATCGACAATAAAGCTACGCGTTGCACGCATAATGTAGCTATAGTTATATAATTACGACAAACTATATATTTATATATATTTTTGACATTGTAATATACATTGATTTTCAAAAAAAAACTATCCTAGCATTTTAGACGTACTACTGTCTGCCTGTGCGCATGTTATAACTAGTATAATTAATGCAGGTTATAGTTTAATTTGTAATGTCGACGACGTTTGAAAATATCCTTAATGTATGGGCTAATAATTAAAAATATACGCAATTAGTGGATACGGGGAAGGCAGTAGTTAGTAGCGTTAGTGTTAAGTGGCGACACTGTGGTGCTGTCGTGTCTATGGCGCAAAGGTGAGCGGGTCGGCTGCGAGTTGTAGAGAATCATGTTCTATCCGGTCTACCCTCAATGTAGTGTTTGATCGCTCCCCTGCGTCTCGGATCTCGGAAATTAATGTACAGTGTTAAATTTGCAGTCTGACGTGAATTTTCTTAAATAAAGAATATGATTAACGCCATCTCTGTTGAATCCTAACGGAATTACACCGGTTTAAAAAGAGCTGTATATACATTTTTCTTTAAAGGTGGCGCTGACAAACATTCTTGATTGACGAAAATTTCCGCTCAGGCTCGTCTGTGTAAAACTTAATCTGTAATGTTGATCTTCGTATGACCCTTTCGGAGACTGACTGTACTGTTCTCTTTTAGATGAAATTTGTAAATTCACACATTTAACTTTTGGTAGTTCTAGATTTCGAGTTAATTTCACGGGCTAAGTGATTTCGACGTAAGGTAGCATAATAATAAGTGTAACTACCTCCTCAAATTATGAATTTGATTCTACCGTCTAGATTTCGGATTTTAATTACGTTACTATTTTACATGAAATCGACTAATCGGGTTTTAATACGTTTTAAGAAGGTCGAAATCACGGTCCTATTAAAAACTGCCACGATATTATTCACGACACAAGCAAAGCACATGATTTTATTTGTTTTTTAGATTATAGTATGCATTCTTGGCCGAAATGTTCTACTCGCGGAGATAAGGAGTCCATTTTTCAATTCTCGATTCCGTTAGAAAAATCATGTTATGTCAGTTTGAATTATAATGTTGACATTTTGACAGTGACGAAACTTATAAGTTCTGTCAGATGTCACCATCTGTAACGAAAATAATAACTTGAACATTAGTTAAATTGGAATTTGTATTTTGCTGCTGATTTAAGGCAAGGATTTTATAGTCTCGATAAAAATCTCAAAATTTATCGACAATTAGGAAATTGGACCTTAGTCTCTTGACAGCTGATATCTCCGCGAAGGTGTTCATTTCGTCATTTTTTTTTTTGTAAAATACGTGAGTTTCGCATAGTATAAGCATAGATATGTATTACCTTCGGTTGTGTGACGCCGTTATCGTTTTGTGTTCAGCCGTTATGTATCTTTGACAACTTGCAATACAGATGTGGATTGTGTTTAGATATCCAAATAAATAAAGCGTGCAGTAGTTTTGGTATAAGAATTTGTTTTAGTATAAATCATGAAATTGTTTTTAGTCTCTAAAAATATTTCTTAAACAAAAAACGTAGTTTTGATTTGATTTCAATTTGGAGGTTTAAAGTATATATTGCTACAGTGGTTAATAAAATCAGGTTAAAATCTCTTTAATAGTACAAAGACGAAATAGTCAACTGTGAAGAGTACAAACAAAAAATGGAATACAAAGAAAGGAAGAAACACAAATCTGTGGCCCTTTCTTAAGTAAGCAACTATAAAAAGTGTGTCTACGAATCACTGTCCAAGAAAACAAATATGTAATACGTCTGCAGCCACAAAAATATGTTCGCCTAAATGTAATCGCGTCACGCAATCGAAAAATAAGTTATGCACTAACTTGCTCAATATGTTTTGAAATCTTCAAAATATAGTTTTTTTGTTGACGAATGAAATACAGATAAATTAATTCTTTTCAACGTTGGAGAAAGGGAAAGAGTTTGATAATATTCCGTGCTTCTTTTTCTTATTTCTTTTTTGTAACATTTAGCATTGTAATATAAGATAATCAAATATCTCCTTTGATTCGTTGCTAAATCGGATTGCCCATTTCAGGCCACAATCGAACATTATAATTGAATAATAAATAGTACTTTGCGAATAACTTTTGAACTACTAATGAACAATGCAACAATTGTAACAGTAGACTTAATAGGTAAATATTAGTTCTTAGTATTGATGCACACCTAAAGCTTAATTCATGATGTCCATTTGTGGCCTGAGACTTTTCAAGGCTGGGCACTCCGCAATGTTTATATTTCACTAATATAAAGAATAAGGGTGTGACGATTTTTTTGCTAATTTTTAAGGATGCTTTTTTAATTCTATAAACGAGGGCTGGACTCGATAAAATTACCAATTGAAACTTCCAAACATACTATCTCTTTCCAACATACACAAATAAATAGAGAGGGATATATTTTGCACAATCGTGTTCCTTGTATGAGATCATAACGTCCGACTCTTTTAGTAAAAAGAATCAAACTATAGGTCTAGGAATAAGGGATTTTCACCAAAATTTATTTTTGGCTTACGAATCTGTCTAAAAAAGTCTTTTCAAGAACTGCCCTTAAATACGAAGTGTATTGTTAATTAATTCTAATCAAATTAGAATTCTGACAATCGTTCCATAATGTTTATCTAATAACGAATCTTGGCTTGTCCGTAGTTTACACTCATTTAAGTTTAACATTTTTAACGGGGTAATACGCAAAGTTTGCGCCCACGGCTGCTGCAAAGCATCACAAAGGTCTACGTAGTTAAATAGCTCAACTAATGTATTTCGCGTTTAAAACCGTTGAAACTTATATTAGATCGAATAAGTTGGTAGCTTTACCGAGTCGCCGCCACAAGCGCGCGGTTGCCATACAAAAACTTTGACACTTTTCCGGGTTACCATAAGCGGCGCTGCGTGCTTTATTTTAAGTTATGATCGCTTCTTACATGTAAAACATAGTTCCTAATATATTTTAAAACCGTTAGCATTTTTTTATTTAGCATTCAGCACAGAAATCTACAGAGAAACGATAGATAGCTCTCTCTTTGTAACGAGAAATTCGATCAAAAGCGCGAAAGAGATAGAACGATGGAATTACATTAGCATCAGCGCGTATTTTTTTTATTAAAAATGTCCTTACGTTCACAAGTAAATCAAATATCTTTTCTATCTGTCTGCGTTCTTAGTGTTACCAGCTACTAATTAACCACTTAAAATTCTTGGCTATTTAATAAACTTTAACTTGACGATGATTTCTGTGTTGCAAGAAATTTCTTCAACTACCGTCCCCTGTTTAGTCTTAAAAGGGCAATGAAGCGATCGACAGAGCGTGATGGTATAGTTTTAGACATATGTCTGTAAAATGTATGAGAATAATAAAACTACGTATAACTTTAAAATTTCTTTATCTTTGTGGCTTTCTTTGTATTTTTTCAAATTACAAAGAAATATTTTAAGTCCCCAAATTTTAATACTACATTAGAGTAAACTTTGACTATGTCGCGTTTCATCCGATTATGAAATGAATTTTGTTTTAAGCAAAAACTATGTATAGAACTATACCACGGTAATGATTTGTTAAGTTTTTAAGTTAGTTTTTAACAATTGTTGCAATTTCAAGTAATTTAAAGTATGAACCAAAGTTGACGCGGTATTTGAATGGGAAAATTCTAGTTGCATACCGATACACGTGTGGCCGAATGGTTTGCGTTTTGTCTCTTTCCTACATACCTAAACTAGGTTTGCATGAGAGAGACAAAACGCGGACTATTCCCTCTCTTCACCGCGTTTATTTGTTGTGTAAAAAAGGGAAAACGCAAAAAAATCTAATAAAACGTTAAGTGGTGTAAAAATGTCCTAAGCGAAATTTACAAGTTTTCAGCGGTTATTTTTTTCTTTTGGATTTTATTTGCTTACGGTTGTATCAAGGTCGTCGCTGGTTAGCTAGGGCGGGGAGGGGGGATGGATGATTCAGACCAGAGCTTTTAAAGCTATAATATAATAATATGGGCTGTTAACAATAGTATAAAGTATGACACTTAAAAGATAATGTAGCAAAACGTCGATTCTTTGAAAGAGGCTGTAGCCTCCCCTCTACCCCCCACGGCGGCTCCCTTGGGTTGTATCATACTGTCAAATAGTCAGTAATTAGGTGTAATTTAGTTAAGTATCGCTTATTGCATTGGCCGTCCGTCATCCGAGGTGTATCGACTAACCTCCCACGGCCGGTGCTTAAAAGGCTGTAAGTTACAATATACATATTATTATATTGATAAATAAATTAATAATAAAATTATGTCTTTTATTTTGTGTCCCGTTTAGTTATAATTTTTAAAATTTTTTAGAGGCTAGTCTGGTCTGACAGACAAAACCTTTGAATATTGAGGTACAGGGGTAGCCATTAAAACTATGGCTAACACGATCAAATAAAAAAGTGGGCTTGAAAAATGTTTGGTTCCGAATTCAAATGCTTGTTTCGCTGTTGAAACGACACAAACTACCTTCTACCCACATAAATTGTCTCATGTTAGATTAAGATCCAATCGACAAAAACAAGATATAGAAAAATACTTTATTGGTTTTAAACAATATTTATATAATGCAATTAGTTTATTAACTTAAACTACGCGCTAAAAATGTTTTTCGTAAGAAAACTGAAAAACATTAACAACATACAACACCAACATGGTCAAATATACCTTCGTTTTGGATTTTGATTTTGGATACAACGTCTATCGCGATAAACAATTTACTAATTGAGACGGTCCCAAATGTTATATTCGCGCAGTTTAAAATTACTTTCTCAAACCAGAACTCGGTTGTTGTTAAAACAAAAATTAATTTAATTCGTCAAAGAAAACTTGGAAAGAACAATGGCCAAATCGTACCTGACGGCGACCAGATGTGTTTATGACTTGAGTTATTTATATTTTCACAGTCTAAAGGTTAATGAACAAGAACGCAGTGAAATTGTTAACATAATTCTTACACAAATAATAGTACAAATTCAGTTTTCTCTAAGCTAATTGCGCATTTTTTATTTCTCCTTATTGAAAATATGTTTTATTATTAGGCTCTGCCTCTAGCAGCCTCATATAATAACTATATATAATAACTACTGATCAAGCCTTTAAAAAAATATTAGAAAATATAAAGTCATGATGGAATGCATCCAAAATAAATTTGTTAGACTCTTTACCCGACCATGCCTATTATAGGCCATTTCACAACAGGAGCTCTACAATCCACTTGTCGGTTCCGGACCGATATGTGTGGAGGCGATCGCGACCACCGTACCCCCGCACCAACTTGCTGATACTATCCCCTCGTGTTCTTGCTATGCGGGTTATCAACAAACTGCAGGAGTGCACCATGGGTGAATTGACAAAAACAACACTCTTTAGATATGTTACTTGTTGTAAATTCTTCTTTAGGTTACCCGTCAACTAAACAGGTAAAACAGGTTTTTACATAATTTTATATAGTCTGTGAAAAAGGTGTTTAACATGCTAATTTCTGCAGTTGAAGCATATGTAATTAAACTTATTTATTTATTCTAACCTCAAACTATTTTAGACGATATTAAATAAATTTCACAAGCAATATTGTCGTATAGGGACCACCCTATTATCTAAATACTAATTTAGTACATCAAACCCTTTATGACTTTTTAATGGTCGCGAAAAATTTTAGTCAGGTTCACTACCTATACAATTTTAGCCATTGTTATTTGAAGGTTTCCTTAAGTTTAGTCAAGCAATAAAGAGTTAATAACTAAACTACGTTAAGAGTCCAATTGTAGTTCTTGTGAAATGTCACATTTAATTTCTATAATGTCACATATAAAGGTTTAGGTGGACAATTCTTAAATAACGAAATAACTAATCGCGATGTAGTCAACATAAGCGTAACGATAAAGATTCTATTTTAATATTTTGAATTTGTTTTTTATACGCCAAATTTCATCGAAATCATAAATATTAAGTCTAGCTAGCAGGTCAATTGTCACAGATTGACAGTTGACACCTGTCATCTGTCTCACGTCAAGCGGAATCGTACGGCTCGGTTTTGATCACCACTGTGGGTAGACGATAGCTACCCGGGGACATTTCAAGACGGTAATCCTCAGGGTTTTCCTTGATGATATTGTATATGTGCTCCTGCGCAACGTGTTTCTTGACTTGCGACATTTTGCGAAATTTGGCGGGACAGTACGGACAGTCGGCAGACGTTCTACGCTCTTGGTGTACCTGTTGAAGAAAATGCATGTTAATAGATAGATGTTGGCTTATTTTGATAAGGTATTAATAAAAATATTACTTAGGAGAGTAATTAGTACAAAATCTCATTATTTCATATCACCCAAAAACATCCGTGTTTTTTGGGTATTGATAATATTTAACACAAAGGAAGTATCGGATTTCCCGGGTCCCGGTTTCACGGACCAATATCCATAGATAGAAAGGGTTTAAAGTTTAATCGCGTTTTGATTTCAGTGTGTTGATTCCGAAAGACCAAAATACGTTCACAGTGTGTGATGTATGTATGGCTGGGGTTCCTTCTATCGAATGAACCGATTGCTTAAATAAGCTTATGCCCTCCTAGCCATAAAAAGGGCACAGAACTCCGTACTTCTGCTGCCCCCACGGGTGGAAACTGTACCGTACGGTGTTGGGCGTGTACTTACATTCCACATGTGATCCCACTTCTCTTTAAGGGTGCGGAACATCGTCAGGCACTGTTGGCACTTGAAAGACAACCGGCTCTTGTCGTGGGCGTTCTTGTAGTGCTTACGGAACTGTGACTGCGAGAAGTACGTCTTGCCGCACTTGTCACACTCTATCGGCGGGTTACGAGCGTGGTACTGAAATTTACCGTACATTGGGATAGAAATATATATTGCGATAAACATACACACCGCTTAAAAACTTTTTTACATGTTGTTAATGTACGTAGTGGCATTATATAAATGAAAAATATTTACGACACGAGTAAGACTTGACAGCATCCACAGCGATATAGAAATTATAAACATTATCATCACAAGTGGAATCAAATTGAAAAGAAATTCCTATAAAAAATCGAAAAGGTGTACAGACATTAGGGTGTATTATAAGTTGCTCTTTCACACTTAAACGGCTCAACCTATTTTGATAACATTTTGTATACTGCCTATAGTTTACGCGAGTAGTACACATTCAAATTAAATTAACGGTTTAAAACGCGATGTATTAGTTAAACTTATTTGAAAATTTGACATTCAATGTCTCCCCGTGACCACGGCTGCTGCAAAGCATCCGAAACGTCCGGTCGAATTTAAAAATAATTTTCAAATAAGTTTAACTAATATATCGCGTTTTAAACTGTTAAAGTGTTTTATTTTAAAACATTTTGTATATCAAGTTTGATATTACATACTACCCACCTCCATATGTTTAATGAGGAATATCTTGTTGCTGAACTTCTTCCCGCAAATGTCGCAGACCATCGTCTTGAAGTTGTGCACCTTCTTGTGCTTCGAGAAGTTGCTCGAATCGCTGAACGTCTTGTCGCAAAGTTCGCATTTGTAGACTGGCAGCGAGGCGTGCAGGCGCATGTGACCTCGGAACCTGAAAACCCATCATCGTCATGAGCCTGAAGATGTCCACAGCTGGACGTCGGCGTCCATTCCTCCACTTATCTGCTACTTTGTTGCCGTATACTATGTTAGTAATAGACTAATGTCATATAATTTTTGTTTAATTTTTAAGTTTAAGTTAAACCTATATACTGTCTTTAGTTTACGCGAGTGGTAAACATTTAAATAAACACTTTAAGGGTTCAAAACGCGAAATATATTAATAAAAATTATTTAACAGCCTGACGTATCGGATGCTATCCAGCGGCCTAGGTCACGGGGAGACTAAAGACTGACCCGTGATCACGGCATGTCCTGAGTTTTTCCAAATAACGAAAGCCAGAATAGGCGACTACGCATCTTGGGTAGATGTTATATGGTGTATTGACGGACATATTTCTGTATACCTTATAGGCTTATCAAACGTCTCGCTGCATATCAGGCATTGCAGCGGTCCTGTCTTCGGCTTCAGCCTATAGGCCTCCGCCAGCAAGTGCTCAATGATGTGTCGCTTGCAGTCGTTTCTTCTCGAGAAGGCTCTATTGCATATCAGGCATTTACGAAAGTACTTTTTTGTTGCATCGTTTAGTTTATCCGCATTAGTGAAGAGCTCTGAAATACATACATTAACCAAATTATAATTGGAACAAGCGAGAATCGAATTAACGATATTGAAGTTGAACAAGCGAAGAGCTAGAAAAATAAAAGGTTTGCAAAATGGTCGTAAAAGCCTCAATTTATTCATACTCAAAACAAATAAAGCTGAAGAGTTCGTTCGTACGCGCTAATCTCAGGAACTACTTGTTCGAATTGAAAACTTATTTTTGTGTAGATTAGTGCATTTATCGAGCAACATTATAAACGCTTCGCCGCGACCACTAAGCGAGAAGGAACAGCGGGAAATGTGAAAAAAAAAACGGAGAAATTTATTCATCTCTGGACATCCGTTGCGGGCGCTACGAAATCAGTTTAAGACATACAAAACATATGCGCGAAGGAATGATTCCTCTTTAAATGATCTAAAAAAATGTCGACACAATATGTATTAATATTAAGATTAACTTGGAAGTACGACAGGTAACATAATTTATAAAGATTGAAAAAACTAATTTTGACGCCCAAAATAACTATTCTACGCGGGCGAAGTCACTAACACAGCTAGTTCAGTATAAATAATAGAGATGCGCCGAGTATCGAGAACCGAGTCTTACTCGGAGTATTTTTTTTCATCCGAGTAACTCGGTTCCATCAAATTGCCATTCCGGGCGAAGACGTCGGCTCGCTCATCTTCTCGTAAATTTTCTTTCATAACTACTACTTGATTAGTATAGTTTTGATTTTATTGAGATTTTTTTTTATTTCCTAAATTAACTACTAAGTACTTTTGCATTAACACTTATGTTTAATTATATCTACCTAAATACCGAGTACCGAGTATCGACCGAGTACTCGGCCCATCTCTAAAAATAACCCTTCACTCACCGAGTACTTTCCTGATCTTCGGATCGCAGGTTCTCGTTTGGATTTTCTCGGAAGTCTTAGTCGTATTTAGCAGCTCTAGGTGGGCCTCCCAATGTCGGAAGAATTGAGCCTTCTTCAAACTGGTGTTGCAAATCTTGCACCTAAGATCAAACAATATAACAATGATTGGCAAAAAAAAATATGTTCTCTTTCTTTCACTATACTCTACCTATATTAAGTACTAGTGGCCCGACCCGGCTTCGCACGGGTAGACATAAGTAGGTACAGATATTTAAATTATAAGCATGCTAATTAAAACGACCATGAATCACTAAATTAGAAAAAAAAATATTGCGCGTCCTAGCTGTTAACGACCGTTGTCTGTCGCTTGATTCTCGTTTGAAACGCACAGATAACGAACAAATAAGTATATGACTAGTTAAATAAAATTGAACGGCTAAAAACGTGGTAAATATAACTTATTTTAACTACGACCCGACGTGTCGCATGATAATGGATCACTTTTATATTAGGCGTATGTTGATAATTATGAAAACGCGAATTATATGAATAGAATTAATTTAAGTCGGGCCGTAGTTAATTATAAACGTTGAATATATATATTTCGTGTTTTAAACTGTTAATTGTGTTTTATTGAACACTATTATTGTATATTTTTTTGTGGGCAAGACACAGCGTTCCGTGCTGTTTGAGCTACTGAGTCCTACACGTCATTGACGAATTTTTTCAACTTATTGATAAATGCACCACTCGCGCAATGTAATTTCAACTTTAACATTCACGTATTAAAGTTCAACGTCCTATGCTTTGCAGCTTCAAATCAATGAAGATTTGTAATTATACAAAGTATTAACGTTATTTGATTTGATTAACTCACATATACTTGGACTTGTGGACCTCATCCGGCGAATTTATCGCGCGGTAAGTTATAAACGTGTCCTTCAAGTGTGACGTCATGTGCCTTTCCAGTTTGGCGAGACCCTGTTTCTTTTGAAAGCATTTGGGGCAGCTCAGCGCAGCGTAGCCGTGTGTCTCGAAGTGTCCCGCGTACCGCCGGAACGAGGAGAAGGTCGCGTTACACTTAGTGCACTTGTAGGAGGCGTGGCCTTCTATGGCCTCCCGTGACTGTTTCTGGCACACGGTGCGTTTGTGCCTCACGAACTGCTTGTGGTTGCCGGAGAATTGGCAGCGCTTGCATCTGTACGTTTTGTGGTAGCTACAAAAAATATGATAACTATATTTAGATACTGTCTATAGTTTACGCGAGTAGTACACGTTTAAATAAAACACTTTAACGGTTTAAAACGCGATATATTAGTTAAACTTATTCGTTGAATTTTTGACTTCGGCTCGAAGTTTCCCCCGTGGTCCGGACTCGGCTGCCTGCACGGCTGCTGAAACATCGGGCCGAAGTTAAATTCATTTCCAAATAAGTTTAACTAATATATCGCGTTTTAAACCGTTAAAGTGTTTTATTTAAACTATATTTAGCATAAAGTTTTCCTAGTGTTTAAATAAACCACTTTAACGTTATTTTTCCCAGTGTGCGCTATGAATAAAACAATTATGACGGGTTAATATACGTAACATATTTAATTATTTCTGATTACGAGCTCACGTCTACCCTCGTAATAGTTGCGTTACAGTATCTGAAACGTGGGATCGAAATTGAAAATTAATAACGAATATATTTCGTATTTTAAACCGTTAGAAATTCTTCATATCTACGCGAACATACTGGCTCTGACTGTTGTTGAGCTAATTAGTTGCATGAAAAATCACACGATATAAATATCTTACGCATTGTAGGCAAAGGCGTAGTTCGGTTCGTGACCCCGAACGGAATTTGGATATTCCAACCCCCCATTTAATAATAAAATTTCCAGACTAAATCAAACAAGTTTCAAAAAACATTGGTTTTAAACATGTTGGACTCGGTGAGGAAGGAATCCACGACCCACTGATCATAAGACATAGATAGCTACCATTAGACCATCGAGCCGGTATAGTAAAAAGTACTTTAAAATTACATACAGTACAATACCGTTTTCTCTACATAATAACAACTTATACTCACATCCGTTCGCCGTTTTCGGATGAACTATCACTATAATCGGATTGATCATCACTTCCACTCTTATATTCATCATCATCATTATCGTCATCTTCAATCTTATCATCATCATCACTCAACTCCATTATTTCATCAGCGGGTTCAATGATGATAAGATCGTTTTCGAATTCGTCATCCGATGTGCTGTGGCCCTTCAAAGTTCAAAAAAATTATCTTAATAACCATTTTTTTTTTATACTATCTCTTGACTAAATCTCTTGATTCCCCGAGAATCGAATCTAGGACCTTTTGCGAACCTCTTAGTGCTAGGCAACACGTTTAACAAGTTTAGCAAGAGAAAAATAACATCTTAATTTAGTAGTTTTTAAAAGTCTTATCCGCCATTTTGTAGAAGCGGCCATCTTAGATTTACAAAGTCAAACTGTCAAAATTAAATGTGTCTATTTGTAATGATGTTAGACCCAGATAAACAGAAAAATAAAGATGTTACAGAAAAAAAAAACAGATAAAACCTCAATGCAAGTCAAAAGTGAAATCTAGTTTTACTGATCAGCACTTTTATAGACTGTTTCATAATCTAGTGTATTTCAACTGAGCTGGTGATTGGCCCTTCGCAGTCTAAACACTTGGTAGAGCTGCCACCTGAGGCTTATGCCTGGCCCTTTGTTTTCTGGTTTTATGGCGCCAGATATTTGCCCTGCTGCTTTTGAACCGAGAGAAGAGATCTTGGTGGCACTCGCTTGAGGTCGAAGGGACGGGGAAGAAGACATTTTGGACTGGCTGATGTTACCGACTAAAACCCTGACACTGGGTAAAGTAATTTCTCGGCTTGTTCTTAGGGCACGATCTCCAGAGAGCAAGAAGCTATCCCACCGAGGCCCTGCATCTACTTTGACTATGCAAAGATGTTTTTCTGCATAGTGTCTAGAAGAGGCTAGGGGCTGTAAGTAGCAGACTCCTGTGCCCTGATCGAAACAATCTATTATGTCCCCAGAATTCGAACCCAGGACGCAATGCTAGGCAACAAGTTTAATCATTTGGCTGTAGAGGCGGTCCTTCAATGCATGTACTCTTCGAAAAATATCCTTACTTACATTATCTCTCTCCATTTCCCGATTTTCTATTTCGACTTCTGTTTTCACGTCAATTTCACTTATATTCCGTTTTAGGCTAATCTCGTTATTTGGACTGACATCAACATCAATATGGTAGATCTTCTTAATGTCGGACAGCCTGAGATCCATTTCCGTTTCCTCCGGATCTTGGCGACTGTCATAATTTACTTCCACTTCTATGTTTGAATTTGTGACGGTAGGTCGTTTTATACGATACTTTTTCAAACTACCCGCGTCTATCACTGTTCGTGTAAGTACAAATACAAAATTTTTAAATTCAATTTTTTTTTTAATTTTTTTTTTTTTGGGGGGTTTTTTTGGGGCCTTTTTTTTTTTTTTTTTTTTTTTTTTTTTTTTTTTTTTTTTTTTTTTTTTCCCTCCTTTTTTTTTTTTTTTTTTTTTTTTTTTTTTTTTTTTTTTTTTCTTTTTTTTTTTTTTTTTTTTTTTTTTTTTTTTTTTTTTTTTTTTTTTTTTTTTTTTTTTTTTTTCTCTGTATTTCTACCTTAACACTTGCGGATCAAGGCTGACTGTCATAATTTACTTTCCAGCTTGCTTATGTTTGAATTTGAAATTACAAAGTTATGTCGTTTGTATAGATACTTTTTCACATGTTATTGCACATGAAAGGCCCTTATAAATTAAAAAAAAAAAAAAAATTAAAAAATTTTTCTCCCCCCCGCGGGGCTCCCCCCCCCCCCCCCCCCCCCCCCGCGTTTTTTTTCCCAAAAAATTAACTACCCGCGTCTATCACTGCTTCGAAATCTGTAATGTTTTCAAACAAATACAAAAGTCAATCCTAGGGCTCTTCTAAAGGCGATCAATAGTATCCTATCATCTTTGATGGCGAAAAAAATATGATAACTGTGTATAAATAAAACACGTTAACGGTTTAAAACGCGATATATTAGTTAAACTTATTTGATTTAAAATGATTTTTAACTTCGGCCCGACGTTTCGGATGCTTTGCAGCAGCCGTTGTCACGTTCGCGTTTTCAACCGTTTAAGTGTTTTATTTAAATGTGTACTACTCGCGTAAAGTATAGACAGTATTTAATAACTATATCGTTAAGTTTACCTGTGCCTTCTCTAACCCCTTTATTATTTATGTCATTATTTTTCGTTATATTTAAATTTCTCTTTTGTAACGATTTTTCTCTTATTTTCTTTATAACATTAGAATGTTCACTATTAGAATCTGTATATACACGAACTAAACTATTTGTTACATTTTTTCTATTTGACAATTTTATAAGACTATTTGCATTCTTAACACCTATATTTAAATGTCCATGGTCAATCGTATTCGTATTATTTATTTGTATGCTTGTCTCTCCGTTATCGTGGAGTGTATTTATCTCTACGTTATGTAGATCTGCACTATTTAATGCATCGTCATTAGTTTTATCTGTTACATCTATCACCTGCATCACAGCTTCTGAAATCGGTTCTTTTTTAATCTCATCGCATCTTAATAGAACTTGTTTACCTATCTCAGTGGGTGCACATACTGGAGCATCGTTTGTTTTACTTGATCCGAAATGTACACCGTCGTTCGTTATATTTATTTCGAAATTTCCATTGTCTTTTCTATTATCTACTTGCATTTTTACATTAGGTTTTGTTCTATTCTTATCTGTAACGTTGCCATTGATAGCGTTTGTTTTAATTTCTTTCGACGTTTCGGATAATTTATTTGCATCTTTCTTTCCTTTATATTTTGAAATATTCACTATCTTGATCTTCTTGAAATTAGATTGTTTCGCCTTTTGGGCTATCTGGTTTAAGAGTAGACTAGGAAATTGTTTAATTGCGTTGATCGCATTCAAATTACTAACAACCTGTGTGTCTGATTCAGTTTTAATATTTGCTATAACGCACGGTGGCCTGTCTTGTATTAAATCTATCGAATTAACAGGATCATCTATGTCCATTTGTTCTTCGTCGTTTTCTGTTTTTACAACGACCTCATTTCCTAACTCACTTATTTGCGGTACTTCGATACTTTTTCTTATGCCCGTTCTATTTGGCGTCGCTGAAAAATAAAATTATATATATAAAAGTTTATGTAAGTTTTCGGTGTAATGGAAATATAGAGCGAAAACTAAGAAAATAATAGGAATGTACGGCTAATTATCAACGGGTTGCGGGTTTTATCCCCGACGGGTCCATTCTGGAAGTTCTTCTGGAAATTTCCATACTAAATTGGTAGTTGGAACATTCGGAAATTCCTTTCAGCTCACGACCATCGTCCAAAGATAAAAAAGGCGTGAAGTTAAACCGCGTTTCGGTTTGTGGTGTCTGTGGATTTCCGAATATCCGAATCTCCCATGCTTGTCATTTAAAGAAAAGTTCCTGTAAGCCTATACTTACTGATTCGGGTTCTGATAGGGCCTATTTCATTTTCCTCGCTTATATATTTTATTTTCTCTGCTATAGTTTTTGGAACATACACCTGAAATAGAAAATGGTGAACTTATGAGTTAAATGTTATATGAGACTATCAGAGCCAGAGTGGCCTAATAACAAGAACATTATTTTCAATAAGGAGGAAAATAAAAATGCGCAATTAACTTAGGCGAAAATGAAGTTGTCCTATTTTTTGTGTAAGAATTATGTTAAAAGTTTTTGGTCGCTGTGCTCTAAATTAACAATTTTTTAAATATGAAAACATATATCAAGTCATACTCTGATTAGAGCCAGAGTAGCCTAAGTGCAACTTTCGGCCTCACGTTCCCCACGTGGGACCGACGTTTACTTACCAATTCATATTTACAAGATTCCTCATAGTCATGCATTTCGTTTGTATGTCTGTAAGAACAATTCGCATCTAAGAGAACCAGTTTTTTACAAATCAAACATTTGTGGACCGCTTCATAATCATTTGTGTGAACCTCCAAGTGATCGTATAATTGGCATTCCCTGATAACTCTGAAGTTGCAGTCTGAACTGAAAAAGGTAATATATTTAGTAGTACTATCTCCAGGACTTGGCCTTCACCATCACCAGTGGGTACCACCACGCTATATGCGCTGTCGACCCATTTTGCCTTTGTATATTCGGACAACCACAGATTGAAACCGAAGTGTTAAATGTCTCAGCTTTTTCATCTGTGGACTGTGGTTCGTGATCCTGGCGGAATTTCGACATTCGTACCGCCCATTTACTACTACTACTAATAGAACATGTTTAAAAGAAATTATAAAATACTGTCTATAGTTTACGCGAGTAGTACACATTTAAATAAAACACTTTAACGGTTTAACACGCGATATATTAGTTAAACTTATTTGAAAATGCTTCGGTTCAGCTTTCGGATGCTTTGCAGCAGCCGTGGTCACGGGGAGACAATCATTTTCAAATAAGTTTAACTAATATATCGCGTTTCAAACCGTTAAAGTGTTTTATTTAAAGAAATTATAAATTAAAAAATTGGAAACATAATGGTGCTGGTGGGGACCGAACTGGCGACCTGTTGATATTAGCCATATATTGCTACCAAAATACTAAGGAGTCAGTTGAAGAAATGTTTAGCTATTCTCGAAAAAACGAAACAGAAAAGAATAGTGAGGGATATGGTAATTAAATACTGTAGTTTACGTCAGTAGTTACACATTTAAGAAAACACTGTAACGGTTTAAAACGCCATATATATCCGTTAAAGTAATTTAATAATTATATTAATTACGGTATTAATGCTATGCAGCAGCCACGGGGAGGATTTGTAAATACGTTTAACTAATATATTTCAAGTTTAAGTGTGTTATTTAGAACTGCTGATTGTATTTAATGTTCACCGATTAGATTTTTAAATATAGCATAGATAATAAGTATTAGAGATGCCCCGACACACTTTTGCCGAGTAATGAGTACCGAGTTTTTCTGGGTTAATTTTTTTTACACTTGACACTCGGGTGAGTAACTCTCGCCAAGACGTGGCCCCGCTTTGATACTCCGCTCACGCGGCCCGCGCCTTTCAACTTATCACAAACGCGTTTTTTAATTAAAATTTTCAAAGATTTCTCAAATTACTAATAAATGCTTTTGGATGTTGTTTTGATTATAGCTACCTAAATATATTGCTTTTCCTCAACAAAGTATACTCGTTATCGATTGGGCCGAATACGAGTATCAAAAAACCCGCCGAGTACGACCGAGTACACCGAGTGTCAACCGAGTACTCGGCCCATCTCTAGTAAATACTACATACTTACAAAGGACACATAAGACAATGTTTCAGCACTTCCTTATGTATATTCGCCATGCACCGATTGTACAACGTCTTCTTGCAACGCTTACAGCTCTCCATATAAGGCCTCTCACACACGTGCGCTTCACGCACACTAAAGCACTTGTCACAACTTTTTGGCACCAGGATAGGTACATCTGACCTGAATAATATAATAATCTATACATATATATAAAGGACTACGGGTTCGAACTGAAAATGTTGTGTTAGTTAGATCATTTACCGAGGAAGGCAATAAGGCTATAAAACATCCAACATGGATATAAAAATAGGATCAGGACCATATACCTTCTCCCCCCCAGGTCTATGTAACCCCCTGGCGAAAAAGCTGGATCCGCTATAGAAGGAGTGGCAGATATTTCAATTACCTGACGCTGTGACGGAGAACCATGTGTTCCAAGAGATCAGAAGGTTGAAAGTAATAGAAGCGGCACAGGTGGCATTTATGTATCTTCTTCGCGTTCCTAAATAGATGGATGTTCATCTTCTTGAATGGGTCACAGTGCCTGGAAATGGTGAATTAAAATTTATAAATATTAAAGAATATTTTAAATAAATGTGTCAAAGAGTAAATAGCAACATTATTTAAAAATTAAGCTAAAAGCTGTCTGTAGTTTAAATAAAACCATTTTAACGGTTTTAAACACGATATATCTTAGTTAAATTTGTTTGAAACTTATTGAACAAAAACTTGTTGAAGAACCAAGTAACCTACACGCCGAAGAACCAAGTAAACTGAGTAAATATTAAATTATTTGTTTAAAATATATATTGAAAGTGCTAAAAGATAATGTAGTTATGGGAATTTAGTAACACTGTTTAAATGTTTACACTCTACATTCATAGATGAAATTAATAAAAAAAACGAAATTAAAAATCCTCACCACTGATGTTCCCTCAGCATCGAACAGCTGGAAAACTGTTTCTGACACCCCTGACATTTCTTTGCAGTCTTGTGCTCCGTACCCAGTTCCCCACACCTCCAGCACTTCCCCACTGGGCCTATATACTTCTTTTGTGCCCGATCGATGAAAGCCACAATATTGCATATAACATAATCATCTATCTCAACATTTATTCGGAGGCTCGTGAAATTGTGGAGTTTGAGATGTTCACTGAAATCATGAAGATGCCACCAGGCCAGGGTGCAGATGTAGCATTTGTAATACAGAGGTGGTTCCCTGTAAAATTCAGATATGTTGCTCCAATCAGCCCAGCGCTGCAGAGCTTTGTCCAGGAGTAGTTCTTGGTGGGTTCTTGTGAATGTAATTGGGTCTGGTTTGATGGAGTTCAGAACCTAAGGTTTAAATAAGAGTTTATTAAATAAATATTCCACAAGAAACTGCAATTAAAAGTAATAATTAAATAATATAGTAGCTTTAGAAGTGAAGTCATTAATTTAAGGAACAACAAGTGAATAACTGTGTCTTGTTTAAGTTAACATTATTACTAAAAGTAGACACAAAACTGAAAATTTTAGGTGAATCGCAGCCTGGGCACTTAATTGTTGTACTGAGCTTTGTGAAATTGTGTCTTCTACTATAAATGTGACGGTCATGCCTCACATACATGGGACCAAAAGAAACACATTACCTGCAAATGAAAAAGTCTGTTCACCACACTACTTGACCTTGACACAATTTCTAAAGATTCTTGCAGTACTTCTTGGAATGTGACTCTCGGCAACTCCTCGTGTTGTTCTTCATTTAAATTTTCCACCTCCACCTTCACCGATAACTGGATTGGTGGAGGCTCGGTGGATATGGATGGTCTCACTTCAGGTGTTGGCTTCGGTTTGTATTTTAGGAGAGTCCTTTCCACCTCATTCTGAATTACAATTAAACAATGATTTAAGAAATTATGTATGGTATCAGTATTCTGAATGTAAATTTGTGACCATGGATAATAATTTATTTCATAATAAATAATTTAATTCGAAACCTAATGTATGTTATCCTAACCTATATGTAATACCAAACAATACTTTAAAATTCAAAGACAACTTTAATTTGAATAAAACAACATTTTTTAACAATTAGATTAGTAGTTAGTACTTTGTAGTGTAATTTTAGAATAGTTATAAAAAAATGTGTACATATTTAGATGGGACACAGGACACAGCAAAATAAAACTGAAGATTGAATTTGTAAGTAAAATTATTCAGTTATTATATCAACATTATTTACCATAGTTGTTCAAATTTAGTACCTATTAACTACTTTACTATTAATAGAATAACAAAAGTGTATGTCGAAGCTATCTTTAATTTTATTAATTATAATTCACATAAAATTACCACTAAAGGCATAAGTCGTTCTAAGTTTTAAGTGATAATATAACATCATAACATAACATTATTGATTACAATTGTATTAGAGTGAACGTACTTCGTCATGACGCAACATCTTTAACCATTCTAAACAAAAATGATAGTAGGTATTTCGGAAAAATCAATAATATTCCTACCCTCCCTATATACGACATTGTTTTTGTAAAAAATATATGAATGACACATAAAACTATTGAAATCTCATCAGCTACCAACGACGAGGTTTTACGAGATTTCCAAATACCTACACAGAATATTGGTGCAACAAAATGGAGGTACCTGTAGTTTTATTATTTCCTCGTCCGAATCAATCATTTCACGTGCCACTAACTTTGTTTTCCTCAAACGTTTCACATTGCTATTCATATTAAAACCACAACCACACTTTTCACTGTCAAGTTAATTACATTTTATAATAATTTAATAATAAACACGAGACGTAGCGAGGCGATTCATGCATGGTTCACGAAACTTACAATAAAACCAGTTCATTGAAAATTACACAGACCAAGTTGTATGCGTGCATTTATCTCGCTCTAATCGGTAGCGTTAGAAAGAGAGGTAGCAGTTAACCGTCACATTGTATGACCATTCACAGAAATTGGGTTAAAAATTACGCCAGACGGGTAGTTGGTGAGGTATGCGTTCAGAAGTTGAGGGAAATTAATATTCGTTTTCGAACGTAAACTAATTAAAAGATTTAGTTTTTGAAAACTTTACATTTCACATTATTTATAAGGATCTTTTATTATTATTAATGAAATGAAAGTGATGGAGGTAGTATTAATATATTCTTAATTAATTACTATAACATTGACAACGAAGTCTATATTCGATACTGAAAGTATTATTGTATAATGTTAAAATCTAGGATAAAATAATTGTAGTTGGTTTATTGCAGTATAACATATTAATAAATTAGAATGATATTACAATATTAATTCTTTTAAATGATTTTCACACAGCATCATTAAAATTAAACAACTGTAATTCAAAATATGTACAATTAATATTATTTAAAGACTATAAAAAGTTTTATGAAAGTCACCATATACAGTAATGGCAGTCTGTGGTAAACGTCATGTTATTTACTATTTTTGTGCGAGATCTGTGGACGTACGAGAATATAGAGGCTGTGTTTATTAAGCTGATATCCTAACCTAAACTTTAACAAGAAAATGAAATCATTTAAATTATAATATAATTATAAAAATAAATACTGTATTAAGTGAAAATGTCGCTTTTTATGAAACGTAACAAGCCTGGTGTGGTGTTCAACACACAAATATTGTGGCGTTTGAATTCCACTGTTGCCGAAAATAAAGATGAGGAGGAGTTTAGGGTTTTAGATATTTTGAAGAAGAAAGACTCTAGACAGAAGAGAATAGTCCGTAGAGCGGAAGTTGCTCCCGATAGAGCAGAGAAGATGCCTACTGATCAGGTATCTTGTTACATATATTTACAAACTTACATATAAATCAAATATTGTAGTTATATTAGTTTAGGTAAACTGTTTATGTAATTAAAATGCTAGGAGTTAATTTGTATGAGTATTATCCAACTCTTACTGAAAATTTAACCGGTCCAGCAATTACTAAATACATAATTTTAACCTTTTTATTTATATACTTACCTTACTTATAAATATTGATGTTTTTGTATAGCAGCGATTCCTTAAAACTCATTTTATTTTTATTATCTATATCACTTATTATTTAATTACAAATAGATATAAGTATTTTATCATTGTAACATGTTTCTACTCCAATGGCTTGCATCTAATTTAAGGCACAACATTAGATAATTATTATTTCCTTTTCCCAGAACTGGGGCAATGTCTGGCCAGGACCAAGATCCTTCCACCCATCGTCAGTCCCTCTACCGATACGCCAAGGATACGTCCCAAAAGGCCAAGTACCACCAGGAAAGAAAGCAAATGCAGAATTAATGAAAATACCCAACTTCCTCCACCTGACACCACCAGTGATCAAAAGGCAGTGTGAAGCTATACGAAAATTTTGTACTGAATGGCCAAAGCTCCTAAACTCGGAAGAGGCTATTGATAAACATTATCCAGTGGAAATTATTACGTCAGACTACTGTCATGCCAGTCCGACCATCCGTAATCCGATGGCCAGAGTTGTCACTCTACGTATAAAATTAGCAAACCTAGACCTAGATAAACATGCTAAAGATAAATTTTTAAGGTTGGTTGGTGATCGGTATGATGAAAAAACTGATTTGGTGACACTGACAGCAGATCGCTGTCCTTTGAGAAAACAAAATTTAGATTATGTGAATTATTTATTAACTGCCGCATACCATGAAGCCTGGACAGTTGAAGAATGGGAGAAAGAGAAGATGGAGGATGATATGGAGTATTATGTCTGGGATAACAATCAGTCGAAGCGAAACTTAATTGATTGGTATCATAGAGTTAGTGGAACAGAGCAGGTTTTGAGTGATGAAGAATATAGGTGTGTATTTGTAACTTGTAGTGGTACCTTAATCTCTTTTCCTATATTCATACCCCTACTTTACTGGGGCTTGGCTTCAAGAACAGACAAAATAATACTCCTTTAATATAACCTTTTACATAATGGAGTCACTGAGAATTGTTTCTATTACTAGCTATGTATTTGAAAAGTATGTATGTAGCCTCACTTCTCAAATTTTAAGTTTAATATTATTTTTTTAGTTAAAAGTAACTAAAGTAACACTAAAAAGTGTTTTGTTTTGTGGATCTAATTATTATAAGACTGAAATAATGTTTCATGTGGAGAACACTAGACAGACACACGTCTATGTCTGTTTTATAAGCTTTTATTATTTAGTAAATAGGTAATCTAACTTCCATGCTATAGCTGACTGGAACTTAAACCTAGGTCTTAGTGTGTGTGTGTGTATTGAGTTATTTACAATAAATGATTTCTTATAGGAACTATGATATATCCAGCATACCGCATGCAAAAGAGTACAAAGAAGCAGTTTCAAATTTGTTCAATGAAGGTGAAAGCGAGGAAACAATAGAGAAATATGGAGGCACTGTAAGAAAACTTTTGGGCTTGCCGGAGAGGACTGTATAGTTTTAGTAATAAATGTGTAGATAATTATTCGTTTTCTTATTGACTGCGGAAACTTTTACATGTAAATGCTAGAACTAAGTTTGCTATATAAACTATAGATCTATAAGTATATCTCGGTTTAAAACTCTTTAATTCTTTGTTTTTTACCAAATGCCAAATACTAACTTCAACGGAACAATTAGCAATTTTTACTTTGACGTAAGAGACATCTTTAGTCTTCCCGTGACCACGGCTGCTACAAAACCGTAGTTAAAAATGATTTTCAAACAAGTTTAAGTAAAATATATCGCGTTTTAAACAGTTAAAGTGTTTTATTTAATTGTATATATCAATCAGTAATTCTTTGTTTCTTTTTTTATGGTAGATGATGATTCACTTCCTGAAACGTACAATAATTCAGTTACATTATAAAATCACAACAAAATGCGCTGTCAACGTAGGTTGGCTTTGGATATGAAAATCCACAGACTGAAGTTGAAACACGATTAAACTTCACAATTTTACGTCTGTGGACGGTGGGTCGTGACCCGGACCCGGTTTTCAGAATCATTTTGGACCAGCTGGGGATCGAACCCGCGACACATTTATTGCTACCCAATGGTAGGAAACCTGTAAAATTCTTCACTATGATCGCAAAAACATAATCCTCAATTTTCGTTTATCGGTTAATACTAAAAAATCAAATTACACTTTCACAAGCTCCACTTGATTTTACGAGCGATAAAAATAAGCCAATAGGCCGCCATTTTTGTTAACAAAATGTTGCGTTGTTCGTTAATTTTATTGTGCCATTCTGTTCTATTCGGCTTGTGTAAAATAGACAACATAAAGGATGAATGTATGTTTGTATGCTTATTTTTAAATGTCGATAATTCTATATTAATGACGTTTGGCTCTGAGTTAAACATGAATAGTTTTTTTAAATATGATTGGTTAGTTAGTGAAAGCAAATAGCATTATATGTTGCAGTCGCAGGTTCGAATCCTGTGTCATTGACGTTTTTGTGATCTAGATTTGTAATATCTATATTACACTCATATAGGTTCTAAATAGAAAAGCCACTTTGTTCGGTTTTTTGTTTGCCGGGTCATAGAATTGAGTAAACTCTTTTTTGATAGTACATTTATCTTGAATATTATTTTTTTTAACGAGTACGTCTCGTAAAAAACAAAAACGGCTCAACCTATTTCGATAGGATTTTAGAGGCTTCATATCGGCCTGGCTTATACCACCGCAGTGTTAACTTACAATATAAATGTGTCAGTCTGGCGGCGTGGTATACATTATTTACTAACACAAATTTCTTTATTTCTATTAGAAATATTCTTTATTATTATTAATGATCTATATTTTGGTTCATAATACAAAAGAACCATTGCCAGGTCAGACCAACTTAATATTTTTCACATATACCTACATTTAAAATCTTTTTTTTAAATATTTAATTTAGAAGCTAAATTGCTAGACTATTTATTTTTCAGTTAGCAGCAGACCTGAAAACAGTTTCGTCTATTGGCCAAACGCCTCAATACCTTTTTATATAAACCCGAATCATTTCGGTAAGTCGATCGAGGATTATTTTATAAAAGGCGGACAAATAATGAGTTTACGTCGTGGAAGGAACCTCAGCCATGTAACATCTTAATGTGTCCATCGACCAATTTTTCACAAACCACAAATCGAAATGCGCTTTACGATTAAATGGTTTTTCATCTGTGGTAGTGGTTGTCGTGGAGTATCGCCCATTAAATGTTTACACTTTCCAAGTGATGTTTTAGAAAAGTATAAATTGAATCATAATCAATTTAAAAATTTTCTACAACTTGAAATCGGCATTAAATGGATCGTAGGATTATCGAAATTCCGTCCAAGTCACGAACCACCGTCCACAGATGAAAAAGCCGTTAAGTTTAATTCGCTTTGATAGAAAATCTAGTTACTATATGGTGGCGGTATTTTACCTTCCATCAAGTGAATACCTTGTTTGTCTGTCCTCCTATCATCATCCTATCATAAAAAAGTTGGTTGTGAGTTTGAGTTCCGGGCCTATTATTAAGTAGTTTATAAGAAAATTATTAATTAGCAGTAGTTTAATTTAATACTTAGAGTTTTGCTTCACATATTCTTATGTTCATCTAAACAACTCTCTCCAACTGTCCGTGTTCAGCTGTATTCTTCAAAAAAGCCTGCATCAGGCGGGATAGTGGGCAAACATCGATTTATATGTGTTAAAACATATTTTCGTTTAACACGAAAACTCGTGGGGGAACGACGGAGGCCGGCCCTCCCAAAAACCCAAAACCCCCCCCCCCCCCCCCCGGAAAAAAAAACCGAAAGGGGAAGGGGCCCCCCATTCACCCCATGTCGCTTTCTGTATTAACATTTGTCCAAACAGATTCTGAGCAGTCTCTCGCGATTCTATCAACGCTCTCGCTCTTCGCTTTCAAAACATGCCTCAAATTCGCACCGGTGATGGCGGAACCAGTTAATCATCACGTCCTGGTGATAGAGAACCCAAATGGAAGGAGGAAATGTGATTTGGAGAGCCCTGCGCATAGCTACGAAGAACCGCATGTAAGGCCATTTGTTAAAACATACTTCACAAGAAGTAGGTTCTCAATTCGGTGTTTAATGATTGAGGAGGAGGATCTATACAAGATGCGCGGTCGACCTATTTTGGCTTTGGATATTTGGAAATCCACAGATTGATACCGAAACGTAATTAAACTTCATCTGTGGATAGATATTGAATTTTACACTGTGTATCAAGGGATATATTATATTATCATCATTTTGTTTTAAAAGCTGATGTCATAGAATTTATTTGGTGCACTTGATTCGAAATTGTATTATAAAAAACATTGATTACACCATTCCCTATTGAACTAAATCAAGATACGTATTACTCTGTGCGAAAACAGTTTTCGTTTTAGTTTACAGTAGTCATTTATTTTTGGATAAAACATATTTTATGATCTTTTAGATTTACCACCATTTTCCTAAGTCTTGGTGGAAATTATTTCAAAACAATTGTACATTTTATACATTCATAAGTGCATATATAGTTGTATAACTTACATCGTAGGAGGGAACAGTAGTAATGAAAGATTATATTTTCAGCGTATAACCCTGGGTTACGAATGCCTGAAGTCACCAAACATTGACATGATGATTATGAGGGCACTCGGATTACCCTTTGAGCACAATCGGGCTAGTAGAGATATCTTTGTAGAAGTGCTGTTTGAGAACATAGAACCAGGTTTGTAAGGCATGTCTCTATTTACATTTTGTGAGTAGAAAACTGTGCCGGCAACTTCCTCCGCGTTTTTGCAAACCTCATCTTTAAAATTACAGCTGTTGCCCATGACGTCGGTCGCGTATCGTCGTTCTTGCAAGTTAATCTTAAAAGTTTGGTGTCCTTATTATAAAAAATATTGTAACAGGGTACGTTCAGCTTAGAAAAAAATATAAGACTAAGTTTTATAAAGAAAACCTACCTCAACAAAAGCTACAAAGATAGGCTGGTTGTATTAAACACGCAGTCTTTGGAACTTCGCTGAAACGCAGCACAATTTGCCTTCATAAAATCATAAATAAACTAATCGGTTGCGTGCCGTTTGGAGCAAGTTGGACTTTGCGTACCATCTTTTAATTTCCGACTTGCTTCTAATTACCCAATATTCATGAAATTTCACAAAAATAATTATGGCTCATACTCCCCTATACAGTTAATTTCTAGACTTTAATAGCGTATTTAAGGACCACAATATTGACCTCTTTATTTCTGTTATTATTTTCAAAAGACAAGTACTTTAATATCTTGATCAGTAAATTTGTCTCTATCTTAATTATGTAGTATCAACAAAGAATAAGTTTGTTTATGTGGTTTGCTGTGTGTATTGTCTTTATCTCTCTATTTACATATCTATAGTCAACGCCGTGCATACCAATAAGTTATTATAAGAATAATTCTTACTATAATTAACTTAAGTAGTTTAAACACGTTTGTGTACCTAGTTAGTAAGCCTTATTAAAAAAAAGAAGATAGATAATTTAAAGAGGAATCATTCGTGCATATTTTTTGGGTATCTTGAACCGTTTTCCCAGCGAACGCTACGGAAACTCCAAAAAGATGAATAAATCCCGATTTCTTCCACATTTCCCGCTGTTACTTCGCCCTATTAGTCGCAGCTTGCTCGTTTATATCCTTCCTTCCTGGATAAATTCTCTAACCAACATATTATATAAATTTCACTTTAAACAAACTCTTTAGCTTCACAGTGTTAAAAAGATATTAAAATACTGTCTATAGTTTACGCGAGTAGTACACATTTAAATAAAACACTTTAACGGTTTAAAACGCGATATATTAGTTGAACTTATTGGAAAATGATTTTTAATCTGCTTTGCAGCAGCCGTGGTCACGGGGAGACCACGGCTGCTGCAAAGCATCTGAAATGTCGGGCCGAAATTAAAAATCATTTTCAAATAAGTTTAACTAATATATCGCGTTTTAAACCGTTAAAGTGTTTTATTTTTAAAAGATATTAAAAGTTTATTAACATGTATTATTATTAGATGTTATAATATTGAATAAATGGTTTATCAAAGTATACTATTATGGTCCCGTCTAATGTACTAGCATGTACTAATGATAATACACGGGTCGTGAGTTCGAACCCCACCGACAATATGTTTCTAATTAAATTATATTTTTTCTGACTGGAAAATCTGGATATTAAAAGGGTGGGAATACCGAAATTTCACCGGATTATGTGTTACCATATACAGACCAAAAAAGCCCGGTCTAATCTTTCATCGAGTTTTACAGTCGATAGATTTCTGAATGTCTAAAGCAATTATTGTATTTTTGGCGTATTTCAGTCCCTACGCAATACTAGCGCGACACTAATGTACAGTGAATTTATGTTTTTCCTGGATTCGAACCATGGACCGCTCTAAATGTAATGCTAGGTTAAACGACTAACCATTAATAGAGTATACATAATAAGTGGCCAGTGTTGTCATATGTCAATAAATAGACATCTTATCCACAATAATTAACGCGGCATTGTATTCTTATCAACGTTATTGCTTACGTAAATATAACACAGATATTTCAAGAAAGTACTATTAAAAAAATTGGTTCTGTTGTGCGTATATTTGTTGAATTTTATTATTTTTTTATAAGGAATGGTCTATAATAAGTAAGTTGTCGATGGAGGATTTTACAGAACAAACTGTAATCTTTCCGTTTTAAAGTATTAGTTCCACAAATTAAATGGCCTTGCTGAGTAACTGACGTTTTAAAACTAATAAATGTACATCCAAATGTAGATACTACATATACACGTAATTAATATAATATGATATTATATAGATTTTACTTTTTTAAAGAAATTACACAAAATTGTATTAAAATCTGTACAGCCGTTTGGCAAATTTTAATGTAGAAATAAACATTTATTCCAATAAAATACATTACCACTTGGTGAACTGTACCGTAATTAGATAACTAATCGCGCGAAGCAGCTGTACGCACATAGCCAGCTGATAGCAATTAAAATGAATTGATAGTGACAATCAGTCGGTGTCGGTAAACGCCACGATGCTGGTGCAAGAGTTTAAACTTTACGAGAACATATTCATCGAAACGAATATTCAATCGCATAATTACGATGGCGTCATCCTCATCCTATACCCCCAGGACCTGGTAGCTCTTCCGAGAGACATCAACAGCTTCGTCGACAACATATCGAAACTAGACAAGCATATTTACAAAGTCCCTACTGTCTGGAACTGCGACTATGTCTCCGGCGGGCGTATAGTGCTATCACCGACTGGTAAAATAACACCATATAGCGATGTAAGTGTCGTCCGTGACGCAGCCAAGAAAGGTATGACGCGCGCCCTAGATGCTGGAATGAAAAAACCGCTTCTGGTGATCGAGAATGTAGTCAACTTCCCGGACGGCCAGCTAGTCGGTATACTGGGCGCGTTGGAAGCGCTATACGTTCCTCTTCAGATCAGGGAGTTTAAAGAGTCCAAGAACTTCATCCATCTAGGATTCCACTCGGACGAGAAGATAACTGAATCGTTCGAGAGGATTGTACGCAACGCGCTAGCGCTAGAGCGTTCGCGGATCTTCGCAAGGGATATAGCCGGAGGTGACCCAGAAAGGATGTCGCCAGCCAAAATAGTTGAGTACGTGAAGCATTCCTTCGCGGGAGACACAAACATATCCATCAATGTTATCGACGACCAAGGCATCATTGCTAAACAATATCCCCTATTAGCCGCTGTGTCCAGGGCTGCCAATAATATAGACAGGCACAAGGCGAGGGTGGTAGAAATACATTACAATTCGTCTAACCCGAGTCGCGTAACTGAAACTCTATTGCTGGTCGGTAAGGGTGTAACCTACGATACTGGTGGTGCTGATGTTAAAATCTCCGGAAGGATGGCTGGCATGTCCCGGGACAAGAGCGGCGCGGCAGCTGTTGCTGGCTTCTTGAAGGCCTGTTCGATACTCAAGCCACCGCATTTGAAGGTTATTGGTGTTCTCTGCCTTTGCAGAAACTCAATTGGAGAAGATTCCTACGTGGCTGATGAATTATTGATTTCGAAGAGCGGGAAAACCGTCCGAGTGACTAACACAGACGCTGAAGGACGGTTGGCTATGGCCGATTCGGTTTTTAAGTGCTCTGAAATAGCCGCTAAGGAGCTGAACCCCCATATCTATACTATCGCAACCCTGACAGGCCACGCTAGGGCGTGCTACGGAAATTACACCGCATCGATGGATAACCACAGCGCGAAAGCGACCAATCACTCGACCAAATTGCAGTTCAGCGGTACCAGGATGGCTGAAGGTGTAGAAGTTTCGACCGTGAGGGCTGAAGATTTGGCGATCAACAATGGTAAATGCAAGGGAGATGACCTGGTGCAATACGACACTGATGCCAAATGCCGTAACCATCAGTTGGCGGCCGGTTTCTTGATTAAAGTGGGGGGTTTGGAAGATAACAATATTAAGTATACGCACTTGGATATCGCTGGTGGAGCAGGTTTGTTCCCGGAGGAGCCGACTGCTGTGCCGTTGCTGACGCTGTGTCATGCGCACAAAGTTTTGAATATATAGATTTTTATTGTACTCATTAAATGCTGTACCTCAATGTTAGGGAATTAATGAGCTGTCAAAGATTTTTGGAAATGCATTGTGTACCATCCATATTTATTTATAATACTCTTGAATTTATTTGAGTTTTTGTGTGCTGTAACAAAATCCTAGCATGAATTATTGAATTAAAGAGATATTTATTTGTATAACGCGTAATTTATTTCGATTTAGTTCTGTTCCCAGATTCATCGGTATTTAAATATAGTGTTATGTTAGTTATATGTTATAACGAATGTCTGGCAAAAGAACAAGTTTTGGTCTAAGGTAAACCCAATGTGTGGCAATTGTGTCGAGTTGGAAAAAAGTTAATTCATTTAAACTTGATCAAAGTGTGTGTAAAACTGAAATTAATTGTCTCGAGCCGAAGATATAGTTGGAGTCTACCTTCTTAAAACCTAGTAGCTGTGCCCGCGACTTCGGCCGCGTCGAACAGTTATTTTGGGCATCATATTCTATAAATTGTAGCCGTTACCCACGACTTAATCTTAAAAGATATATTGACACAGACGTTTCTGGTTTTTTAAGATGAATAAACATTTAACATCTATACGAAATAAGCTATCGGCCATTTTGGCTTTGACCATGTTTCAGACAACTTATATAAATTGATTGATGTTTCATGTTGGACCCCGTCGAAATCGAACCAAGTACGCGTTGATTTTAAGACAAACTTTCCTACCATTGGCTACCACAAGAAAAACAAGTTAACACAAACAATTGTTTAAATATTTGAATTGTTTAATAAATATTAACATAATGTTAATACCTACGGTTACAATAATATGATAATAATTATCATTTATCAATAAATTGATAAAGTTGTGTTTATCTCTTGTGTAGCAACATATTATCAAATTGGATCTAATTCGTATTTAATTGTTGTTTAATTAAATTTAGCATACATTTAAAATTAAAAATAATTTATTCCTGTATGTAATTAGATAAACTTATGACTCACCAGCAAAAAAATAAGACTAAATTTACATTTACTAATAGTTCTCAAATCAAAGGAGTAAGTAGAACGAACGAGAAGAACATATTTTACAGTCTTCACTTGCTTTAAGTGCAATACACATTTTCTCTTGGTAGAGCCGGTTATTATTGAATTATTTCAATTTTCAAGTAGGTACTGTCAAAGTACAAAGTAAACAAAACACTTTTAACGGTTTAAAACGCAAAACATTCACTTTCAATTTATTTTAACCACGGCGCGACGTCTCGGATGCTTTCCAGCCGTAGTCACCAACTCGTCTTACATCGTAAACAGTGTTTTATTTAAAATGTGTACTAAACCATAAACAAAACACAATTAATTATGTGGTAAAACGATTTTCTTCTTTATGTAGAATAGTAATTTGAAATTATGACAATAGACATAGTATGTAATAACATTAATTACAAAGATACTGTCTATAGTTTACGCGGGTAATCCACATTTAAATAAGGACTTTAACGGTTTAAAACGCGACATATATATATATTAGTTAAACTTATTTGAAACTACTACTACGGCCCGGTGTGCCGGATGCTTTGCAGCCGTTTGCCATGGTCACGGGGAGACCGCAAAGCATCCGAAACGTCGAGCCGAAGTTAAAAATCATTTTCAAATAAGTTAAACTAATATATCGCGTTTTAAACCGTTAAAGTGTTTTATTTAAAACTAGAAAAGTGATATCCCATTTCCCCATGGGCATAGAGCGATATATTTTGAGTTATAAATAAAACTTAGACAAGTTAATACTTAGTTAATACTAATACATAATGATGTCCACGAAACTATATTTCTTAAGATATCTCTCAAGTTTATCTTTTAAGATTAACTTGAAAGAACGACGGGGTACGACCAACGTCGTTGGTCATTCCACGTCAACGGCTTAAGTTAAAGATGAATAACTGTTCTACGCAGACGAAGTCGCTGACGCAGCTAGTTAATAAATATCATTCTTTGTGCAGGAAACATGAATCTTTTCGCTAAGGACGCGAAGCTGCCGCCAGAACTTAGAGCTTTACCGTACGATGTTAACAGCGTCTTACATTTTGGCGATCGTGAGTTTAGTAAGAATGGACATAGGACTATTCTATTCAAAGTATGTATTACGACACTATCTTACGTGTTTATCTATACTAATATTTAAAAGCTGAAGAGTTTAAACACTGTCTATAGTTTACGCGAGTAATACACATTTAAATAAAACACTTTAACGGTTTAAAACGCGATATATTCGTTAAATTTAAAAGCTTATTGTTTTATTTAAAAGCTGAAGAGTTTGTATGAAGGCGCTAATATCAGGAACTACTGGTTTGAATTGATTTTTTTTTTATGTAGAGAAAAATGTTGGCCCTATTGGGATCGAACGACCACGACCCGTTGATTATTAGCCATACATTGCCAACATTACAATAAAACCCGTCAAAACGTATAGAGACCCTAGAATTAATATAAAACCTTTTTTCTCAGAATCGCGACATGAAACAGGAAAGACGAGGCCTAACTGCTTCAGACCTACGTAAAATAGAAATCGTCTATGGCTTAGAATGTCAGAATCGAGACAGACAAGCGAAAATCGAGCTTTGTCAACATTACCCTGGTATCATTAGAAAGAAGCGTGATACAGAACTAGAAGTAACAAGAAGCCTTCGTGTCAATCCAGAAATTACACCACCGCCAGCCAATGTATCAGAAGTATTGTCTAAAAGCATCAAGGACTTAGGAATAGTTGACGAAGTCCAAAACATAATAGAAGACGTATACAAGCTAACAGCACTAGCTTTGAAAAATGCTAGAGTCAAATATTGCAATGAAACCAAAGACACACTTCGCACAGACTCAAAAACAGAAGATAGGGAATCGAAAACAGACATTCTGGGAATCATAGAGATTATAACAGATTATACGCAGACAATTGTCGACAACGCTGTCAGTAATCTGACGGAATTCTGCGAAGTGTCAGAATCAATTGACAAATATGCCAGAGTTCGTTGCAGCTGGTACGATATCCAGAATAACAGATGCGGCAACTACTATAAGTCTACTAAATCGGGAGCCGTTAAGTATTCTACTCAGCATAGACCTGTTTACTACCAATCTACTAAGCATAAAGGCAGGGCTGTGGTATATAATTACGCGCACATGGGCTTCAGAGCTGGTGCAGAACTGGAAAATGCAACAGAAAATACTAATTCCAGTAGACAAAAACGTAATACAGATAATGCAATAACAGCTAGCGTTAACGAGAGCACAGATTCTACAAGCGTTGCCAGTACTAAAATTTTATCTAGTGCAGTAGATGCAAAGGAAAATACTTCTAAATCTATTCTGAGGATGGCCACGACTATACATTTACAGAAGAAGAAGAACTACGCGCCGCTAATGAGAAGATTTATACAGAATAGGTAAGAGATTTTGACATTAAACGATTTATTGACTACTGTGTTTTTATTTAATTACCTTTGCGGTTTAACTGAAATTTCTTTTGGTCTTCTGGTGTATAACATAAATGTACAAAATGCTAATTTAAATAATTGAAGTTACTATCCCCATCAAGGTATTGAGGTATTTGCAAGAACTATTAGGAAATCCCGTAGCTTCTCCTTAGATGGTTTAAAAACGTTATTAAATAAAAAAAGATGAGATATACAAACCGCTATGTAACCTACATACCTTTATACGCACTATTTTAGGTCACTATAACTAATTATAAATCTTTCTTCATTTAATGAATCTAGTTACTTCAAATAGTTATATCTAACAAAAACTATTTTAAGACTGAAAGGCGATCCAGATATTACGTCGAACAATCAAGCAAGAACCAGAGGATTTCGGCAGAAGAAGACACTGCATAGCGTGGAAAGAACGAGAGAGAAATTGGAAGAAGAGAGAGAGGAACGGTATGGATTTATTAATATATGATATATGGATTATTACGTAACGCGTTACGTAGAAAAGTTAAAGTTATCCCTTTCGACGGGGGTTTTGGGGGGCACGTTATGAGCAAAGATTTTATGAGAAATAAAACAAAATATAGTTACATACTGTGTGTAGTTTACGTGAGTACTTGGTACACATTTAAATAAAATACTTTAACGGTTCAAAACGCGATTTATATTAGTTAAATGTAGTTAAAATAATTGTTAAACTAATGTGTATCGCGTTTTAAACCGTGAAAATGTTTTATTAAAAAAAAATAGTTTACAATAATATCTTTAGGTGAGGTTATACAATTAGAACAAAATTGAAGTATTGTGTTTTTAAGTTATTAAATCAAACGACTTTTTGTCGAATAATTTTCCGCTTCATTACTTGGTTAGGTAATAATTAACTTAGTTTTCATTAATAATATAGGAATGAAAACTAATCTTATCGTATTTCATTATTTCAAGACCGAAATTTAACGAAGATACAGTTTCTTCGAACATACGAGCAAGAACGAGAAGACTTCGGCACAGGCAGAAGATACACAGTGTAGAAAGAACGAGTGAGAACTCAGATGTCTTTGAAAATTTAGAGCAAAAAAGAGAAAGAAGGTAGGACTTTGTTATTGAGAAATTAAATAAATTAAATTTCATTCGTATTATTCGCGAGGGTATTTTTGTAATAACTGTGTACATTTTATTTGTTTAAAAATAACCGTTGTATAATTGACGAGTTTTGAGGGGCCGGTTGCTGCGTTATCGATTCAAGCTACCAATAGCTCGTAGATTTGATTCCTATCACCTAAAAGATATCGTGCTTTTCCCAACCATTCAATCTACTTATAAGAGGTTGTGTGGGTAACGAATCACTGTCCAGTAACGTTTTAATGTGCCGTCCAAATTCGTGTTTCGTGTTTAGTTTGTGGATTTCCAAATGTCCAAAAGTCAGATATGGTATCAAAATATGGCAAAAAAAACCTTTCATCAAGTATCCCAAATTTAAGTATTGTTTGCAGGTGACGTCACATTTAACGTCGGGCCGTAGTTCAAATAAATTAAAAGTCAATGTAAAAAAAATAATTCCGCGTTTTAAACCGTTTAAAGTATCATTTAAAGATCTCATACTTCTCCAAATGTGAAATAAATTCTTCTTACAGACCCAGAAAACGAGAAAGGAAGATAAAAGACAGCGAAGTGCCGAAGCGGGTTAAGCTTTCTAAGCAAAACAAAGAGTTCTATAATGAAAGAAAGTGGCCAGATAACATCGTGAAATATATTATAACAGACGATAAAAGATGTAAGAACAAATAGTAAAATTTTGCATACTAATAGGTATAAAGCTTAAGAGTTTGTTTGTTTGCATGTTTCAACGCGCTAATCTCAGGAACTACTGGTTCGAATTGTTTTTGTGTCAGGTAGAGCATTTATCGAGGAAGGCTATAGGCTATAAATCATCACGCTGTGACTAATGGGAGCGAAGAAATAGCAAGAACTGTGAAAAAAACGGGGGAAATTATTTATCTCTCTGAGTTTCCGATGCGTGGGTCGCGAGCGATGGGGACGCGAACGATGCCGTTGGCAGCTTATAAATTTTGGATGCTCATAATAATTATTCTACGCGGACGAAGTCGCTGACACAGCTAGACGTTTATAAAAGACCTCGGAACGTATTAATAAGTCTGTGGTCTTCAGCGCATTTATAAACTTAAATTCTGAATTAATCATGTCATGAATTAGTTCGTAGAATTAATTCTCTATTATAACACCCACAGATAATATTAACAACTTAAGAAATCGTTTGGAAGAAGTCAACGAGATATTGAAGAAAAAGACTTGCGTTCGTTTGGAAGAAATTACGGATACGGAGTTACATACCGACTACTTGGTCTTGGATACGAGTCCTGATTATGTCACGGGAAGAGTGGGAGGGAGACAGGTATCCTTAACGACAATCATTGTTACTAAGGTTAATAATCAAAATTAGGTTGGTGTATACGCAAGTTTTAAAGTTATAAGTAAAGTCATAGATGCCAAATTCTATGAAAAACAGCCCAGCATTCATGAGATGTAAGTAACCAACATGCATCCGTCAGTTTATCCAATCGTATTTTAAAACTTTAATTCTTTATATTATGACTCATTATCAATAGTATCATTAACTCAAAACAAAATATTAATTAAAAACGTAATTGTTTCTAATTATCTATTTTTTTAACTACTATGGAATATTAATTTTAATTGATTTAGCAAGATTATTCTTCCTAAATTAATGAAAATGTGAACTCAAGACTAACTTATACCTTACGTTTATTTTTTTTGTAATTCAGCAAAAGTTTTCAACAACAGCAACAAAGTAGAAACATATATAGTTAATTTGTATAAATTTTAAGTAAACATTCACATCATATCGTTATTTTAGTCGTAGACAAATAACAATTCATAAATTAATGTTTAATCGGCAGTGTTAAAACTTTAAATTTGGCGCCAACGTGCGATGTCATATCGACAGGTAGATAAAAAAGGATAGCTCCTATAAGAAAGAACGAGATAGACTCTGTTTATACATCCTGTTTTTTTTTTTAATTTTGGGACATTTAGAAATACCATATAGAAGCGATTTTGGCCCCGTGTGTGAGAAATTCTAGTAATTTGTTAATGTTTTTAAAATCATAATGGTGTTGAATGATGAGTTTTTGGTGGTGTTGAAGGATCTCAAATTGCGCTGTAGGTTTGCATTTTGGTAGTTATAATCTAATCAAATTTTATGCTATCCTATAAATTTCTTATTACATATATGTATATAATATGTCCCAACTTTTTTAATATTCATGTAAATATAATTTCGATTCAGCCGTTCAGTGTCCACTGCTGGACATAGGCCTCCCCCATAGACTTCCAGTACGACCGGTCGTTTGCTAGTTGAATCCAGTGTTTCCCCGCTAAATATAATTTAGTCGTTCATTAAATAAAAGGTTTTGTAAATTACTTCGATGTAATCAGTACCATGTATTTTTAATAATTTATACTATACTGTTATATACTGTTTTTATACGAATAGTCCGTATTTGTTTATCATATTATATAACATATATTCATTCATTAAAATAACAGCACATTCCTCCTCGAACAGGAACTCAAAAATATAAAACGGAATGTGTTTTTAAAATTCCATATATGGCAACCCATTTCTAGAACCATCTGTGAATTCTATTATCTGATTGGCCAAAATCGTTTTCTAGAAATCTCTGCGTTGCTATTCGTAGTCTATATAAACCCGAGCGAAACGTCATAACAAGTTTAATGTCGAAGTGAAGAATTGAGATTTAGTTTTTATTCGGATCGGAAATGGTTGCAATCGGAATAGATCTAGGTACAACGCACTCGTGCGTAGCGTTATGGAAAGATAATCACGTCGAAGTGATAGTGAACGAGCAAGGTAACCGGACTACGCCGTCCTTCGTCGCCTTTACACCTCGCGAGCGCTTGATCGGCGAGCCCGCCAAAAACCAAGCGGCACTGAACCCGACAAACACCATTTTTGCGGCCAAACGCCTCATCGGGCGACGTTACGACGACGTCGGCCTGCAAATGGACTTACGCCACTACCCATTCAAAGTTGCCAACGAGAACGGTAAGCCAAAAATTCTTGTACAGTATAAGGGGAAAGCGCGGTCGTTTTCCGCGGAGGAAATCAGTTCTATGGTACTTTACAGGATGAAGGAGTTCGCTGAGGCGTATGTAGGTAAAGTCGATAAAGCCGTTATCACGGTGCCCGCATACTTCACAGACGCCCAGCGACAGGCCACTAGGTTAGCCGGCAATGTCGCCGGATTAGATGTAGTTAGGATCATTAACGAGCCGACGGCAGCCGCGCTTGCTTATGGTTACGATAAAAAGTTCAGTGGCGAAAGGAATATCCTAGTATACGATTTGGGGGGTGGTACCTTTGACGTTTCAGTAGTTTGTATAGGTGATAATTCTGTCTATGAGGTTAAATCAACCGCTGGTAACTCCCGGTTGGGCGGCGAAGACTTCGACAATCGTTTGGTCGCTTACTTTGCTGAGGATTTTAGGAAGCGCTTTGGTAAAGAGGTGTTAAGGAACAGCAAATGCTTGCGGCGGTTGAAGTCTGCAGCTGAAAGAGTCAAGTTATATCTAAGCTCAGCTGTTGAAGCCACTGTTAACATAGAGTCTTTATACGAAGGCATTGATTATAGCCACTCCATTTCGAGAGCTCTCTTTGAAGAGTTATGCTCAGATCTCTTTCTAGATACCCTCAAACCAATAGAGAAAGCCCTTAAGGATGCTAAAATGAATAAAAGCAGCATTAGTGACATTATTTTAGTTGGAGGCAGTACCAGAATACCAAAGATACGATCTATGCTTAAAGAATTCTTTGATAAAGATCTCATCAGTTCTATTAACCCAGAAGAGGCTATCGCTTGTGGTGCAGCCATCCAGGCTGCAATTGTAACAGGTGAACAAGCAGAAGATCTCAAAAATCTGCTGCTAGTTGATGTAGTGCCATTGTCCCTCGGTGTAGAAACAGCTAGAGGTATGATGTTCAAAGTGATAGAACGCAACACACCGATACCTTGCCGCAAAGTAAGAGAAATCACAACACTAGAAGATTACCAAAGCTCTATGACTATTGAAGTATTCGAAGGAGAACGGAGCTTGACCAAAGACAATAATCTACTAGGAGTATTTGAATTGAAAAATATCCCTCCAGCGCCTAGAGGTGTGCCTAAAATCAATGTCATATTTGATATAGATGCTAATGGTATTTTAACAGTGTCAGCTGAAGACAGTAGCACAGGTAACAAAGAGCAAATTACAATAGCTAACACGCACAGATTAGACAGAAATGAGGTCAATCAAATGATAGCAGATGCTGCTAGGTTTCAAGATGAGGATACAGAAAATAAACGACGTTTGGAGGTTAGAAATCAGCTAGAGACATACATTTATGGTGTTAAGCAGTCTGTGGTTGAAAATTTAGAAAGTCTGAGCAGTAGTGAGTGTGCAGCTATGATAGGGGAATGCAAGGATGCTATATCTTGGCTTGAGGATAATATGGATTGCTTGCGAGAGGAGTATGAAAGGAAGATGTCGGAACTACTTCGGAAGTGGTCTAGCACAATATGGAAGTTTAATCAGCGGTGTCGTGGTGCTAAACGACAAAAGAGTGAGAATGAATCAAATGACAAAGAATCTACAATCATAACGGAGGTTGTAGACAAGCATTGATTTTTAGTTTTGGTAAGTCTGTCATGTAAGCGAAAGGCCGTTTCCCCCTCGTGGGGCATGGGGCGAACACATTTCTGCGTCCATTTCACTGACCCGTTCTTTTATACAATATTAACTTAAACAATAGTCTGGTATCAGACTATTGTTTAAGTATAAAAGGACAGCTATTGAAGTTTTTTTATATGGTAAAAAAATACTGGGCTGATTTACAAGTATGTTCTATATACCGCGTATCTAATAGTTTTATTTTGTCAATCTTGAAAATGTTCTTTGTGCCAAGCACAGGTAAACTAAGACTTACACTCGCTTTTCACTAATAACTCACATTTTATATAATACCCTAACTTTTCTCATATCATTTTAAATTTTCCAGAATTTTCGGGAAATTCCTGAATAGCAATTTGCACAATCACATAAATTTTTGACATCAATTGGCCATTTAAAATTAAAATTGCTTCTTACTTTATAAACATAATATAATGGGATTGTTACCATATTTTCTAGATATCATCTGGCGATTAAGTAAGTGTTTTTCTCTAGATCATAAAGGCAAGTTCGTTATTTTTTGGGGTGTTGCTCAGATAAAAAATTAAAATCTAGTTTTTTAAGTGTGTTGTTTAACTAAATGTTTTAAATCATTAATGGAAGTGAAATTGTAGCCAATCAATTTACATCTGGCAACACTGTTTTACATCTCAGCTAGTGAATTTACACTTGGTAATATTTCAGGTTTTCTGTGGCCAAACATGAGGATTACAGTTTTATTGCCATCATGGCAGATAAGAAAATAAATCTGCCTCCCTTTGTTTACAATCTACCTCAATTTGTGTATTTTTTTTAAAAGTATATTTGCTTTTATAATTTGGATATTTTATTTCAACCTTTGATATATTGGAAAGGTTTAATAAAATCCTATATGAGTGTATTAAAAAATGTGCCATATAAAATAAATACTGTAAAAATTAAAAAGAAACTATAAAAAAAATCATTTTGTTCAAAAAAACAATTACATTAATAACTTCAACTTAATCTAAACACTAGCTTTATTACTCCAATAAGAAAATCAATTAATTCAGTCACTAATATTGCAAAAATGATGATCACAGCTTTTTTAAATACAATTTCTTTCTACCATGTTATTTAAAATGTATCATGGTGAGTATTAAAACTATCATTATAATCAAATTAATCCACTAAAAAAGAGGTTTAAGTGACAAACACAGGTTATGGCGGATTTGGTTTAAAAAATTAATATGAATGATTATGACTTTAAAATATTTCTAATTGGTGAAGGTTTAATACAATGTTAATATATTACTATTTTTATCAAAATCTCAATAAAGTTATCTTTTGTCAGATTTTCGGATCAGTGGAATTATTTGAAGGCGGGCAACACAGACAGCATGGCGCCATGATGGTTATGGCGATGCTCGGTTTCTACTTCGAAGTATCCCGGGAAGATCGAGATACTTATATCCGTGTACACAACAGACATATAAGACCAGGTAATGTGACACAATTTTGTCTAAACTCGTCTCAGGGTATGAGGCGAACAAAACTTTTTTGTATGTTTATGAACCCACATTTTATTATAACCAGTCAATTCTAACCAGTTTAGCCAAGAAATAGGAAACATTCTCAGTAACTTATTACAGACAAAATTTATAATTTGATTTTTATAACCTACCTACATGCAACTTCTTAATTACACTCAGATAAACTGCATCATTTTGAAAAGATCCGTTCTGACGCTACGCTGCCCTTGCCATACGACTATCTTAGTGCGACGCACCCTGCTTGGCAGTTTTGGAGGAGAATAGGCAAAAGGGGAATTTCAACTGTTGCTACTTACAAAGACAAGGTGGGTAGTTTGGTTTTTTAATTGCTCGTTTTTCCAGTGGTGACAGTGTAAGGCTAAGATATTTATTAAACCCGCCAGGCTTACCTTACTAGGGTGAATTTAAAAATGAAATTCCGAACTGCCGTCGTATATACCGACGGTAGATAGGAAATCTGTTAAGTGCTAATTCGCAATTCTGTCCTGTTTTAGTCTCGACTGTGTATCTTAAGACCTTATTATAAGCTTTTAGTGAACCCCAATCTGTCTTCTATTCTTATAAAATTTTTAAAGAACTTTAACCGCTGAACCATGAAGATAATTGTTTTTTTTTTCAGGACCCAAACGGAGATATCATGAAGTCTCTTGGTCAAAATGAAGATTTGTTATCGAAATACGATTTAGTTAAGATCAATAGTGTATACGGTGTAGACTGTTTTGTTAACCAACGGCGAATGAAAATGTGGAGTAATGTTTCAATAAACGCTCAACAATATGTTTGTTTTATTTATGGACTAACGGCTTTTAACTGAAATTATGTATGAGCTTTGGGTGGTTTGCCTAAAAAAATGTGAATGTTGTTATTCTAATGTCCTAGTAGTGGATTTGATTCTCGCCCTTGACATCGATAGACTAAATAATTATTTGGTTTTTCTTTACGTTCTACCCTATGTTGGGAATGGGGCGAACACATTTCTGTGTCTATTTCATTGATGGTAACCATTATATCGCCTATGCGAGTAATTTAATCTTGGCAACGCCTTGGTTATAACTTATTGAAGTACGGAAAAGTAACATTGTTAATAAGAGATGCTAAATTTAACTAAAAGAAAGTAATATTTTAAAAATTTACGAGTTCTGTGGCTCAAATTATGTACTTATTAATATTCTGCATAATATATTGTATAGTACGTCATTAGGCATTGAATCTTAAACAAAAAATTGAAAATGCTTAATAAAACTATATAGCTATATATTAACATTTTGAATACAACCATCAACATTCTGTTTCGTCAAGCTAATATCGCTCTTGCTAATTACGTTATAAATGCTAATATCGTCTGCGTAGCGGCGTCGCTGCATCACGCACTTCTCTGCATAAATTATCAAGCATACCGCTGTAAAAAAATTATCTATATTACTATATAATAAGAGGTATTACTTATTTTAATATAACACTAACGGTTTACCGCAACAGTTGACTTGTCGGTAGCCGCAAAGCATCTGAAACGCCGGGCTTGGAAATATGATTTGTATTAAGTTTAACTAATATATTTCGCGTTTTAAAACCTTTGAAGGGTTTTATTTAAATGTGTACTACTCGCGTAACTTTAGACAGTTTTTAGGTTTTACTTGGTATAAAATAAACTTTAACATTATTGAAAATATAGAAAACATTTTGTCGATAAAAATCTACTACATGGTCAGAATAAAACAGTCTAGAGATGGAACATTAAATATTATTATTTTTTAAAATAATATTTTATGGCCTGGTAACGGAACTTTTAGGCTAGTTACTTTTATCAAGTAAGTAAATAACGATAACATTGTTAATAATTTAATACACTTACCAGGTCTCTCTACAGTTAAAGGACTCATTCTTTCGATTTTATGCTCTTGCTTCCAGTGAAAAAACATTTTCTTTATTATCGCCATCACTAACGCTATCATGAAAATACTTATTCCAAATAAAATTGTATATAACGCCATTAAACGGTTACATTTTCAAAATATCTTATACAGTAAGAATAATGTTTATTTATACATTATGTTTTAGACACTGTCAAACCAACTTTTTAAGATCTCGTCACTCTATAATTATATATAGTCTATGGTCACGTACAGCTGTTTTTTATAATCTGTATAGAAGAAACGCGGGAAAGTGTAACGCGCAGTGTAGGTTTTATGTAATCGAGTAATACGAATAATAAACACAATATTAATATTATGTAAATAGATGTTTTTAGCCATGTTAAAATAAAATTTTCCAAGTTATGGATGAATACGGTTTGTTTTTTTTTTAATTAATATAAAAATGCATATTCTTGTCGTAACAATCCATAATCTCTGTTGCAGTGAATCTTTTGCTACAGAAATATCGTTTGGCATTTATTTTGGCTATTATAAGAAATAAACCCGACGATATAAGCGTAGAAGGATACATTAGCTCCCTGAGAAGTAAAATGTGTGAAAATATAAATGACTTTGGTATAACCGAAGATGATTTTAATTTGAGTGATGAAACAAATTTTATGGACGGCGACGAATTAAATGACAGTGTTACTTTATTAAAGGATTTTCATGATTTGAGCCAAGATGACGAACAAAGTAATGTGCGTTTTAATCCAATTTGTTATTTATTATGGTAAACTACGCAATAGGTCTTAATTTGGTATTTGTTAATTGGGAAAGTCGTTTCTTAGACGAATTATAAAAATATATCTATTTATTTATTAAGCACCAATCAATTGAGAAAGCCAAGTGTTTTTAGTCGAATTTTAAAATATTTTACATAAATGTATTAACTAGGTACACAAACATTTTTTAAAGTACTTTAACTTACTTTTTATGAGGACAATTATTATGTACCTACTTGTATTTATAAATGCGGCCGAGGATTGCGTTTGATGCGAAAGTCAAAAAAACCTGGGTTCGAATCCTAGAGCACAATGAAATGCTACGATTGGCATCCAGAGATAAATATTGCTTTTTATGTTATTTATTACTTTCTTTGGTTATATAAAGCAGTATAGAATAAAAATACCGCGATGGTACAGACCACTAAAATAGGATATTATTATAGAAATAGGCAAAATCAATTATTCGATCCATAGAAGTTTTTATATAATGTCGTAGCTTTCTAAGGAAGGTAGCTTTAGAAAAAAATCTGTCAATTAATTATTGAAACGAAACGATTGATGTATACATGATGATGTGATATCCCTTCGAATTTTAATAAAACACAAAATTTTTAGATTCAGGACACACCTATTGAAAAACTACCACTAACCGAGTCGAACCAAATTGGTGAATGTTCGACAGTCTCTAGCCACCTAAGCAACGCTCATATTGACTTTAAGGATATTCTTAAATCAAGAGATGAAGGCAATTTATGTAAACAGACAGACGAATTTCAATCCACAGTCAAGGATGTGCGGATCTATGACTCTCAAAACACTAATATGTCTGTTTCAAATGATAACTTCACTCATATAAGTCAAAGTCAGGACAATGTCACCATAGATTCTACTTTTGTAAGAAATAAGCGAAAATCCAATACCAAATCGATTAATAAAAACAAACTATTAAGAAAGGCAAGCGCAGATAAAACAAAAGCCGAAAAAAATATGCAAAACAATTTTGAGAGTGAAAGCGTAAAAACGCATATACATAAAAATCTCAAACCGATTCAGTATACCGATATTACAGAAATAGCCTCTAATATTGTAGGCGATACAGGTAAAGTAATAGAGGCTGCAACACAAGATTTATCACAAGAAACCCAATGGTACGAAGATTTTGAATCTTTGATTGATAATCTAAATCCAAATCAAAACCAAGATAATAATTATCTTGAAACTCAAAGCGTACAATTCATTCATAAAAAATCTAAACCTATACAGTATACGGAATATTCTATAGAACCAGGAATAAGTAATGTTACAACTTTGAATGACATTAACCGAGATAATCAAATTATCAGCGATGACACTTATTTTAGTCCTAATTCTAATAGTACTGCAATGGAAGTACAACAAGCAATAAGTAATAGAATCGATTCTAATGCAATTGTTTTTAGGCCAGACAATGTTTCAGCTGATACCAAATCTATGGAATCTCAATCAAATTACTTACCATATGATGCACCAAATGAAAATGTACAGAACACGACACATGTACATTCAAATAAACGTACCGTAGACGTGTTGTCTAGTAGACAGGACATTTTCAGAGCAAAAAATGCACCAAATTCAACACTTTTTACCAATACGACTGGTTATGTGCAAAACGAAAATACTTTAGATTTTTTCACACAACACAGAGATGTCAATAGTGGTATAGAAATTGAAATAATGAACACAAACGGTGAAGATTCTTTGAATGTTTTAAATGACTTCCCTATGGGGATATCAAAAAATACCTTAACAGATACGAACATTTCAAATGTACGTGACTGTGATAAAACCGCAATTAACAATTCATTAGGAGTAAACGAAATAATAAAAACAAATGATTTTAAACGTCTCAAAGAAGACTATTCACTTACAGCAGCGCATGAAATTAATAAATTCAATGTAAATAACGAAACAGATCATACTAATGACAGTATATTAATTCACAGAAATGATGATAGAAATTTCTTACTCGACAAAGTTCCAATGAATACTCAGCGTAGAATAAATGAACTGAATTCATTTAACGAAATAGAACTAACTAATGAGAGCATTGCGTTGAATGAAAAGAATAATGATACTGAGAATTCACTTAACAAATTTGGCTTTGAAAATATTCATAGCGACGAAGAAAATGCATTGACGGAATCCCAAGCTGAAATTGTGCCTTTCAAAGTAATGGAAGAGTTGAGTAAAGTAAAACATTATTTGAATAAGCTTGATGTAACTGACTCTGGTTTTAGAAGCATTCGGTCTAATAGTGGTAAATGTCCTATTTGTTGGTAGATTAAATTTAAGTGTCGTAATTTTCCTTTTATTACAAGAAGACATGATATTCGTTTAAAAGGCCATTCATATAACATCTAAACAAGACCTATGTTGGCATGAACATGACTTAAAACGAAACCGTGGGGGTCGTTACCCCTTCATGACCAACGGGTGCAATTTCAAATCAAAATATCATAATTCCGCCCTGGTCACAAACCACCGCCCACAAATGAAAAAATGATTTTTAAATGTCCAACGCCAAAATAAGTCGACACCACGATTTATTTACCTACACAAAATATGACTGGGGTTTGCCACCTTCCTTCAAGTCGTGAATGTGGCTTTTACTTTTTTTACGGTTTTAACGTGTTAGGTTTTTTAAAAATAAATAAAATCCTTATCGTACTAAAAGACCAATGGAGGATATTGGATTTTGAATATAGGATACTTAAATTTCTACACACGTTCTATGTTGATTTGAAGTTTTATGTTCCCTACCAACCTAATATCGGTTGATTACTGTAGGCGTGACAGAAACATACATACACATTTCTAATAAAATACATTTTTATAAAAAAGTAACAGAAACAGAAAATGGTCTATTGCGGGTAGGACTAGACTATGACTCTGTTTTAACAACTACCCTATTTTTCAGCTTCCCAATATGGATTTTGGCTGAATCAATCGTCGCATTGTCTGTTTGCTTATTTGTCCCAAACTCCACTGTTGGTTTCAACGATGGATATAAACTATGATATAGCAAAGGTATATGAGTCGTTTTTTTTAATAATTACTAAATAAGATTAACTAATATATATCGCGTTTTAAGCCGTTAAAGTTTTTTATTTTAAATTTTCTTCTTACATCTCGTTTTTTTTAAATAAGAAAATATAAATCCAGGTTCTAGGTACGCTAATAGATAGATTACACGAAGATGAAAAATATCCAACATTTCTCGAAGAAATGCTACAATTCATTTCAAATATGTTGAATAATATTTACGAGGGGAACGAAAATGAAAATTTTGTGAGTACTTACCAATCTATATCCTTCTGTCGTTTCTTTATGCAAAATTTCACCTTTACATGTTAATCCGTTTTTTTTAATGTAAGATGCCATATTGATATGAAAACGGACAATACTATTGTTTAATACGAAATCGTTTTTCATCTTAGTTTAATTTTAATATATTGAAAAAGATTTTTTTCTCGTTATACTTGGGGTATTTTTTTTTACAATTTATATATTTGATGTACGGTTAGTGGAATTAAATATTAATTGTGTAATAATTATGAAATCTAAAGAATATATTAAGCATTATCTGTAGTTTACGCGAGTATTTCACGTGTAAATTAAACACGTTGAACGGTTTAAAACGTGAAAAACATTACTTAACTTATTTAAATTATGGCCAAACGTATAAAAGCTGCAAAGCATCCGAAATGTCGGACCATAGTTAAAATAGAAATAGAAAAACGTTTCCTAATATATGTCGCGTTTTAAACCGTTAAAAGTGTTCATCAATTTTTCGCGAAATAATTATTAAATATTAAGTACATATAAAAGTTTATTCCAGTTTCTCAAAAACGACGAAAATGTAGACCGAATTCTCCTTTTAAACAAATCACACAACATAATTAAGTTTACTTTGGAGAAAATAAACAAAATCCTTGTGAATTTTCAAGAACACTTAGAGAGGGATTTGATAGAATTGGAAAACGTGGAAAAGGCGGAAAACGTATCGTACATTTTCCATTTACTTGAAACACTACTGAAAAGATACTCAGCGGAAAATTTGAGCCAGTCTCTTTCTCAGGAAGGAGTTTTCAAAAAGTCCACTCTTACCGATATCTGGCGGAAGAAGTGGAGTCTATGTAAGGCAGAGAGTGAGAGAGAGATCGCAAAGAAGAAAGATATTTTGGAGGAATGTAGCGACGTGCTGAATAGGATTATTGTTAAATCCATGAACGGGTATAGCTTAGTCGCATACGCTGCGCTGGAGTGTTTTAATGTATTACAAAATTAAATAAATCGATCTTACCTTTTTTATTTACGAATAAAATACTTAACTGAATGGAGGAGGTTTCCAGGGCTGTTTTAAAGCATCCGGAACGTCAGACGGTAGTTACAATAAGTTAATTTTGTATATTTTGCGTTTTAAATTGCTAAAAGTGTTTTAGTTAAATATACATGTGTTTCAATGTGTTATAATTAACGGGGCATGGGGTCGGGCCCCACCGGGCCCAACGTGTTTCTTAGGGGTTGTCCATTTCCTACAGGGGGGAGGGTTTGATAAAAATCACAAAAATAACACAAAGGGGTTTTTTTATTTTTTCGTGTATTTATTTTTTCGTCAAACGCCATTTTAAAACCAATGGTGTAAATTTATTATGGTCCTTTAGGAAAATAAGATTATAGTTTATACCTCTTTCTTAAATTAAAATAATTTTCATTAAATTTTTTTTTTTTTTTTTTTTTTTTTAAAAAAACAATTTTTTTTGGGGGGGGGGGGGGGGGGTTTTTACCCCCCCCCCCCCCCCCCCCGGGGGGGGGGGGTTTTTTAAAAAAAAAAAAAAAAAAAATTTTATATAAACCCCCCCCCCCTTTTTTTTTTTTTTTTTTTTTTTTTTTTTTGAAAATAGGAATATCGGAAATTCGTCCGGGTCACGATCCACCGTCCTCAGTTTAATCGCATTTTGATTTTAGTCTGTGCGTGTAGTTTAAAACTAAATATCAAAATCAAATCGATCCAAGTTAGCATATTCTCCTTCATCATAAGGAAATAAATTTAACGTAAATCACAATTGATTATCTAAAAAATATATATGAGTCCGCTAGGGGCAGAGTAGCCTAACTGCAATTTTATGATTTATTTATATTTTCACAGTGACCGAAAATTGTTAATTGCGCATTTTTATTTTCCTCTTTATTGAAAATTGTTTTTTTTTTGCTATTAGGCCACTCTGCCTCTAGCTGCCTCATATAATCTGTGGTTGCCTTAAAATGATAAAAATATTTTAGCTTAATAATTTAATAAAAATATCACAGATTCAATCATATAGCGCAGTCAATTGTTCTTCTAACTTATCCTTTTCGCAAACTTGTTTGAGATGTCTGTTTAATTTGTTTTTACCCTGCAAAGTAAATAAAAATACTTAGAATTTAAAACTACCTACATACGACACATCTACTTTACTATTTTATATAAAGCTGTTGTAATACTTTGAGTAAAAATATAATAACATCGTCGTGGGTTCGATTCCCGTTATACATGTTTGTAAATTATGTATTTTCAATTTCTCTAAATACGTTAGACTCGATGGCCTTGCAGGGTCCTGCAAGGTCTTAGAACCCTGGTCCCCCAAGATTGCAGGACCAGGGTTCGAACTCTCGCTATACAAATTCCAGTCGGGCAGAGCACAGGAATGTATTTATTCCATTTCCCAACAGTTATGTGATTAGAATCGCATCATGTTAGCCCACCTTTTAATTTCATATTGTAATTACCTGACCGTAAGAACTTTACATGTTTCTTTAAATTGCCTACCCACATATTTTTATTTAAACCTCGAAATTAACTAAACTGTTAGTATATTTTAAATTAAGCTATTTACTTTCTTATAAGTGATGATATGTTTAATCTTCGAGAATAAATTCTTTAAACCTAAACCTAGTCTTTTATATATAACACTTTAACGGTTTTAAAGTTAAATATATTAGCGTGACCACGGCTGCTGTTAAAAATAATTTTAACTAATATATTTCGCGTTTTATACCTTTAGAGTGTTTTATTTCAATGTATACGACTCATGTAAACTACCGACCATATTTTAACGTAGGCTATCGTTATGGCAAATAAATAATGTTTTTTTATTTACCTTAAAACTATTTCCACACAAATGACAAACGGCTATTTTAGCTACAACACCCGGTGTGTGTCGTTTGATGTGTCGTATTAACGATTTTCTGCTTGTGTAAGAGTTTGCGCAGATCGTGCAGTTATACTGCGCCGGCGCATGTGTCTGCTCGTGCGCGTCTAGTGCGCTCTGTGTTGCGCATATGCGGCCGCATATCGGACACTCTAGCCTGAAGTCATAAAGCCACAAACATACATTAAAAAGGAAGTAAAATCAAAGAAATACTAATTTAAAACTAATTTTAAATTAATATAAAATATTTTGTTTCAGATATCAAACAGGATAGTAGCTTTCAATATCAACTTTTGGAAATTTTAATATTCTTCACATTTTATTGCGCATGATACAAATAAAACACAAAAAAAAATCTTTTTTTTTTTGAAAAAAAATTAACACCCCAAACTACCCTCAACGTAAAATCGATACATCCGGACTCGGTAGCTCAATTGGTTTGAGCACAGAACGCCGTGGATGCCAACGTTCAAGTCTTGCCCGTGTCGTAAATTCTTTTAAACTAAAATTTAAATTAATACCAACTTACACAGTGTTCTGATGTGCGGCAGTCCGCCTGATATGCGCCAAAAGATTCTTGCGACTATCAAAAATTTCCTCGCATAGTGTACAGTAATGCTGCTCTTTGAGAAGGTCGTGTTTCTTCTTGTGTCGGGCTAGAGTGTATGGATTCTTGTACACAGCTGGGCATTTCTCGCATTGAAATTTACCATTTATGTGCTTTCTGGAAGGTTGAAAGTTTCATCAAATTTTGTTTAGCCCTAAAAACAGATTAGCGTCTTTTAAGGCACACAATTCAATATCAAAATCAATTTAAATACTGTCTATAGTTTACGCGAGTAGTACGCATTTAAATAAAACACTTTAACGGTTTAAAACGCGATATATTAGTTAAACTTATTTAGAATGATTTTTAACTTCGGCCCGACGTTTAAAATCATCTTCAAATAAATTTAACTAATATATCGCGTTTTAAACCGTTATAGCCGTTGGAGCATGTAAACAGTATAAAAAGACATCTTTGTCTTTAATATGTACTCAACTGCACAAACTTTAAAATTGTAATATTAGTTTAAACAAATACAATACTCCTTTAATATAATTGGTTGATTGACTTTGATTCCTGACAATGAGAAAAACATAATAATTTTACGAGTATTATAAGACTATTACGAGTATAATATATGGCTAACAATAAGAATGTACAATTTTTCCGAAACATTTGGCACTTGGAAATCTGGATATTGAATGAGTGGTCGGAATATCGGAATTTCGTCCAGGAATGCCGTGAACTTTGATCGCGTTACGGTATCAATGTTTGACACATCTTGTCTAAATACTGTCTATAGTTTACGCGAGTAGTACACATTTAAATAAAACACTTTAACGGTTTGAAACGCGATATATTAGTTAAACTTATTTGAGAATGATTTTTAACTTCGGCCCGACGTTTCGTCGTTCTCGAGTCTCCCATGAGTGACCACGGCTGCTGCAAAGCATCCGAAACGTCGGGCCGAAGTTAAAAATGATTTTCAAATAAGTTTAACTAATATATCGCGTTTCAAACCGTTAAAGTGTTTTATTTAAACATCTTGTTTAGATGTTATATGCCTCGGGCATTTCCCTTTCCGTTAAGTGATCCCGTGCTTGTCTGTCTCCCTACCATAAAAAAAAAAAATCTCGAACATGATAATTGCTTCTTTGTTTCAATTATGAAGCGATGTCCCGAGTTCCATTCACGGTTAATAGATATTCGTTCTTAATACGGCCTACAAGGCTTATTACTCACTTTCCTATATATGTTCATTTTAAAAACACAGATATGTGCCTGGCCTATGGAAGTCTACTTACATCATATGTGTTTTCAAAACAGACGGACTAGTGAAACTCTCATTGCATATCGTGCATGAGTGTAGCCGGTTCGATATCTTGGCGTGCACTCTGCGTAAGTGCTGCTGAAGTCCATTTGCATCTCTGTCAATTAAAGGTTTAAAAATTTAACGTATTAAACGTCTGTAGTTTAACGGAGTAGCACATTGAAATAAAACAATTTTAAAATTGGTTTAAAACGCGAAATATATTAGTCAACTTATTTAAAAGTTAATTTTAACTACGCCGTGGTCACGGGGGGGATTGAAGATGGTGGGTGACCCAAATGTCAAAGTCTAAACTGCTACGCTAGCGCCAACTGCTTCATTGTAGTTGGTATTAGGAGAATCTAGCTTGGTCCTTACGAAACTGACTCACGATATTTTCCCGTTCCTTGATGTGTCGTTTTTTTTATCTGGTTTTTTTAAAGACGGTTCCTTAGCAGCCATAGTCACTGTGACTTTATATCACGTTTTAAACCGTTATAAATATACTAACTATAGAAATAAGATAAGTGGATATACCTACCGAAAGAGATTCCCACACAAGTGACAAGGTACCACCTCGTCAATTTTTGTCTTAAAACAAGGGTGTGTCCGTTTCGCTCTCGGCTTCATAAGTTCCCCGCATAGCAGACATTTATATATGTTCGAATGCATCTCATTGTGTGTCCGTAGTAATGCGTGCGTTGAGAACCGCAACGTGCAAGTATCGCAGAGGAATTCACCGTTGGACTGAAAATGAGGTGATTTTTTATAGTTGCTTTAATTTAATAAACAAAATTCAGACATCTTTTTTTTTATTTTAGAGTAAGACAGACAAACAACGGAATTCAAAACAGATAATAATATAAAACATTTAACACCGTTAAAATATGTTTTATTTTAATGTTAAAAATCAATTTACATTAAAAAAAAAATACAATACGGACGGGACTTGAACACAGCGTTCCGTGCTGCTGCTGCTGCTTACCAATTAAACTTTGCGTCATTCGAACAAACATTACTTAAATAAATACTATTTACTTAGCTGTGTATATATTAGTATAGATTTACAACAATTATAACCAAAGAATTGTATTGATAATTTCGCAACTTTACTCAACGCCTCCGTGGCGCAATTGGTTAGCGCGTTCGGCTGTTAACCGAAAGGTTGGTGGTTCGATCCCACCCGGGGGCGAAATATAATTTTTGATAAATTAATATTAACGTGAAGGAAAAAGAATAACAAATAATAAGGTGGAAAAAAATAATTGTATCTATTTTTTTTTAATATTTTAAGAATATTTATTGTAATAGTAAAATATAAGTAAATTTTACCTCTTCATGCCGCATCATATGAGCTTGGTAGGTATCTTTAAATAAAAATCCTAGCGCACAGTTGTAGCATTTAAATTCCGCTTCTATATACTTCTTACTTTTTCTATTCCGTTCCAACTCTTTCTTCTGCTCTTCAATTGTAAGAATGATCTTTTTGAAACCTTTCTTCTTCTTTTTCACTTTTTTATGTTCTATATGTGATTCGATTTCTCCCAATTTATCTGTTTTAACATCATCAAAGCTTTCAACATCATCAATAGTATCGTCATTAATATTGGTGTTTGTATCATTTGTGTCATTATTACAATCATTAATGATAGTTACCTTATCATTTTCTCTTACAGGGTTTGGAATTACATTTTCGTTTAAGTTAGCATTTAAGGTTTTGTTGTTTACCTGACTTGATTGGAGAGTATTTTCAAATTCATTTTCAACAATATCATTTTCAGCTACTGTCACTGCATTGACTGTATTTGAAATATTACTTATATTTTGCATACATGATTCGTTACGTATACTGTGATGTTTTATTTGATTCTCATAGTCATTTAAATCGAAATTTGGTTGATTAATTTCAGTGGTGAAATCACTCCTGCTTTCATTATAATTTAAACCGATATTATCATTATTTTTACATTGCACATTATTTATGGGAGGTATCTCTACATTATACTTGAAATAATCAAAGTTTTCATTGAAATTGTGAAAATGTTCATCGTTTAACACTGTGTCTGTCTTATCATTAATATAATCATAGTTTTCAGTGACTTTTTCGACATCATATTGATTTTTCATAAAGCAATCATATTCATCCTCTAACTCGACATATTGGTTATCATTAACATGATTCTCATTAAAATGGCTATGATTAAAGTCGGTTTGGTTAAAATGATTATTGAAATCATTATTGTAATCATACTGGTATTGTTTGACTTGGTATTGATCACAGTCTTCTGGGCAAAGGATATTTATTTCTATATCACTTCTATGCAGATTTATTGTTCCTTTTTCACTGAAAGTAGAATTATATATAGCTAGAAAATATAGTATTGCATTTACTTTAAAACATATTTATAGCAAAATTTGAGCAAAGAAGACTGTATTTATTTAATAAAAAAATGTCACATCTTTCTTATCTACCCTAAATACTGTGTCTAAATTATATTAGAAGAATACGTAAAATAAAAAAGTTTGAGAGCTTAAAACATTTAAATAAAACACTTTAGCTGTGGTCCTGGGGAAACACTCCCCTATTGCTGCAAAGCATCCGAAACCTCAGGCCAAAGTTAAAAATGATTTTCAAATAAGTTTAACTAATATATCGCGTTTTAAACTGTTAAAGTGTAACTCAACTCACGTAAACTATAGACAGTATAGCTTAAAACATGTAGACTTAAAAAAATAATAATTTTTATTTACAACCTAACATTGAGTTATACACTATGACCAGTATTAATAGATGTATCACTTGTATTACACCTAAATATTAAACATATGAAGTGTAAAGTACGTACAATATTTTTTACTATATGTGATTAATTAGTAATTATGTATTGATATATAAAAACAGCTTACCTGAACAGTACAGGGTATTCCAGACTTCTTTTCAAGCATATTGATCGAAACATAAACAGCTTATGCAGGACATGACAGCATATGTAGCATAAATGTGAATCAGGACATAGCTAAAATGGAGTTATAGTTATAATGATTTATATATTATTTTATAAAAAAAACAGTGTATCTAAAACAGTCTAGCAACCATGGATATTCTCTTTTATTAATTTTAGTTCTAGCGTTGAACAATATTTGAGTGATAGATTTTCTTTCAATTTGCGAAATTTTGTTAGTAATATAGAATAGCAAGTATTTTACTTGGTAGAAATAGTATTAATTAGTTATTAATCAATGGTAATATTATTATATCTCTTGTTAAAATTTCATTCAACATAAGAAATAAACATTTTTATTACATAAGATATTTGACGACATGCATATTTAGATACCAGGAAGTTTTACTGTCTTTTTATATTGTCCTTATTTAGATAACTGCTATAACCATCGTAAAAAGATTAAAAGACCTACATGAATGCCCACGACTTCTTTGTACTTTTCACGAGTTTCCTCATTAGTCTCATCATTAACAGTGCTGTGGCATAAAAAACACAGAAACGAAGACATTTCAGTTCATTAATTCATTTATAATACAATAGAAAACAATGTCTTAAGATGTGAAATTTGTTAGATTGTATCAATATTTTTCATAGTTTATTTGTTTACATTTTTATCTTGACACTTAGGTAAGTGACAGTGACAGTGTTTTCTAAAGCTGACCATAGTCTTAAGCCTGGTTTGACGTTGATTAAATAAAGTTTTTTTATATGTTACTATTAGTATTATTAATTATAAATCTTTGAAATTAACTAGTTTTCGATTCAATAATTTGATATTTAATACGCAGCGGCTCACATCCCTTACTTAAATTGATAATCTAACCAAATTGTCAATTTAATTGCAACACCCAGTCACGCATGTCGTACGTCAAAAAGAGGCGAATTTTGTTCATCGGAGCGTAAATTAATAAAAAACTAGATTGCATAGTGAAATTTGATGTAGCGCTAAACGGAGGACAATAAAAGCGTATTATATATGTGAGAACATTCAGCGGTTGATATTTGCTTAAATTAACCCTTGTATTTGACCCTTGAACTAGATTTGCCTGTGCCCAGCTAAAAGCTCAAATTATATTATTCTCGTATTTCCTGTACTCGTGCGACAACCGTTTATTATTAAATTGGAAGAAAAATCATCGTGGTAACGTGACCTTGTGCTAAGTGATGTTTTTCGTAATATTTGCCGGCGCAGATAATTACCTAGTGTATGCTAAACAAATTATTTGATGAAACCATCCACTGATGATATTTGCTGTGAAAGCGTTGGTGAGTATATTCCTTATTCAAATTTTATTTAGTATATTCTGTAAACAAATACCGCCATTTAGTAAAAAATATATTCTATACTAAAAATAAAAAAAAAACAATATTACAAAAATAAAATCATATTAAATTGTATGTGTAATAAATTGTATAACATCTTGTAATCTCGATTAATTTGTTTAAAGATGGTGTTATTTTAATCTAATTAGAAGTATTAGGTCAGTAGGTGCTTGTCTAATAGGATTCTACTTTGATATTTTATAGCAAGACTCTGAATAAATATTCTATCACAATATTAGACAAGAGAGTATACTTACATTTTTAAAACACTATTTACAAATTTCATATATATTTATTAAACTTATTGAAAATTATTTTAACTATGGTCCGACATTGTGCCACGACCACTGCTGCTGCAAAGCAACTTAAGTATCTCAAAAATTTAACTAATATATATCGCGTTTTAAATGGTTAAAGTGTTTTATTTAAATGTGTACTACTCGCTAAACTAGACAGTGGTTACATTTTTCTCTTTTTTTTAGAAATGGAATATCATTTGACTATCTTCAAACTATCCTAAATTATGTTTATATTCTGTGGGGAATATAATAACACAGGTGTGTTTTGTAAACACCCTTAAATCCAGTAGATAAAATTGATAACTAATATCAAAGTTGATTGCCCCATACCCTATTTTACTTTTCTACCAAGCAAATAGATTGTAATACCAAAATATCCTTTAAAATGTCTCTTTATCTGTGATTGGAGCATATGCATTTTACTTTCCTGTTATTATATGATAAGTATATCTCTTGATGTCATGTTTGTTATCTAAGTATTTTTTAAAATAGATAATTTACTTAAATACAGGGTTTTAACAAGTATGAATAATCTATGCTACATACTTAGTCTTGGTGTCTGATCGTGGCACTCATTACCATGATCACGCATGTTTCAAACAGACAAAAGTCATTTTATCTGTTTGAAACTATTATACTAATATTGCAACTATATATTACCTATATATACCAGATATAGCCTTAATTACGTAATGCCTTTAATGTCGAAAAATGTACGATTTAATGGCATGTATATTGTCCTTTGGTGACAGCCTCCATAAAGTCTAGCATTGCACTAGGCACCAATGGTCTTGGATTTGAATTCCAGTAAAATGAGATTTTTCGGTCCAACATTTAACTTTTTCCTGTAAAACAAACTACCAACCTACCTGTAAAATACTGATCAGTGAAATGAACATAGCACTGTGTTCACGCCATGCCCCACTAGGGGAAATAGGACACTTTATTTTATAGATTATGGATGTAGGTTCCAGTTAAGTCTTTGGCTATGTAAATATTTTACTTCGTAACAATACTAAGCATTTTGTTGGAGGAATGCCAACGCTATTTAGCTTATAAAGAATACGATTTGTTCAAATATCGCTTTCACTTGAGTCTTGGAAGTTTTGTACAGTGATAAAGGATAAAGAAACAGATGTGTCTGCCCCCATACTCCCAGAAAAATGCTATTTAGATTTTTATCATATTAAACACTCACTTAATTTATTTGCGGGTTTGTACATAATATTATTATGTACCCGATGGTAGAATCGTAGCCTTGTCCGATCCCAAGTTCGCGTCGTAGAACGAATGGTTCCCTACTACTGCCGTTATTTAAAATATTAACCTGAGAAAATATATGGCACTATATAAATTAAAAATCGATTATAAATTGAAAAAAATTACGACACGGGCAGGACTTGACCCGACATCCACAGCGTTCCGAGCTGTTGCTCTTATCAACGACACGGTACGTTTTGGTTTGATTAGAGAGGCAAATTGTTTTTAGTATTTATGATAGCTGCAACTAAAATAAACATTTAAAAAAAATATCGATTAGTCGTCGCAGTTTTTTGGTTTCCTTCTGTTGAAAGACACACAGACAAAGTCTTCCCGCTTCTGCCCTCAACGTACGGAACCCTGAAATTAGCATCACAAGACAACGCGTTTATACTGTGTGTTTGAATGTGGTTAAATTAGTGTAATCTATAGCGAGCATAAAGCTGAATAGTTTTTATTGGACCATTTACCGAGGAAGGCCTTAACTGGCTGTCACCAATCAGAGCGGAGAAACAGAGGGGGACGTGGAAAGAATGGGGAAAATTACAAATATTAAATTGTTTACGTGGCAGGGTATCTGTACCATATATATATATATATATATATATATATATATATATATAATATATAAAGAGTTGAAGTGTTTGTTTGAACGCGCTATTCTCAATAAAAAAAATTTCTAATCAAAAATAAAATTTCTTTAAAAAATGTTAAAAAAGTAGTCCACGACGCTATATGTCTATTTTTTTTAAAATTAACTTGTAATAAGGACAGGAAGGGACGCGGTCGACGTCGTGGCTAACGGCTTAAATTTATAAAGATGACGGGGTTTACAAAAACTAATTTGGATGCCCAAAATAACGATTCCCGCGAACAAAGTCGCTGGCACAGCCAGTAGTTTATAAAGATGAGGAGGTTCGCAAAAACAAATATTGATGCCCAGAATAACTAGCACGCGCAGCTAGTACCTTACTAAAACTCTAGTCAACGTTAACAGAATCGAACCACATACAGGGAAGCGACTGTCATTGCAATCAATCAACTGCCGCCGATAAGAAGTGATAGTGTTATCACTCGCTGCGGAGTTCGCATCTCATTCTGTAGACGATTATGGGAAACGAGGTTATCGTATAGCCAAGTGCCAAGAACGAACCTCGGTTTCATATGAGACACATCATTTTTTTTGTAGTTTTGTTTTTTAATGATATAGGCGAACATGGGGTTCATATAACATCTAAACAAGATGCGCTGTCGACCTATTGTAGCTTTAGTTATTCGGAAAGTCAAGACTGAAACCGAAAGATCACGGCTTTTTTATCTGTAGACGGTGGTGTGACCCGGGCGGAATATTCGATATTCCCGCCACATACCCTTTTAATATTTCCAGACGAGTCAGAGGTTAAATCAAGATAAAAAAGGTCTCGAGCCTGGAGTCAAACCGCGTATTAAGCCATAAATTGGACCAACGGCCCCACAAAACTGTCTGGAGCCAGTTATAGGGGCCGTACCTAAGGGGTTCCTTAATCCGTGAGGCCTAATATTAAAAGCCGAATACCGGGGGTAGAGATATCCGTGTGTTTATTTTTTCCTCAAACGCCGATTTTAAACAATGCTGTGACTTTTTGGTCTTCAATTTCAGATAATGAGATAGAGTTTATTCCTGTATTAAATTAAGACACGTAAATGGACAACCCCTAAGCTTAATAATTAGTAAATAGATTGCGTCCATCCACCATCCACCAGGCTCAAGTCATTTGCAATTAAAATATAATAATACAAAATTCCCATAAAAACGCTTCTTACGAGTTCATCTCAAAACATAGGCATATACTGACCCGCACATTTTTTTAGATTATTTAATGAAGAATAATTCTTGAATACATATTCTATGGGTATCTTGAATCGAATGAATTGAATGAAAAAATCTTCCTCGTTATCTCCACATTTTCCTCTATTTTATAGTCTCAATCGTTCGTTTAATTATTTTTTCAATTCGAACCAGCGGTTCCCGAGATTAATGCGTTCAAACAAACAAACAAATTCCTTAGCTTTACAATATTAGTATAGATTGATATAACTGACGGATTTTATTCCGCTAGATATAGTAACAGCAATAGATACATGCCATGCCGGGCATGTTTATAGAATGTTAAGTAATTTTAGTCACTTAATTGTATTTAAAAAAATATGTTTAGCGAAAGTTCCCGAAACTTGTAACTCGAAATAAATTATACGGAACCCTCTCGCGCGTTAACACTTATACTCAATTCGCACTTGTTCGGTTTTCTATCACAAAGCAAGATGGCCACACTCTTTCTGGGTCAGTTAACCTTGCACGAGCGTTAACTTCGACCCGCAAATTGTAATCATTGGGATGTGTTAATACATCGACTTATAATTGTCTATTTAACACATTACGGAAGATAATTGAACGGAATCGAACCTGAAATAAATATGCAATTTGAAAATGTTAATATTTTTCACATGATGTCACTATTCAAATTAAACATCAAAAATCAATTGAAAAAATTTACGACTCAAGCACGACTTGAACCGGCATCGTTAGCGTTAGTATACATTTAAATAAAACATTTTTAACGGTTTAAAACGCGATATATTAGTTAAAGTTATTTGAAAATGATTTTTAACTTCGGCCCGACGTTTCGGATGCTTTGCAGCAGCCGTGAAATTAAATTAAAAATTTATTTTCAAATAAGTTTAACTAATATATCGTGTTTTAAACCGTTAAAGGGTTTTATTTAATTTGAAATAATACATTATGTAAGGCTTTCACGACCATCGTTAGCATATCATTGTCTTTGGTGCTGTTCGGCCGATGTGAGCGAGGAGAGGTTCTCGACGTTTCGCCATCACGTGTGGACGGCATCATCAGGAGATGTTGACTCCTCGATTGCTCGAAGAATTATGAAACGACTGGCGAAACGTCGAGAACCTCTTCTCGCTCACATCGGCCGAACAGCCCGAAAGACAATGATATGCTGAATTTCAAATAAGTTTCACTAATATATAGCGCATTTTAAACCGTTACACTCTTATTACAAAACAAGGACTAACTCCCACCTGGTTTAAAGCCTAGTTTATTTAAAATCCGTATTACAAAACGAAGTTTAACGTTTGTATGGACTAACTATGGTAATAACTTAGATTTATTTAGACCATGGTTCAAGAATTAAACCAAGACTCCGTAGTTGGTTTAAGTATTTTTTTTGTAATAAGGCCGATAGTGTTTTATTTAAATTTGCAATTAGCATCTAAAATTATCTGCTTTATCGGCTGGATATGATGAAGAACGATATACATATAATGTAGATAGACTAAGTAATGTGAAGGAATGTCAGAGGTTCATGGTAGGTAACATCTCCTGTCATATATATAAAACGTCTAAACAAGATGCGCCATCGGCCTTTTGGCTTTGGATATTCGGAAATCTACAAAATTCTACTGATGTAATCATTATGTTATCGCTTAAGAAAGGCCAAGTATACAATTATATTGTAAATATTGTCTAAAACAATGCTCTGTTTGATAAGGTGTTCATACAAGACAAAAGTAGATATTTAAATACACATTTGAGTCATTCGTACTCGTATGTTAGACAGGTTCCTTGGTCCAAGCAATGTATGACAGACAGTCAACGATTCCTTGGTTCAACTAATGCGAATGTTTAATACGTAATGGTGGTAGAAATATCGAAATACCCTCCGGGTTACGGGTGGCTCGTAAGTAAAAACGTGTTAAAGATTGTATTTTTTAATATTCACAAGACGCAAGTAATACCAGGCGGCGTCGGTAGTTTTAATAAAAAAATCTATAAGTATAATTTAACAATTGTAAACAGGTTGATAATTTCGCAACGTTACTCGATGCCTCCGTGGCGCAATTGGTTAGCGCGTTCGGCTGTTAACCGAAAGGTTGGTGGTTCGATCCCACCCGGGGGCGTAATTTTCTTTTTATTTTTTTAAATAGAAAATAACCGTAGATGCTATACAGTGTTGTTAATACCATAACATTTGTTAAGATAAGCCTGTTTTCTAATTTAAGCGTTGAACTTAAGTTAATAATATTTAAACAAATATCGAAAAAGTATTTGAGTATTCGAGTCTGTATTTTACGCAAGTTTAACAAATTTAAATAAAACATCTTTAACGGTCTAAAATATTAGCTTATTTTTATTTATTTTAACTACGACTTGACGTTCGAATGCTTTGCAGTGACCACGGCTACAAATTAAAAAAAAAATATATTTTTTTTTCAAGAATTTTTCTTTTTGTCCAAGCTGACATCTCAATCATGTTTATGTTGTATTATTCAAAAAAATTTTTTAGACTTTCAGAAGGTAGATAACTACTAGCGTTGAAATAATATCGATAATCGACACAGCCATAAAAATACGTCTCTTTCTTTACAAGGAACACGGATTTTTATTTAGATAAATTGATAATCAATATATATTACTAATTTATATAAACTATTTTTCTTTCAGGAAATTTCCTTTTCATTCCCGTTTCCTATCCACGTTTCCTAACAACATTCCCTTATACGGTATTTCACTGCCATACTATATATTCCAATTAATCATTCCAAAACCCAGTGTCTTACGAGTGATAATTCGCGCTTGTAATAAAAAGTATTTTATGACGATATAAAAGATTTTGCACTGCGATTAAGCACTATTTACTAAATAGAAGCAATAATTATTATATATACATTAGAATAATATAAATATTTAAGTTTACCCTAAGCTATTTTTATTAAGGTAAAGAGAAAAAATAACTTTCGCTGTTGTTTAATTATATTATTAATCTACAGAGAAATTCTCGATATTCATAATCACTCATCGGAAGTTAAAGCGGAATTCTAAATACGTATTTAAATTTAAAACAATTCGGAATTCAAATAATTCGCACCGAAGTTTTCATATTCGGAAAATTTTAAATACGAAATCACAAATCTTAAGTTCTAAATTCGAACTTATAACTGTAATTGTCGATATTTAAAATAATTCCATATTCAAATTCTTATTTTTTACTCCATAGTTGTTTTAGATAACCTTCTAAAAACGTCTTTAAATTTTCATCATCGAATCCCTCATCACCCATCTACCTATAACCATGACGATCTGATGATCTATCATGAGTTCCTCACCAGCCGTGGAGTCGTCTACACCAGCGCCGTCGTCACCAGCTGTCCGTCTCCCAGACTACCCTCACTTTCACACTTCGACTCCTAATTATTTGAAGGTATTATACATTTGTTTTCAAAATATATAAAATAAAAAGTATTTATAAGGAATATATAAAAAGCGGAAGTCGAATCCGCTACGCTGTATGACATACGGTATTACGTCATTGTATAAAATATCGTGGTACCTGATCTTAAAAATGTTAACAACTAAATTGCCTACCCTCATATTTTTATTTAAAATTCGTAATGCACTGAACTGTCTGTTCACTATCAGTAATTTTTTTATTAAGCTATGAACATTCCCATAAGTCATTGTATGTACAATCTATTAGAATACACCCTTAAAACTTAAATCTATATATAAACAACCGACTCGCACTTGACCAGACTGCATAAGGCATTATTTGTAAATGTCTGTGTTCCAGAAGTCTCACCAGCCTCTTAACGTGGTATTGTCCAGTTCGGCACCAGCGTCGCCACCAGTTTACGGTAAGATGGCTCGATAACAATTGCTTATATGACTTGAATCGACATCCACAGCGATCCTTTCTCCGTGGTTCATCTTCATAGAATTTCTTTAACTCATGGATGGATATGTCAATTTGAATTTAAACGTTAATCCCTAATTTTTTTAAATGTTACTTTGAGCACTTGACACAGCTGCAACCCAGCTAAGTAAATATTGGAATTGTCTTGTAAGGCGTTAGTTTTAATTTTCCTAATCCTTTTTTTTTTTTCAAGAACAGAGCCCAGAAAACATTAATTTCTCGTCTATGGGTAAAAATCGTTATCACGTCTTATTTTTAACACCAAATTTCAGGGGAACCGACTTTGACGCCTCCGCCCCGATCTCCGGGCGCTCCGCTTTCGACCCCCGCCTCTGGAGACAATCGCGCCGGCCCTCCGGACGGGACTTCCTCGGATAAGGTGAAGTGGAAAGTTGTTATCTAACAAAAACATCTCTTATATTAAAAATGTTTCTTTTTGGCCTTCTTGCATAATAACAAGCAATTGTATTGTTTGTAATTACCCAAGTAGTACATATGTCAATAAAACACTTTTAACGGTTTAACACCCGAAATATATTAGTTTGGGTTTAAAGGGTTGCATGAAAAATCCGTTTTTATTAATTCAGTTAAAATCAGTAAGAAAATCGCATTTCCGTTTTCCAGTCGTCAGAAACGGCCGTCGGCGTTTCGAGAAACGCAAGCACGGCTCTATCCCGAAAGGAGAGTTACAAGGCGCAAAGGCAACACTACAGAAAAGAGAAGAAAAGAGCGGCCACCGCTCTTCTTCATTCCATCGAAGACCCATCTGTTGTCGTCCTCGCTGATTGGCTTAAGGTAAATCAAGTAATTAACGGTGGTTTTCAATAACCTGTATCTATCTGTCTGTTTTTTCAAACTTGGCAAAAAGAAAACAACAAATATGGCCGATTTAAACCATAGAGATTTAGTGATGCCCTTTTATAGAGTAAGTCATCCCACAGATGACATAGATATACATAAATATGCAATGTTTCAGGTTCGTGGTTCACTTAAGTCATGGACAAAGCTCTGGTGTGTTCTGAAACCTGGACTTCTGTTGCTCTACAAGAGTCCTAAGGCTAAAGTGAGTATAAAATAAAATACAGAACGCTAGTCTATCATTTCGGGTCACAACCGATCTCCATTTGAATAGTCAGACTTATAATCCCCAGTCGAGCGCATAAAATATTTATCTATAATATGTTAGAGGAAAATCATGGCCACTGTTGTAGCTTATATCTATAATATTTCTTCTTTACAGTCTCTATTCACATTAGTAGGATTTAACATACACACTCTTGCTCTCCCAATCCCACTTCCTCCTTCTGCCTCCCTCTCCCTCTCTTTCCCCCTTTCTCTCTATCACTCACACACAAAAATCTGAATGACTGGATCTTAGCGTATTTAGCGTTTTAAACCGTTGTTTTTCTGTTAATTATCAATTCCTATTCTTCGAAATGTATTTATGATAACTAAATTTATGTATACCATATTAATCATACTAACATCTAGCTTACATATTGCAGAGAAGTCACTGGGTCGGTACAGTACTTCTGACCTCGTGCCAAGTGATCGAGAGGCCCAGCAAGAAGGACGGGTTTTGCTTCAAACTCTACCATCCGCTGGAGCAGAGCATCTGGGCTCCGAGGGGGCCGCACAACGAGACGATAGGTAAGTTAAGTTGGGTAAATGGGGGGGAAGGTCACGAATCACATCAGTCATCATCCGCAGATAAGAAAGCCTTAAATTGTAATTGGGTTTCGGTTTCAGTCTGTTGATTTCCGAAATTCTAAGGCCAAAATAAGTCGACAGCGCATCTTGTCCAGAGAAAGTCCCATGCATGTCTGTCTATCCCTATTATAAAAAAAGTCATGAAATTCCATCTTTGGACCGTGGTTTGACGTATTCGGACAATCGATATTCATACCGCCCATTTAATATCCAGATTTCCAGACGAAGTGCAAAATGTTTCAGGAGTATAAAAATATCATAACCTTGTCGGGTCCGGTAGTAATCGAACCCAGGGCCCGTTAGACGCCAACGAGCCCGTCAAATTTGTTCTAGCAAACGGTACTTTTGTGAGACTGGGGCGATGCCTTTTATGTACTCGATACTATATTGCCTGGAAGAGATAGTTGTTTAGCGATAAGGCCGCGTTTATTTATAAATTTGTACGAAAGGTCTCTTGCAGTTTTTGCATTGTCGTATGTTTTATGAATAATACAGCTGTAATAAATAGATTGAAGCGAGCATAATCATAATCTACCGAATATCCAAAAACAGACAGCTTGTCTAGATAGCTATCTGGAGTATATCACCTACCATCAAGAGCAGCCCCTGTCTCTGTCTATCGTTAAAAAAAAATAAAGACCAACAGGCCCGTTTCTCCTTTCAGGTGCAGTGGTTCAACCCCTGCCGACTGCGCACTTGATATTCCGCGCGCCGTCGCAAGCGGCTGGCCACTGCTGGCTCGATGGGCTAGAACTCGCGCTGAGATGTAGTAATGCTATGCTCAGGTATTTATATTAGTCTGTAAATCTTTACTAATATTATAAATGCGAAAGTAACTCTGTCTGTCTGTCTGTTACTCTTTCATGCCAAAACTACTGAACGGATTTGAATGAAATTTAGTACACATATGGTTAATAAAGGACATAGGCTACTTTATATTGCGAAAAGGGGGTTGTTGGAGGTTAAAAGGGGGGTTGAAAAGTTGTACGGAAATTCGTGGTTTTTGAAGATAGAAACAATGAAACTTTCTTTTTTTACCTTTTTGGGAATAGGCCACGTCACGGGAGTGGGAGAAGGCGTGGGAGTCGGAGTGAGTGTAGGAATGAGAGTGGGAGTTAGAGTAGGACTGAAGGTTGCGTCAAAGTGGCACTTACCATAGATTGGCTGCCTTAAATGCGCCCTTACATAAATTAATAAATAGCCTCAATAATTAAAAATTCTACCCCAAGTCACTATTCCACGCGGACGAAGTCGCGGGCACAGTTAGTCCTTTATAAACGGGAACGAGTATTTCTTATCGTTGTGAAGAGTTACAGTTTGAGTGAGCATCAATGTGGGTATAATGACAGGACAACTTTCTGTCACGTTATAAAAAGTTTACGTCGTTTACGTCTGATAGTATTCTACGAAACAACGACATGCTTTTACTAGCTGTACATCGTAATTGAGGTTCAACTTCATATTCCGGATTTTGGAGGGAGTGTGGGGTTAAAAAGCGACTTAAAGGGGAGGGGGTGTTGCAACAGTATAGTACATACTTATTAAATTGGCCACATATCTGTTTTAATAGAGACCACCCGCCAGCTCATGGTTAAAAGTGTTTCCAAGTATTTAGGTGAGCAATAGAGGCCCTGGAGCTAGGCATGGTTCCGATAAGGCTAGGTACAGGTCTGATCAACTACGTAATTTTCAATCAATTCTGTGGGGCAATTGATACAGAAATGAGTCCCGTGTCCCATAGGAGGAAACGGGAATTCACTACAAGAGACTCATATTTCAGATGCTCCAGGTCAAGACCTGAACAGGCTGTAGAAGCGGACGCGCCTTCAACGCAGACGAACATCTCGCACGAAGAATTAGAGAAGCATTTTAATGAACACGGTAAGTTGTACCTTATTTATTGAATATTAAAAGTGGTTCTTTGGTGTCAAATGTGGAAAGGGTGTATTTTTTTATTTTACAAGTGATAGTAGTATAATAGAACGACAAACAAAAAAAAACATATTTAGCAACAGCACAACTTTTTTTACATGTAATATAATTGTAATAAAGTTTCAGTTGAAAGTTATCAAAATTCTAAATTTTATCACCATTTATTAATTTTTATTTAGGCACTGAAAGGATCGTAGCCTTGCAAAGGGCCGCGAGAGCCTTATACATATAAAACATACCGTCAGTGCCGGCGTTAGGTCTAATACATATAAAACCTACCCAAATGTAGTTCTGTAAGGATTCAAAGAATTTGCTAATGTACAGAACGTACAGTTTGTGGGTACAGGACGGTCCCTGGCTCCTCCACTTTTATACTGTGTTCTAAGCAATCGCCTAACAGATTGGATTACAAAACTTTTTACCTGCATCGTGAGTAATATTAACTTATTCTCGTTACACAAATATTATTTTTCTACACAGTCTACAAAGTCCTTTTTTCAGCCAAATTGTGATTTATCACGTTTTATAAATGTTGATTTTTTACTATTGTCAAAATCAAAAATAAAACCGTTTTAAACGGGTTGATTTACAGCATATTATTATTATTGCATTATTTTTTATAAAACACCACATACCTACATACAGGCATACATCATTTAATGTATTTTAAATATGCCTCGATGTTTCGGAAGCTTTTGTGCTGTTGTGTTCAAACAATTGTCAGGCTAAGTCAAGGTTACTACGGTACTTGTTTTCGAAGGGTAGTTATATAATGTTAAATATCAACATTTACAAAATTGAACGATTACAACTGACGCAATAATGTTTCGGAAATATGTTTCTAACGTAAGTTATTCTTTACCCGTACGCTAAATCGTAGTGTTCAAGCTAGACTCATCCATATCGACACCGACGAAATCCCTCCACAACTACCCGCAAAAACGTTCAAATTCCACCGATAACATAAAGATGAGGAGATTGGAAGTGAAACAGATGAGGCACAGAAGTCTCACATCTAGCCCAATGAATTTAGACTTGCTAAAAAGGTCGTCCATATTAAAATTCTTCGAGCCCAAACTCAAAAATGACAAAAACGATACATTCAGACGCTGTTCGACGCCATCTATCAGGAAGTTTAGCGTTAAAAGACGCCTGCGCGAGAGTGGCATTAAGACGGATTCCGAGAACGAATGGACAAAGAAGTTCGGAGACTCTGAGATTATTTGCGATACGCCCGAAAACATTATAATAACTAAGACGGCGCCGTCCGATGAAAGGTTCAGAGATACCACGACATCTTCATCAGATGACGCGCCGACTAGCAACTGTAGTCGACGGTGGGTTTGGGCCTCTTGGGTATAATTGATCACGAAGTTTTCCGTATTTGGAAAGATTTTATTCACATCCAGATTGTTGGAATTAGAAGTTCTTTAGGTTCCGGTTGTCACTTATATTTTAGTGGGGGGGTGGTTAACTATATATATGTGTAACTATATATAGTGAACGTGATTGCCCCATACCCCGCGAGGGTCAGGGTCAATCAAGGTTTTTTTTAATAATCAACACTGCGTCCTCATGGGGTATCAGCCCCCACATGGGGTATTCTCTGGGACCCATTTGCTTACCATAGATAATATTTTTTAGGACGACACCATACAAAAAGTATTCGTTAATAGACTATACTAAGCTTCCTTCGGCGAGTTACGAAGCGTCCCAAACAGATAAGCGGGACGATAGAATAACTCAGGAGAGCGTTTATGTTGCGGGGAAAATCGTTACCACTGGTGAGTGTGCAATATGCAGGATGTCCATTAACTTTATAAAATCTGGGACATTTTTTATCTGAATTTTATATTGTTTATTTAAAATAGTCATTGGAACTAAGAACACCCTGTATAGATCATGTATGAGATTTAAACTTCTAAAAAATTCTTGACTTGACATAATATCTAGTTTTGGAGGGAACGGGACAAAAAGTATGCTAAATTACCGAGTTTGTACGCTAATGATTAGACACTGTCGTAGATTCGATTCCTACCCACTGAAAGACTGACACGTAACATGTAATTGTACACGTCTTGCTCTAGTAACATATGTATATACAACTTGCACCAAAAATGTTCCTCAACATACGGATGTGAAACTTGGCTATAGAATTCTCGACCCGCGGTAATTTTTAAATTGCAAAATTTTCGTACAGGGGCTTCCAAATCTACAAGCCAAAATAAGCCAACAGTGCATCTTAAACAGCCATAGTGCTAACATTTATGGGAGTAGTACACATTTTTAACAGTTTAAAATGCGAAATATATTAGTTCAACGTATGTTTTACTATGGTCCGCGTTTCGGAAGCTTTCAGCAGCAGCGTCCTTTCGTGACCGCATTGCTGCATCGGAAACGTCGGGCTGTAGTTAAAAATTACTTACCTAATATTATGATTCCGTTGAACCCCCATATTCCTTTTTTTCTAGAAAAATCTTTCTCAATTCATTTTGATAATAATATCAAGTACCTTCTTAGTAAATAACAAATTTATGCAAATTAAACGAGTCACGCTGCGGCCTTGTGTAATTTGTATCTTCAAAGCTAGTTACGTAACGTATCCGAAAATTGTATCTGTAGTTTACGCGAGTAGTGCACAAAAATAGGACACTTCTAACGGTTTGAAACGCGAAAAATATTATCTAATGTAATGTAGCTACGACCTTACGTTTTGAATGCCTTGCAACAACCGTGGTCAAACCATTGAACGTGTGAAATCTAATATTTTTCATATGGCATTATATAAGTTGAAATCATTTAAATAAAACAGTTTAACGGTTTAAAACGCGATATATTAGTTAAACTTATTTGGAAATGATTTTTAACTTCGGCCCGACGTTTCGGATGTTTTGCAGCAGCCGTGGTCACGGGGAGACGAAGTTAAAAATCATTTCCAAATAACTAATATATCGCGTTTTAAACCGTTAAAGTGTTTTATTTAAATGTGTACGACTCGCGTAAAATATAGACAGTATTTAAGTTGAAATCAGTTCAAGTCCCGTCCGTGTCCGTGTTTTTAATAAAAAATCGATTTAAATTAAAAAAAACATCGATCAAATTTAAATCGAGTTTTAATAAATTTATACAATTAAAATTGTTTTATTTAAATATCCGATACAACGCTTGTGGTATCCCGCGTTAATCGTTTTTCTTAGGAGATAGTTTTGCGAACGAAAAATTTAGATAGAGAATTTTAGAAGGCAGGCATAACAACATCAATGTGGGTACACACACACATTAAGTTACCAAAGTTTTGAGGTTTGTTAACTTATTACGAAGAAAAGTTTCGTGGGTTGCTTTCCCACCGTGTCTTACATGCTCCCAATACATTTTTCGTAAATCTGGATACAGGGTAGGTTGGAACATCTATTTTTTGGGCTTATACTTATATCTTTGCTTTTAAAAGTTACCTTCAGAAAGTTATTACTAATAATATTATTAATCTGACTGCATTTTTTTTTGCGTTACTATGCGTTCTCCTTGCTTAAAAAAATGTTACTATATGCCCCTATACATGTAATATGCCCCATGCCCCATATATTTACGAAACTTTGTAATATCTTGTAATTCTTTAAAGTCAACAAACATTATGGCATTGTCGTAATGAAGTCGTTACTTATCAGTACGCGATAAAGCAGTTTTATTTCTCCCTTCGAACAGTGTGGTCGTGTACTAAGCAATAATATTAAGTGGATAATATATTGATTAAGTGAAATCAGTGAAGTGAAGAGTTTTAATGAAAATAATGTTTCATTAACGATATGTGTGTACAAAGTGTAGAATAAGTTAAATTAAGTAGTCATAGTTTTGAAAATTCAAGAATTATTACGAATGTTTTTAACGAAATTTTGTAACACGTTAGTAGGCTAATAATAAGAATAGATAATTCGATGTTTGAAAACGAATATCTGAATTCTATTTTTGAAAATTTAAACTTTTAATTTCAAATTTCGATAATACTGTTTTGAAGTTGTTTTTTAACGTATTCATTAGTAGTAGTAGTTGTAGTTAAACTCAGATGGGAAATATAGATTTCAGACAAATAAATTATTTCGATACCACAGATATTTGGTCTGCCATTTAAAACTTTAATTACTAATACATAACAACAGGGTTTGTGTATTGTAGTTGAACAGACTCCTGCGCAAGTGTTAAACAATCTGTTATTTTTTTTCATGCCGTAGATGCATCATGCATTACGGAACTAACGCAATGCCAATCATATATTTTATTTCAACCTTTACTCGTGTCGGAATCAGTCTTACTTTTTCTTAAAGATAGAGAAGGACAGACAAACATGGGGTTAAAATAAAACACTTTAGCGGTTTCAAACGCGATATATTAGTTAAACTTATTTGGAAATGATTTTTAACATCGGCCCGACGTTTCGGATGCTTTGCAGCAGCCGTGGTCACGGGGAGACACAAAAAGTACACAACAACAACAAACAACGTAATGTAGTTTTGAAAAATGCGTCATAACACAACAAAAACAATTCAGTGCATACCGGCATTATAAATAGATTATCTTATCCAGTGATAAGCTATATTAATTATAAGTTAATGATATGTTTGTTAAGGATTCCTTTTATAACGGTCTAGACTTCTTATTACTAGCTGTGTCAGCGACTTCGTCCGCGTAGAATAAGTTATTTTGGGCATCAAAGATGAAGCTGTTACCCACGACGGTCGCGTCCCGTTCTTCTTGCAGGTTACTCTTAAATGATACACATATAGTGTGGCGGACATTTTTTTAGATCGTTAAAAAAGAATCATTCTGTCGTACATATTTTTTGGGTATCTTCCGTTTTCGCAGCGTATGCATCAGAGACTCACAGTGATTAATTTATTCACTGTTTTTTTCTACAATTCTTTGCTTCTATTAGTCACAGCGCGATATTTTATAGCCTTCCTCGATAAATGCTCCTTGCTTCCTGAGATTAGCGCGTTCAAACAAACAAACTCTTTCGCTTTATGTATTAGTATTTTTTATCATAGAGAGCAGACAAGGGGATCACTCGATGGCAGGTGACATGCCATTTAGGTAGAAGGCTGATAAGCTGTAAATTCTGAATTATAATCCATTAGTAAACATACAGCTAAGATTAGCTCGTACAATTAAAAAGTATTTTTTGACAAGCATGAAAACAAGGTGCGCTCTCGACCTATTTTGGCTTTGGATATTCGGATATCCACAGACTGAAACCGAAAGATCACGGCTTTTTTGTCTGTGGACGGTGGTAGGTGACCTGGAGGGAATTTCGATATTCCTACCACCCAATTGATATCCAGATTTACAGACGAAGTCCAACTTGCTTCAGAGTAACTTATAAATTGATTGAAATATTTTTTGGACCCAGTGGGGATCTAGGGACTATACACAGCACAAAAGAACCCGTCAAAAAAATTTTTTTTTAATTACTTGTATAGGATATATATGCTGTAACTAGTATTTTTAACTATCGTGGCTATAAAAAGGGCACCGAAAGATCTATTCAAAATTAAACCCAAACCGATATAGCCGTAACAAAATTGAGTTGGGTCAATGACCTCTGTGTTTGCGAGCGGTGAATTTAAGCAAACGCCATGGTGTGATTAATTTTCGTTTAAATAATAAACAGATAGTGCAACGTACGCGCAATGCGATAGGTCAAGAGCGTTCGTTGTTTGTTTAGGGTTGCCACACTTTATTTCATTTATTTTGTCGGGGTTGCGAACTTTAACAACAAAACGTGTACAAGCTAAGCTGTGCCAGCGACCTCGTCCGCGTAGAATAGTTACTTTGGGGACCCAAATTTGTTTTTGCATCTCTTTATCTTCATAAGTTAACGCTGTTAACGCGGTCGTTATTGCAAGTTAATCTTTAAAGAGAGACATATAGTGTCGCGGACATTTCGTTCATTTGAAGTATCTTGATAATTTTTTTCGTATTTCCCGCCCTTCTTTCGTTCCTATTAGACACGGCGACAGTAAAATTCTATTAATTTATCACTAAATTTATTGACAGCCCTACGTGCTTAAGGTAAAATATTGTATTACGAGGTAAAACTAATGATTTTGCGTTTAATGTCTCACCTTGCAGAACTATTATGAGAAAACAATAGTAGTGGTTATATAAAGCGCTGTTTGAAAAATCTATAGCTACGCGTAGACGCTGGATTTGTTTCCAGGGAAAATATAATTTCGGGCAGTTAATTTTCTTTACGATAGAGGACGACAGATAAGCGTATTGTTCACTTGATAGTAGGTAAAAAAGCCATATAACATCTAAACAAGATCTGTTGTCGACCTATTTTAAGTTTTCATATTCGGAAATCCAGACACCGAAACCGGAAAGCGATGGTTCGTGACCCTGACAGAATTTCGATATTCCTAAAACCCATTTAATATCCAGATTTCCAAATAAAGTCCAGTGCGTTTCGGAAAAATATAAATTCGTTATAAACATGTTATACACGGTGGGAATCGAACCCACACCCCGGTGATTATTAATCATACTTTGCTAACCTTGAACCCATAAAAATCCGTGAATTAGGCTGCAAAAATATGTCCGTTCTTTACTCATTGTATTCTTATGGCATTATTGTTGTCGAACGATAAAGTTGTAAAAATAGGCTTACATGATAAAACTAGTTTTGACACTTTGCTCTTCCATTGTATTTAAATAAAACACTTTAACGGTTTTAAACGCGATATATTAGTTATACTTATTTGAATTCCATTGTATGTCTATAAAGAACTCATACTCCACTACACTTACTTTGAGTTAGGTGTCAATAAAAATTGGTTCTGTATTTCATGCGCGAAAGAGTAACAAATATTCACGATATTACGCAGGTAAAAACAAGATATAAATCTCGAGTAAAAAATGCATTTTTTTTCGGGTAAAAATATTGTATTTTTCAGTTTAGTTTCACGACATTTATTGAAAATGAAAATAAAACACTCAAGACGGTTTAAAACGCGAAATATACTAGTTAACTCAATTTTGGATGTCACGACTTATTCTCACCTGGGTTCGTAATTAAAGATCAGTTGTTTTATCTAAATGTACATACAAAAGTGTGAATCACTTGCCTTTTGTCAGTTGAGTACAAGGTTTTGTAAGCGCTTTTCAATATTTGCATAAAATATTAATGTTTAGACATGTGTCCAAATCAATGTCACAAACAGAGGTGTATAGGCATGTACAATATAAATAAAAAAAAAATAGACACTATGTATAGACTGTAGCTTATGCACGTAAAGACTGAAATAAAACGGTTTTAGCGGTTTAAAACGCGATATATATTAGAGACTTCGTGTCTCCCCGTGTCCTCTCTCCGTGGCCACGGCTGCTGCAGAAATCCGAAAAGTCGGGCCATAGTTAAAATAATTTTCAAATAAGTTTAACTAATAGATATTGCGTTTTCAACCGTTAAAGTGTTTTATCCTGAACTAGTTTAATGATCCGACGTTTCAGATGGTTTGCAGAAGTGGTCACGGGGTGTCTAAAGGGCGTAATGTAACAGTCAAACCTGCTACGCTAACGCCATCTGTTACGTCGTCTTAATATTTACAACGGTGGCGCGTGTGTTGTACACTTTGACGCTCTCCATCTTACAAAATGAGTTAAATATTTCGCGTTTTAATCCGTTTAGATTGTGTTATTTGTTTATATGATATGAGGCTGCTAGAGGCACAGTGGTCCAATAAAGAAAAAACATGATTTTAAATAAGAAGGAAAATACATGCGTAATTAAGTAAAAAAAAAAAATAATAACTCGAGTCATAAAATTGCAGTTAGGCTACTCTGCCTCTAGCGGCAAATATATGTATTGAATAAAAACGTATAAGATAGGAAATTACATCGGGATACATTCGGTGAGTGTAAGTTAGAAACATTATTAAAACTAGTGTTAATTGAAGTGAAGTGAAATAACTTAGTACAGAAGTTAACGACAATGATTATGGACCATGAACTAGACGTAATACTGTCGAAGATGGCAGACAAAAACAGGAGGCGCTCTAGTATATTCTCCCTCCTGAGGAGGAAGAAGGTGAGCAGACAGTCGTCTGATCCGAGCAGCTTTTACACCCTGGATTTGGGCAGGAAGTATTCCGTGGACTCGGCCATACAGAACGAAGAGAGCGATGATATGGGGTTCTTGCGATGTAACGGAGGTAGGTAGATGGATGTTGATGAAATGGAGTTTTCATGGAACTGTTAATTTTTATTAAACACCAGCTGTGCCAGCGACTTCGTCCGCGAGACTCGTTATTTTGGACATCCCAATTAGTCTTTGCAAACCCCGTAATTTTTATAAACTTAAGCTGTTAGCCACAACGACGATCGTGTCCCTTCCCGTCGTTCTTGCAAGTTGACCTTAAGAGATCCAACATGTTTAAAAAAATATAGTTTGTTTGGAAACGTGTTAGACCCCGTGGGGATCTAACCCACGACCCGATGCTTATACGTTGCTATCATTAGACCAATGTGTTCGTCAACTTACGTGAGGAGTTTTGTTTATGCCTTCTCGTACTGGGGAACAGCGTAGAAAAGCCAGCATACCCTAGATCCGAGAACTAAATTTTCGTCACAATTATCCATAAAGTTTAAATCTCAAATGGCCAGTTAGCCACTAAAGAGGACTATTTGTATAACGTGTTGTTACATCTAGAATTTCAATTAACATAATTTATATCAATATAGAACAATAAAAGCAAGGTCTTTTAAAAATAACTAGGAGATTTCTTAATGCAAACAATGCGCGTCATTCGGTGACATTGTGATGGAACAAATAAAAATTCTTCTATTCGAGAAACTAGCTGTGCCTGCGACTTCGTTCGCATAAAAAATAGCTCTTTTGAGCATCGAAATGTCTATTTCTCTTCTACATAACATAAAACTGTTTTTCACGACGTCTTCCGCGCCCCGTCATTTTTGTAAATTAATCTTTAAGTAATTTCAAGGGGAATCATTTTTTAATATGTACATAATATGTTTTGGGTATCTTAGCCCATTTTCGCAGCGTACGCGTCGGAAACACACAAAGATGAAGTTTTTCTTTTTTTTTGTATGTAACATAAAAACGGTCTTGCGATGTACTCTTAGAAGATAGACATATACTGTCTCAGTTAGTTTTAAGGTCGTTAGAAAAATCGTTATTTTACACATATTTCTTGGTCTAAACCAAGCAACAGTTTGCAACGGTAGCCCTCAAAGTTGTATAATTTCTCCCGTTTGTTCCCCATTTTCCGCCGTAGCTTTTTTCCTATTGACCGCAGCGTGATATTATAGCCTTCCTCTATAAATGGTCTATCCAACTCAAAATCATTTTTTAATTTTGAAACACTGCTCTGAATTTAACGCGTTTAAAAAAAACAGACTGGCTACAAACGCAAGGACAAAATAAGTGTACCAACCCGAAGGCTCCATAAAAGAAATCCATTCAAGGCATACGATATTTTATTTTATTAAGTCCCCAGAACAAAGCACTATAAATAAGCTTAAGTCGTATGTTAAGCAAAAAATGCTCGGAAAGGTTTATTATGACGTTAATCAATATTTAAACGAAGATGTTTGGGGTTTGGGGAAACCCACTATATCAAGAAAAAATATCTAGTACACTTAAGGAACACACGTGAAGACTGTAAAATAAAACTTGGCGATAAAAGGAGTGGCGCCGAGTTTATTGCCAGTTCTTCTCGTTCGTTCTACGACCTTGAGTAAGTCTTTAGTTTTTAAATGGTGTGACGTTCATAAGCATACCTACGTGAATAAATGATTTTTGACTTTGACTATAGTACCAAGCCCGACATCCCAAACTACAGCAGCGTAGGGAAGACCCTAAGAGTTTAAGAGCTAAGAAGCTCTTAAACTCTTTCTTTATGAGGAACTGTGGTCAAGACATATTTATAGGTCGAAACCTAAACGTGAGTTATGCACACATACAAACTAAACACCATAGTAGATCAGCCCATAAGTAACGCTAACTGGTAAAGCGCTAGTACTGCCATATAGAAGCTAGATCCCGAATCATCCTGTCCTTCTTGAACCAGAACTAGCAGGCGCCGCGTCGGACACGGACAGCGAAGGCTCCAGGCAGGGGATGCAGGACTCGTTGACCAGCGCTGACCCGGTAGCGAAGAAGAGGGACGTGCTCAGCCGGATAGAGACCTTGTACGTGGAAGATCCTGATAGGGAGATCGGCGTGGTAAGTTAATTTTTATAGCTGCGCATGCGCAGTGGTGGGCAATTGGACCTTATATGATATAAGTTCTGTTGTACGATACGAGTTCTGTTGTAGTAGCTTAAAAAAGTTAAAGCAACAGCACGGAATGATGTGGATGCCAGGTCGAGTCCTGCCCGTGTCGTAAAATTTATTCAATCGAATTTTTGATTACCCCATTAGTGACTTATGTTAAATGTGATTTGACGTTTCACATGCTTTGTGCCAGTGGTCTTGCAGGTACATTTTGCATTTTAAACCGTTCAAAATCTTTTATTTTAATTATTTACAGAAAATACCATTGGTCTACAGATTAAACTACAATGTCGCTATGTCTATAGAAAATGCCCAAGGTCTGTTTTGTTTTTTCCAGGCTGGAGAGTTAGTGGAGGAGGTGGCAGAAGAAAATAAGTCGCTGTTATGGTTCCTGCTCAAGCAAGTGAGGCCGGGCATGGACTTGAGCAAAGTGGTTCTGCCGACGTTTATTTTAGAGCCACGCTCGTTCCTGGATAAACTTTCCGATAACTACTACCATGCGGATCTTTTGGGACAGTAAGTAACTAAAGAACTATTATAGCTTAATAATAATTGGTGGAGCGGGACTCGAACCAACGGACCGAGGTTTTTTTTTTTATTTACTTTGAGACATTTATCTATTTTAGGTATAGTCGGGCATAGAAAGACACTTCTGTATCATAACAAAAACAAAATCATCCGAATTCCGTATCGTTGAGTCGTTGACAACTACTATGCATCGCGTTTTGAACCGTTAAAAGTGTTTAATTCAAATGCTCATATCGTTTAAAAATACAGACAATACTTCAATTTTATTATGTAAAGTTATATCCAAGTGCAGTACTCAATTATTATTTTAATCAACAGACAAACATCTTTTAAAACGTATTAAACAACAAGACATTAAAAATTGTCCAACTAGTCGCGCGACTAATCGACCAACTACAATTTTCAGAGCCCAGACCTACGAAGACCCGTACCAGAGATTCAAGGGGGTACTCAGGTGGTATCTATCTGGTCTCTATCGGAAACCAAAAGGTCTGAAGAAGCCCTACAACCCAGTGCTTGGGGAAACCTTCCGCTGTTGCTGGCGTCACAAGGAAGACACCTATACTTATTATATTGCTGAGCAGGTGAGGATAAATAAGATACAGACACACAAACAAACAAACTGTGCTAATGTATATAGTAAGGTACGGCTAGTGGTCAGCAGATCATGGGTCCGATCCCCACATGGATTTAGCCGTCAAGTTTCCGTCCAATTGGATTTCCGAATAACCAAAACAAAATAGGTCGATAACACATCTTCTTGATGTTGTATGGCTGGAGTGTTTTACTTACCGCCCCATGCCATGTCTGTCCTCTATGGTTGTTGTTTAACAATACTGTTTTTCTTTTTCAGGTATCGCACCATCCGCCGGTCTCTGCTTTTTATGTGTCAAATAGGAAAGAAGGGTTCGTGATAGAGGGCAGTTTGCTTGCTAGGTCTAAGTTTTATGGTTAGTTAAAAATATTATTAACTTCTCTTCGTAAGCCCACACTAGAGAGCTTATAAAGTTTACGCGAGTAGTTAACACTTAGGTGTAAAACGCGAATTTATTGGCTAACTTATTTGGCACAGCCCGACGTTTCGGATGCTTTGGAGGGGCCGGGGTTGGGGGGGGAAAACCCCGGGGGGGCCGCGGAAAATTCCCCAGAGCGGGGGGCCCTTTTTTTTTTTTTTTTTTTTTTTTTTTTATTAATATTTTAACTACCTAAAACATTGGCAGGTAATTCAACGTCAGCCATCTTGGAAGGTTGCGCGCGCATCCACTTGTTGAACTGGGGTGAATCCTATATAACAACGGCGCCGTACGCGCATTGCAAGGGGATTGTCATCGGGACGCTTAGTATGGAATTAGGGGGGAAGGTAAGATACACTCACAACTACTTATTGTTACAGCTTCTCTATCTATAAGATATATAATCGAATATAATCGAAGATGCGATGTCGACCCGTTTTGGAAACTTGAAATCTACAGACTGTTATTTTTTATTTGTGGTTCATGTGTGAAAATTGTAATATGCAGGCTGGTCTTAAAAAAATGTTTTATAATTGCATGCTTCATTTGATGGGAATCGAGCCGTTGCCTATTTATTATTAGCCATACATACAGTGATAGTGATAAAACAATTTTTTAGGCGAGTACTAAACCCGTATTATGTGGTTGTATCGTTGTTCTTGTTATTTTTAAAGGCATACCATAAAGCAAAGTATAATGTATTTTCAAATTGCACTCTCACAAGTATATACACTTTGTGACACACAAACACACACACACTCACCACTGTCTTGTTTGTGTCAAATGTGTAATGTTGCATTTCAGGTTCACATAATTTGTCAAGAGACGGGCTACCAGGCGGACGTCGAGTTTAAGTTAAGGGTGAGTAAATATATATTTTTTATGTTACTAAATGTTTAGCACTAATGTCCTGACTTCTTGAAGAAAAACTTTCGACGTAAAAGTTCCCTAAAGTGTTTACAAACGTTGAACTATGTAATTTCATCTTCAATGATTTTTAAACGGCAAAGCTTAAGATATTGAACTTCAATACCTAAGTTTTAAAGTTGAAATTACATTGCGCGAGAGTTGCATATGTTGAAAAAACTCGACGATGACAAGGTAGTTTAATTAGAGCAACAGCACGGAACGCTGTGGATGCCAGTTCGAGGCCCGCCCTTGTCGTTATCTGTTTTTTTCAATCTAAAATAATTTTTAATTTAATGTCCCGTAAGCCACGACCTTTTTTCGGCCGATCGAGGCACAGATACCCATAATGAGTTTTTATTTATTTATAGCATGGACTACATTTTTATAATTAAGATTATAGTTTACTAAAAAAAAAGATTCGAGGCTTGCGGTCCTGCCAGTGTCAATTATACTTAAAAACACAACTAATGCAATCGAATTTGTTTCAATTCTTGTCTATATTATATGATTCATATTTATCCAACTTATATAAAAATCGAAACTCTTTCAGTCGTTCCTAGGTGGCGCTGACCAAACAAATGTGATAACCGGTAGAATTAAACGCGGCAAAGACACAGTGGCGACGGTGGAGGGATATTGGGACGGACGGATAGACATTAAGGACAAGAAAAGTGGGGTAAGTAGTCACATATACATGTGAGGCCGCTAGGGGCAGAGAGTAGTCTATCTATTTTATGACTTGACTTATTTATATTCTCTTTGCCTAAAATGTTAATCCACAAGAGAACAATGACCGGAAATTGTTAACATATTTTTTACACAAATAATACTTAAATTCATTTTTGCCTGAGTTAATTGCTCATTTTTATTTCCTCCTTATTGAAAACTATGTTTTTTTGCTATTAGGCCACTCTCTCCAAAAATTATAAACGTTTGCCCTAAACTAAACCTAGTGAATATTAGCTCTCTTTTTTAGAGCGTAAATCGCTCCTTATATAAAACACTTTGAACGGTTTACAATGCGAAACCCTGTGACTATAGCTGCGGAAAAGCATGCGACATCGTGTACAACAAAAGATCAATAAATTAAAATCTCGTTTTAAATCGTTCAAAATGTTAATTATATATATATATAACTTTTGGCTTCAACAACGTCTTATAAAATGTTCATATATTTTAGGAGGAGACGAGTCTGCTCGACGTTTCAGTGCTAAAAGAGCAACGTTTGCCCAGATACCTGGTCAACGTGGACAAGCAACAGGAATGGGAGTCTCAGAGGCTCTGGTTGAAGGTCTCGGAGGCTATTTTAAATGAGGACCAGGTAATAAGATCGAAGATTTACAAATAATAAACGCTGCTAATAATAAATGATATAACTCTTTAGAAGCAAAAATAGTGTGTTTTAGTGTTTGTGTGAAATGATTATAGTGTATTTTTTTTAACTTGGCATGTTTTGTAAACACAAAACTTACCTGTTATCGCGATTTGTTCACAAGGTAGACATTGATTTATATTACACTGGATTATATATTAATTATGTAAGTTATAAATAACGTTTACTTCGACATTTACATAGGGATGGGATGTAAGAAACAATCAATTTTACACGATGTTAACTTAAAAAATTATCAAAAAGAAATATCGTTATATTGATGTCGTTTGGTCCATATACCATCGATGATTCTTTATCGCTGTGGCAACAACTTCACACTATAAAAAGTCATCTAAAGGTTCTTTATGGTTTGAAATCGGCCATATTTGTTGTGGTCTTTTGCCAAGTTAGAAAAAATACACTATAGTAGTTTCGATTGTTTAGCCTTTACTATTTATGGCGTCAGCTTCATGTTTTTTGAAGGAGGTCGTAGGTTCCCACTGGTCACTCTGTTTCTATTGTTACTCTGTCTATTAAACCTGAACATAAATAGAATTTGTAATTCCGTTCGGGTTCGTAACTACCCTCAATAATGAGATAAAAAGTCGCGAATAATAATCTGACTGTAGATTTATGGATATGCAGAGCGCACCTTGTTTACGCTTGTCTGTCTGACAATATACCTTTAAATAAATCCTCTCTTATATTTAGGTGGTAGCCACAGAACAGAAGACAATAATAGAAGAGGCGCAGCGTGCGAGAGCGCGCAGCCTCATATCGCCCTGGTCTCCGAGACTCTTCCACCGGGACTCTAGGAGTGCTCCTCCAGAAGGTAACAAGACACTAAAATAAAGCGTATTTAAGCAGTTGTTAATTTAATATTAGAGACACCCTCTATCTTTAATCTCCTCTGACCACTGCTGCTCCAAAGCATCCGAAACGTCGGGCTGTTGTTAAAATAATTTGTAAAGTTTGATACATTTCGAATTTTAAACCGTGAAACTTGTTTTATTCAAATGCGTACAACATACTACTTTGGTTTAACGTTCTACACGCGATTATTAAAATAAGGCTTTTTTTGAACTACCCTTTGTTAAAATATCTTAGCAGTTATATAAGGCATTTGAAAGGCGGCAGGCTGGAAATCACGCTGAGCTTGTCTGTCTTGTTCAACATTGCATTAATCACATAATTAACATCAGTGGCCCCTGTAATTTGTTGCCCCATGCCCCACAAGGGTCAGACATTAAAAAAGTAATAATAACAATTTAATTGTTTCAGGAATCGTGGACCAAGGATGGAAATATAATCACTCGGACACAAGGTTAGTCCATTGCTTTAAGCCTAAGCTTCGATTGTAAATAAATAATGAAATAAGTCTTCACTTTTAACGGTTAAAAACGTGTAATATATTGGTTATTTTTTAATTTACCGCGCGACCACGGCTGCTGCAAATCGTCCGAAACGTTGGGCCGTTATTAATGTTCATAAAAAAATAAGTTAATTGATATATTTCACGTTTTAAACCGTTGATAGTGTTTTATTCAAATATGTACTACTCGCGTTAACTACAGGCAAGCTTTGTGTTTCGCTTAATAGTGTCTGTGTCAATTGTGAACATACCATATAACTTTCGTGAGGTCTCCAAACCGTTTATATGGGCCGTGTCCCAACAGTGGGACCTGCGATATATTTCTTTCTTTTTGTCTAAACATCTTGCAAGATATAAATAAAAAATCGATTATTAATTGAAAAAAATAACGACAGGGGCAGGATTTGAACCGGCATACACAGCGTTCTGTGCTGTTGAACTACCGCACACATACACCTCTCGCGCAATTTAATTTCAACCTTAACACTTGCGTTTTAAAGTGCAATAACACGTGAATAATATTTGAGTTTACATTTTGCAAAATTAAAACTAACGAAACGATTTCTGTCTCATCAGTCCCTGGCAACCGGACGAGCTCATCGAGTACGAAGACGACTTCGTTATAAAGTCCATCAAGAGCGGCGCGTCCCTCGGTACCAGCGGAGAGGCCAGGCTACGGGAACTGTCTCAGCGGGCCTCCGATTCGGACAGTCACGATGAACTGGCGCGACGCTCTAAGACTTCAACGTAAGTATAATTAATGCACCTACGGGTGGTGCATTGATTATACTATTTAAATAGTTTAAAACACGAAATATATCAGTTAAAAAGTATTTAACCAATTGCCTCCCCGTGACCACGGCTGCTGCAAAGCATCCGAAACGTCGGGCCGAAGATAAAATGATAAAATCTAGGATATTTCACCTGCCTTTAAGTGAACTCCTTGTTGCCCTTCTCTATCATAAAAGCAATGCGTATAGAGTGTCAAGTATTTTTCAATATCGCATTTTTTCAGACGCACCCTCAAGCAAACCCTTCACTCGATCGATTCTACGCTTCGGGAGCAATCTCTTGCGATAGACCGCCTATCAAAAACCGTGGAGATGTTAAACGAAGGTCAGCGTGCAGCCGCCTTTCACCCCCAGAATTTAGCTAGAGTGCCAACAGCCTCCCACTCTTGGGACCTGTTTGGCGGGTTCGTTCTTGCCATGGTGCTGCAGGCGCTACTAAACTGGATATTCCACCAAAGACAAGAGAAAGAATAGTTCTTCTGGTCTGGTTAGGTGGATTTTGTGTAGAGACATGGATGTTGGCGTGTCAAAGTCAAAAATAGGTCGACAGTGCATCTGAATTGGATGTTTTAGGGCTTATCATTTACCAGGTGAAGTTTCATTGTCTGTGCTCGATCTAAAATACTCCATCAACTCTAGTTAGATAATATATTGTAGTAACAAAGTATCAATCTGTCTTGTTTCACTTGAGACTGCCAGAAAGAGATAAAAATAGACCTCAAATTCCATGTCTCAATACTGCATACATTTTAAACGTGTTTGCTGCAAGTTTTGTGTCAAATTGTCAATTGCTTTGTATCTAAAGTTATGTCCACGTTTCGATGTCGAAAATTTAAAAGAAATGACATGGCAGGATGAATTAATATTTCTTTATGACGTCATATTGAAAAACTTGCGTTGTATAGCCTTATAAAATGATGACACGATGTTTATGACGTCATAAAATGACAGAGTATTGTGACAAGCTATGCCTTAACTAGACTAGCTAATGACAATTGATAGTTGTTATTAAACTGTCAATTTGGAATTGAAGATTGGTATTTTACGGAACGTAGACTAAAGGACAATGGAATGTGAGAGAGACAAAGCGATTGTGCCTAGCTGAAAACATATAATACGCTATACCTGTCTCTTTTTTATAACTCGAATATTTTTGGCAACATTGTAAATTAATTTCTTTTGTCTATGATCTGTAAAACTGACAAACCGTTGATTGACATTTGACACGAACGCTCCCAAAAATTGTGCACAGATGAATGCAACAAAACTCATCTAAACAGACTATATTAATATATCTTGCCTACAATAATGCTTTGTGGATTTGTATATGATAAATTTAATTTAACGATATTCAGAGCTTATTGATAATATAATTTTATTCAAATTATTATACGCTCGAATTGCTGTTATTAAATTGTTTAAGTCAAAAACTTACTATTACAGTCGATCCTCTTATTAGGTCGTGGTTTGAATAGTTTTTTTATAGATTTATAGATTGTAAATAAGCTTTTTGTTTTAAATTCAGAATTCACGTTAAATTCTGTAACATAATAATAATAATGTCTTAAGTGCTTACAGACAATTGCATGATTTTTTATTCAAAAATTTGTCATGTCAATTCAATCACGACTTAATAATAACCTTTTATATACTGTGTTCTAATAGCTTTATATCCTTCAAATAGTAGCGATATATTTAAAACAGATATTCAGTTTGCCAAAGTATATTTTTGACTTTTACACTTTAACTTTACGCCAAATACTATATTAATTATTATACTATGTTTCGTACACAGAGTATAAGAAAAAAAAATTGAAAATACAAAAGGTAATTTTGTAGTCTGTGATCGGTCGACACTTATACTCTGTGTGCATGACATTGACAGCTGTCAAAGTCCATTCTGGCGCCTAAATTACTGTCAGTAACGCCAGCCGGCGGGATCTCGGAAGTTTATTGGAAACTTTTTTGTGGATTTCTGCCTTTATTATATAATAATAATAGATTTATATAGTGTTCTCCCTATAAATGAAGAATCGCTTAATTTTTGGATAATAAGCATTTTTATACTTTGTAATTATATGATAAGCGGTGATTTATTCCTATGAAACGTTATTTTATCACATTCCCTGCACGCGGGCTTATCAAAAGCGGTTCAGCCGTTTAATACCACTTAGTCGAGACACATTCATTGTTCAATAATTATATTTCATGAATGATTATTATCACCTGGAATACGTATGCTCTTTATTTCAGATATCGGTATATATTTAGAGAAATATACTATGAAAACATAGTTGTATATAATTATAATGTGAGGCGCATTAACTTTTTTTATAATTTACTAAAGTTCAAATTAAAATTTTCTAAATAACGACAATTTAGTATTTTTAAAGAATAATACATTTGATTATACATATATATGAGGCTGATAGAGCTAGAGTAGCCTAATAAAAAAAACATGATTTCCAATTAGAAGGAAAATAAAAATACGCAATCAACTTAGGCGAAAATTAATTTGTACTATTATTTGTGTGAGAATAATTGATGAAGAAGAATTGTGTTAACAATTTTTGGTCACTGTGCTCTTGGAGATAAACATTTTTAGAGTGTGAAAATATAAATGAGTCAAGTCATAAGTACAATTGCAGTTGGGCTACTCTGCCTCCAGCGGCCTCATATTTCATGGTCACTTTCCCAAAGAAGCTATCGATTTGCAATGTTTTTTCGATATCTTAGTAATAAGGGAAAGACAAACACGACTCATCGTATTTTCGATATCACTGAATATTTGAAGTTTTGACCTGAAGATATTGGGATAGCTTGAAAGATGCTTTCATAGAATATTTCTCTAATGGTCTTAAATTAATAATATTTTACTCCCTATTACGTTTCTTTTTTTTCAACTTCATTTCCAGCCAAGACATTATTTTCATTTGTATTACGCCAAATGTGGCTTCTATGAGCCACAGGATAATGAACCACAGTTCGTATAACATACTACCAACAAACTCGCATGTCTACCACACTTAGCGTTTTTGGTATCTGGTTTTTTTCATTGCTCTGTGGTTGCCATGGCTTTGGCCTGAACAAAACACATCACCCCACGCCCAGTACGTAATTGCGTATTAGATAAGATAATTTTAGATTGTTGATATTTTTGTTGTTTTATTCATTGAATATATATTTTTTTCCAATTGATGTGTAGTTTCATTTTGTACATTTTTATCGTACTCAATCGAGTAATCGTTCCTGGCAACACAGAAAACTTTTTTATCAGATAGCATAACAATATTTTGCTGTAAAGTTATAAGATTGCCAAAAAAACTTCACCACCTCAGTGCATTAATAACAAATTTGATAAACTAAACATTTTTATATGCGCTTAGATTTTGCTTTCCTCAAACTTATTTAAGTCACTGTTAAGTGTAATATAATTCAAATAATCTTAAAAATTGACTTAGAGTATCCTAAGCAAAATCTTAGTGATCTGTAGCTTTAAATTTGCACAGTTGCACATATTTCCAATATTATAAACTTATTTTACGTACCTCCTTGAAACTTAAATAAAACTTTATTAACTATTAAGAGACAGACGACATCTTGTATATCAGACATATATAATTTTCAAAGCCATTGCGCAATAATTTATTTCTTAATAAGGAATTCTATAGGGCCCAGGGTACTTCCCTTGCGGTCCGTGTATCCAGTAATTACGTAAATTCTTAAAATCTTCCTCGTCCCAATGATGTCTCTTCGGCAAGAAGTGCGGTAGCCGTCTGCGCAGATCCAACTCGATCTCATATATCCTAGTCGGTGCTTGCATGTAGTTGAAAGGGTCCTTTCTACCGCGCTTCGGCTTAACAACCTCGTCAGATGCTTCCGAGGAGTCACTCCATCTTCCCTTTCTTGAGTCTGACTCGCTATCGGAGTAGAAATTTGTGCGTAGTATCTTCTTTGTGATGTAATCGTCTCCATATCTTCGGTACTTACTAGGCGGATAGAATGATTTCTTGGTTTTATCACTGGTTCGAGCCATTTCGAAGAAGTCGGCGTAATCGTAAGCGAATCCGTGGTCTAGTCTGTAATTTTATTCTTTAAAATTACCAGCGATTTAAGGAAAGGTAACCAATTGATGAACTTAATTATTTAGATCAACATAATATTATGACAAGTCGATAAACTTAATTAAACGCAGTTGCTTCACGGTTGCGGAAATACGTTCCAAATGTCGGATCGTAAAAATTAATTGACTGTAGGTATATCGCGTTCTAGACACGTCAGTGACACGCATCAAATACTAAATAAATAATAATACTACATTTATCCTAGTTCAAATCGAAAATATATATATGAAATACAAGCGAAACATTAGTAACTTTGGGTCGGTAAAATTCTATTTAATTTATTTCTGCTTAAACCGATTTTTTTATACTATATTGAAACGAAAATTTTAACTGTAAAAATTATTACGGAAATAAATTGAGATATACCTGTCTTCTGAAGATCTAGTCAAATCTATAAAATATTTAGTTGTTGTCTCAACATCACTTTCTTGATTTAGTACTTCCGTTGAATAGCCGTAACTTGGTCTATGCCATCGCGCTTTGCGCCTATCAAGTAACTCTTTCATGCAAATCTCGAATTCCGTTATGTCTTGCAGACATTTATTTATGTCTCTTTTTGTGAGACGGTCACCTGGTATACGTAGTACAGTTATTAAATCGTCTCTGAGCTGTTTTTTAAGTGCGCTTTCTGTGTCCCTTCGGTTGCTTAACGTAATGTCATTTAGATTAAAATGTAATGCTTCTATGACTGAAAAATGATAATTGATAAATTAAGTATCGTCTATAGTTTAATCGAGTATTATATGTTTAAATGAAACACTTAACGGTTCAAAGCGTGAAATATATGAGTTAACTTAATTTTAACCGTGAATTTAACAGTGGTCTGAAGATGGCGGCCCTAATGTCAAAGTCAAATGTGCTATGCTAGCGCCATTTTTTGCGTAGTAGTAAATATTTATGTATTTAGAGAAAATGGCGCGAACTAGTCAGAACGGATCTACTGTATTCAATAGTATTCCAGGTTTTTGATGTTTTGACGACGTCGTCCCTATTGCACTTTGGTAGTTAAAATTCAATAAAACAAGATAATACATTAGTTAGTTATTTTCTCTTTTTACTTTTTTAAAAGTAAAAATAGACTATGTCAATAAAAAACTATATGTTACTGTTAGGCCCTATAAACAATCTGGTCTAATTATAGTTATTCTTTGTCTTCGTCTTGCTTTTTACTTGCATAAACGATGTCAAAAAAGGAAGCCAGATCACATCCTGTTAAACTATTATTATATGGGTAGGATATTACACCTTCCAACAAGTAAACCTCTTCTTCTTCTGTCTTAAAAAACAAAAAACACCCACCTGTCACTAAACAATAGAAAAACCCCGCTTTTGAATTCATTTTACATCACTGACATTTACCTAGTAAGTAGTCATTGAACGTAATTAAATTTATGAAAACGCGTACACACATATAAATGTATTAAGTTTGTCTGTCTGTCGTTACTTATTACTGTAATATTACTTAGGTACTAATACTAGTATCAAGCCAAGTTATTCTTACACACTCGGTAATTTCATTGTAGCAATATATGGCTTTATCATCGTGTCGGGTCGGGTTCAATATTTATGTAATTTAGTTCTGAAAAACCGTAACTATACTGTGGTGTATATAGCAAAATTCCCTCCGGGTCACAAATAACGGCCAACGAGAAAAATTCATAAATTGTAAATTCCAAAAGTGATCAATAGGTCGGTCAATATAATAGTCATCACTGGCTATCAAGTCAACGGTCAATTGAGCGGTAACTAGACCCCGATACTCGTACAAAGTGGGTGATTAACTTTAAAATCAAAACATTAATTACCAATGAAAACAAACATACAAAACTCCAGCGAAATACACATGTGAAGGGACGTAACAACGCATGTGAAGGGAATCAGCTTTTGCTGAACCGCATACACAGCACTGATTTTCAGTGATGATAACTACGCTTTACAGTGAATGTATATATATATTGTAAATACATTTTACATGACTAGTACTTTTACTACTACTAAATTTAGTAGCAGTGACACTGTCGACTTTTTAATATTTGACTCATTGATAAGTAAAACCGTGAGGCATGGTTAGTTATTTAAAGTAAATTGAGCATAAGTTAACAAAATCACTGATTTCAAGCTTCATTGACACTAAATTGATTGAAGACATGCGCACGCGACTTCAGTGCGAAATAATATTAAACTACTGTTCACAAGAATATGTAGTCGGTTGATGCGAAAAATACACGAGCTAAAGTCTAAAGGTAGCAATGTATTGCTAACAATCAACGGGTCGCGGGTTCGATCGCCACCGGCTTCAAAAGTTTCTCATTTTTTAATTTATAATTTTTCTGAAAAATGTTCTTTGTCTGGAGATCTGGATATTACATCGGAAGTAGGAATATCGTAAAAAAATCACCGTGAAGTTCCATCGCGTGTTTGGTTCAGTCTGTGGATATCCATAGTCGGCATTTCAAATGTCATCAAGTGATTGGCTTATTTGTCCTACTCAATTATAAAAAAACGACTAATAGTCATCTACGAAAGAGGTTTCAAATAAAGCAACAATAATTTAAGTTAAGTTTATTAGAAAAGCAGATACAAAATTCTCTTTACATGACAGATCTACTACAATAGACAAGTGTATGGGCATCACCTAATATTGACATGAAATAATTACTATATTTAAAACAAAACATCTATTTTATTTATGAATCTACTAATACATTTTCAATATACGTGTGCGTCTCGGGACGCCGGACTGAAGTGATAACTTACAACGTAACGCGTTACGCAATGAATTGATCTAGACTTCCATGAGACTTCAAAAAGACTATACATTTACTAATCTCAAAGGAGAACTCAGAGTGTACGTTCGGGATTATAAAATCGAGAAGTGTAAAACCAAAAGTAGGGCGACGGCGCATTTTAGAATTGTCGTCTGTTCGAAAATGGTGATGCCCATCTACTGAGTAACATCTAAGTGGCATTACTAAGTCGACATGTGTGAAACCAGCTGCGCCCGCGCAATAACAGATGTTGAAGTGAGTTTGCTAATTTACCTGTCCACGAAAGTCCTATCAAAATCTGTTAACCAGCTAATAAATACCGTAGACAAGTAATGCCGCGTAGATAAGAAATGCAATTACGAAGACTATCTTCGGAAACCTAAAAATGGACAATTTGATATGAAAGTGGAAATATCAGTTCGAATTAGTACACATATAATATACAGGGTGGTGAAACAAAATTAAAATCCCAATTTTTGAAAAGGGGTATGGGGCGTATGCACGTGTGGTGTCCATCTCACTAAAGTATTTTATCTATATCTGATCAGACTGTGTTCGTCCCGATCGAAACCTCTTATATATTTACTCAGTATTTGAACCTACGACCTCTCGGTGTAAACGTGCATTGTAACACAATACGTCTCATAAGTATTATAATCGCGGGATAAAGGACTATAATATTCCCTTGGATGTGACGATATAGTTTAAGTTTAAATATGTTACATCATTTTGTTTGTAAAGTTTGAACTGTAACCGCGATGTATTGAACGGAAGTAGTAGGTTTTATATAGTATGTACCATTTCAACCACCCTGTATCGTGTTTTAATGAAATTTCTAATGGTCGGATTCCGAACTCCAAAAATTGTCTAAAAAGTTTCAATACCATAAAAAAATATAGACGCCAATTCTTCGCCAGATTTTTATAAGAACGTCAAGTTGGGAATATTTTAATATTATTTAACATACAGCATGTCCCAGATTGGAACCGTCTTACTATCAAATTTATATATCTCCGTGGGTGAATGTTTGAATCTCGGAAAAACAATATTTTTAAGGGCACAGTAATTTTATATACTGTAAAAGGATAGGGACACAAAAATGAGTTCGCTCCTCGGATTTAACTAACAAAAAAAAAACATAAATATGTTGTAATTGCATCTGGTACTACTCATTGTGTTAAGTGTTCTATTTTGATGTAATTTAAAGAAGTTAAAGTGATATCTTTCATTTATTTTAAATTGTTGTTGTGAAATATTAGTCTTGTTTTTTTCCATCTTTGTCGATAATAATATTATTTTAAAATAACATCTACACCATTAAATACTGTTTATAGTTTACGCGAGTAGTACACATTTAAATAAAACACTTTAACGGTTTAAAACGCGATATATTAGTTAAACTTATTTAAAAATGATTATTAACTTCGGCCCGACGTTTCGGATGCTTTGCAGCAGCCGTGGTCACGAGGAGACAAATAAGTTTAACTAATATATCGTATTTTAAACCGTTAAAGTGTTTTATTTAAACCTACACCATTACTGGGACATGCTGTATAAATTCAATAGTCTAGACCAGGGGTAAGCAACCTATTGATAAGTGAGATTCATAACAGTTTCACATATAAAAAGACTAAACAACAATACAATTATTGTTATATAGTTTGTCATTTAAGTTGTGAATTGATAGTTATGTTATATGCTGTGTGTATAGTTTGCGCGACTTAGTATAGGTTTAAGTAATGTGTATCGTGTTTTAAACCGTTAAGGCGTTGTATTTAAAAGTTATGCGATGAATTTAAGGTAATTTGAGCCGCACATAAATGTCATCCCTCATTCTTGTCATTTTACTTTGGGTTGCTGACCCCTGGCCTTATTTTACTAAAATTAAGTTTAAGTACACTCACTAGATATATATAACAGATATATGTTATTCATAATCCATCCTTTTATCATAAGCACAATCATTTTTTGCTAATACAAGCGCACGCTACTTTACTTTTGGCTTCCTCATACAAAGTGAAAAAGAAAAGTTTGTGTCAACGACGAAATAATATTTAACTAGCTGCGTCAGCGACTTCGTCCGCGTTGAGTTATTTATGGCATCCAAATTTGTTCTTTGTAAACCTATTGTTCATCTTTATAAATTTAAGCCGTTACCCCAGACGTTTGTCGCCTTGTCGTCTTGCAAGTTAATCTCAGATGATAGACATATAGCGTCGCTTTTTTAAAAAAATAATTTTCAATATTTCGCTTAACGTCAGTACTCCTATGTTACTCCTTTAGAACCGCTCTTCATCGAAGTATTTCAGATTAGCGTTCACAAACAAACTCTTCAGCTTTTATATAATATAAATATCACAACAATTCCTAATTATTTAAGGGTTTTATAGTTTACAATACTTAAATTTAAAAAAGAACAATATTGATATTTTAAATAAAAAATTTAATTAGATTTAGTGGAGGCAGACGACTTTTTGTCGAAGGATGATAACTTTGACAGTTCGCAAAAGCGATACCAACTAGATAATATTCGATTTCGAATATTAGATTTTTATCGATACAGAATATACAAGTTAGAATCGATAGTTCATAGACTCAAAATAATATTACTCGATTAATTGAATGTGCTAAACAGATATATTAATTTATATGTTTTTAACCTATACGAGGCAAAGTATACACGACAGGCAAAATTATGATCCTATTTTAGGCAAACTATAGGTACTGACAAATGTGCGATCACCTTTAATAACTAATATATACCTATGATATAAGCATACTCTTTATATTTGGCAAAGTAGTCTAAGAGCTAAATAAATATTTATTAAGTGCGAAAAAAATAAGTGACATTCAATCAATGCAAAGGAACCAACGGTATCTTAAAATGTTAGGAGACATCGAGAGCCCATCAACCCTTTAATAGGTCCCACAGGTGGGACTAGTTGGGGCCTAAGAGGATGCTACATTTATCACGCGCTTTATTTGTTGCGATGTATTCTTTTAGCCACCATGTAAACAAAGATAAAATTTTAGTGCCCAACCGAGAGTCGAACTTTCGAGCTCACGAACGTAATCTGTGTGGTAATATCATTGGACTAACATGTGTTCACGGCGGAAAGTAGAAAATATCTGAACTGCTCGAGCCACTTCCACTTAATAAATTGAACAAGTACTGTATTCAAATCTGCGACCGAACTTTTTCATTTTATATAAGATCTAGTTTTTACACTGGCTGTTACTTTGCTCTAAGCTTTCCTTATAGCTTGAAAGTATCTTAGTAGATCGCCGTCTGCGCGTGCGACGAATGCTGAATTCAGAGAAATCGTGTCCAAAGCGACGTCGGCGCCACGCTGCCCGCCGAAAAGGTCTTGAAACTGAAATACATATTACAACTACAAACATACATATTAAAACTACAGTACAATTATAAATTAATTAGAAAAACGATTGACCAGGTGGGGATCGAACCCACGAATCGTTATTATCCATGCTACCATTACACCGTCATAACTGTTTAAATCGTGAAATATTCATTGGAAACATCAATACTAACATTATAAAGCTTGAAGTGTTTATTTGTTTGTTTGAACGTGCTTATGCGTGCGTGCGGCAGGAACTACTCGAAAAGTTCTTTGTGTTGGTTAGAGCATTTATCGACGAAGGCTTTAAGCTATGCTGCGACTAATAGAAGCAAAAAACAGAGGAAAACTAACAAAAAAAAAAAACCAAATTATTCGTTTCCGTTGTATACGTTGCGAAAACGGTGCAAGGTTCCCAAAAAAAAGGGGAAGAAAGCATGATTTCTCTTTTAATGATCTAAGTAATATCCTCGACAGTATAATAGGTCTATCTTTCAAGATTAACTTTACAGGAAGGACGGGACGCAGACGACGTCGTGGGTAACACTTATAGCTTATAATTTATAAAGATAAGGAGGTGTGCAAAAACAAATTTTGATGGCCAAAATAACCATTCCACGCGGACGAAGTCGCTCTAGCTAGTCCATAAATTTAAACTCACCCTATAATAATCAGCAGGTTGATACAAGCACCTCGCGGCTGCTTGCAAGGCAGATGGAGGTAAGGCTGTGTTATTGAGAACACGCCACACGCCGGACGCACCGCGCCATCTTTGACAGATATTAGCTAAATTTAAAAACTTTAATATTTTTCACATGATGGCACTATATAATTTCAAAATCGAAAATAAATTGAAAAAAAAAAATCGACTCGGTAGCTCAATTAGTTTTTTTTTTTACTTAAGCGAATCGAATCTTTACAACGTCCCCGCTTGGCCACAAACAGTGGCGGGGGGAGTGTGCATCGGGCCATAGAACTCGATAGCTCAATTGGTTAGAGCAACAGCACGGAACGCTGACGATGTCGGATCAAGTCCCGCCCGGGTGGGTTTATTCAATTTTTTTTTCGATTTTAAATTTGCTTAATTTAGTTTAAAAGTCTAACTAAAAAAAGTCGTCGTCGATTTTTTTAAACCCATTAAATGCACCTCTCGTGCAATGTAATTTCAACCTTAACAATTGTAATTTAAGATTCAATATTACCGTTTGAGGGTTTCAAATGTGTATTTTACCAAGATGTACGACATCTCAAAACTCAAGCTACACAAAACTACATAAATCTTCTGTTCTTTACTTCCGTTAAGGACGAGAGTCACTGATGTAGAGTCTTGGAGAAACGATAATATCGAAGGGCAACAGATTATTTCCATGTTAGCTCTCACCGACAGAGTCCAGCGCAGAGTGACGTCACCCAATTATTCCAATCTCTGCCGCGTTGCGCCTCAGTCGACATCACCGTGTACGCAAATCTAGAAGCAACATTTCTACAGTGCATCAATGCCTTAAGTTATTTGCGTAATCTATAGCTTAGGCAAGTTAAAAGGACCAAGCCTATCTAAGGAAACTCACGCCGACCTAAGTAAGCTTTATGCGAGCTATTACACATATAAATAAAACACTTTAACGGTTCAAAACGCGAAATATATTGGTAAAACTTATTTCTAAATTTCCCATGCACGCTTTGCGGCAGCCACGACCGCGGCATAAGATAAGTTTTTCTAATATTTCACGTTATAAACCGTTGTAAATGATTCTTTGTACTACAATTTAAAAGACACTGTGTTTGGAGTTTAGCTTGCATTGCAACAAAATTACCAACATACTTATTGATTGATTGATTGATTTTTAAAATTCTTTATTTCAAAATGGCTTACATTAGACTTAACCTAGTGTACATTGAACGTATCCTAGATTAGCCTTAAATGAGTTGATATACATTAATGTTGACCAAGAATATATAATCAGAAAGAATTCAGAACTGTGTTCACATCATTTATATGTTTTTTTATTCAACAATATTAAGTATAAGCTCTAGTAACTACTGAGGGTAGATAACTGTTTCTAAAATGTATTAGTTACAATACTTTAAATCTTATGCAAAATAGAAGCATACGTTGCGTAAACAATTACGACGAAATACGGTGCCGCAACAAAGTTTGCCATGTCACACAAACACGTACAACATACTTATTAGTATGTATGAAAAATTACATCCAAATTGATCTAGCCGTTTGACAGATTCGTCTGAACAAATAGAAAGTTATATTATATTAATTTGAATTTGTTTAGTCGTCTCTTCTGTGAAATTGCGACCCATGCCCCACGCATGATACTTATATACACACCTATATAAAAGCCAATCATCCGTAGGCGACACCAAAGCAGCTAGCAGAGCTCGATGTGAATACATAGGCCGTGGAGCTGCGTACGACGTCACCAAAGCCTTCCAGCATGCGCGCCAAGCATGCTCGCCGAGCTTACGCACTCCAGCGGTAAATGCGGCCTGGAAAGTTCAGGGTGCAGTTAAAATAAAATGTGAATATTTCACGTTTTAAACTGTTAAAAGTTTGACGGGCTCGTTCTAAAGGTAATGTATGGCTAATAATCGGGTCGCGGGTTCGATCTCCACCAGCTCCAACATGTTTCTAAATAATTTAAATAATCTTTCTGAAATGTGTTGGTCTTCGTCTGGAATATCGGAAATTCCATCCGGGTTACGACCACCGTCCACAGATGAAAAAGTCGAGAAGTTTAATCGCCTTTCGGTTTCAGTCTATGGATTTCCGAATATCCAAAGCCAAAATAGCTTGACAGCACATCTTGTGTAGATGCTATAGGCTTCTCTATGATAAGTCCTTAGCTTGCGTTACCTACAGTTCACAGTTACTAAACTAAACTTTGAGGGTAGCTGTTAATACAAGGTTTTTTCTACCTCTTGGTATATCTCTGGTATTGTCTCGTTTTCGTAAAGCCAAGCGTCGAAAAGTTGTAGAGCTTGGTTTGTGACATTCTCATTCCCCCACTCCACGCCAGCCATCAGCAACGCACCACTCAACCATCTGTTAAGAAAAAATTTTATATATTTAAATGAATAGATTTAGTACTCACCAATATATATATATTTATTTATTTATATGACCGCCACTGTAGCTTAATGGTTAAACATATTGCCTAGTATTGCGTAAAGCGCGACAGGTCTTGGGTTCGAATCCCAGGGAAACATAAAATTGTTTCGATCAGGCAAGGCACAGAAGTCTGGTCAACTACCTGTCTGTTAAAAAACGGATTAGTGAAACGGACACAAAGATATGTTCCCCCCATGCCCCACGAGGGGGAAACGGAACACACACAAAATAATTTATAACATTTAATAGACTTTAAATCAATTGAGCTACCGAGTAAAATAAAGTGGTTAGATTAACACCACGGAACGCTGACGATGCCGGTTCAAGTCCTGCCCGAGTCGTAAATTTATTTAATTTCTTTTCGATTTTTAAATTATAGTACCATGTGAAAAATATTTAAGTTTTCAAAATGTACGTTACTCAGCATATTAAAGGGAAGAAAGGAAAGAGAAAAAAACTCACAGTTGATCCTCATTCAAATGCCCCTGCTCAATTTCCCTTGCGCTATACAGAGTGATGTCTGGCGTCAAAGAGCTGAGCATTTCGTGCAAATAGGGCGCTGACGCCGAGACTTGCAGCAATTCCCTCCAATGGGACAGCTGTTTGACAACAACTTGCCACACTGCCCAATGCTGCTCAACACGCAAGCGAGCTGGAAAATATGACCAAACTATGGTTATAGACGTCGACGCAATTATTTAAGTCTACCACAAAGACCTTGTCAAAATAAATTATCTTAGTTTTATTTTTATCAAAGTTAAACACAGTAATATTTATAACAACAAAACAAACTAAACGTATTGGTCGTGTTTTAGGCGAGTAGTACCTACACGTAAAACAATTTTAACGGCTTTAAACGCGAGGTAGTTAAGTTATTTGTAATTTATTATAACAACGATCACGCGTTAAAATAAAAAATTGTTAATCAATATAAATCACGATTTAAACAGATAAAAGTGTTTTATTTAATCAAAGGTTAAATTTGAAAAAAAAAATCACGAGTCAATATTGAAGCTTACATATGGAAGTTGAAAAAAAAAACATAATATATATGTTTGGATTTAACGGCCATTTTGAATTTAGGGTAGATTTACCTGCAGCAGCTATAGCACGACTCGCTGGGAGGCGACCCGCTCGGCTCAGTACGAAGGCATCGTCCAGAAGGAGCGCACGTTCTGACGCCGCTCCCGTGTCGAATAAAATAGCAGCGCGGTTCGCTGCCGATTCTGCAGACTAAAATTATAGAAGTTGAGAAGTTTGATCAAGAAGAAGACAATATTATAAAGAATTGCACAGCGCCGCTAAAGAAGTTTTTTTCCAAAAATATGTTACTCTAAGCGTGACTAAATGGTTTGACGTTGGTTCGACAGCAAAATAAGAATCTGTAAATAACCGACGTTATGCATCTACTCTAATGTAGGAGGAGCGAGATTCAACACACACACTTATATAGTAATAAACCGTATTTGTTACATTGATTATCGTATTATTCCCATTTTTATATATATATCCCTGGTAAAGTACAAAGCACTGTTACAGTACGCTATAAGTGGAACCTAATGATAAAAGGAGTGGCGCCGAGTTTCTTGCGAAATCTTCTCGTTCGTTTACGCCGTTGATTTGAGAACGGGTAGGAATTGTTAATTTAAGTGTTTTAATGCTAGCTGTATTGACATTCGTTTGTATAAATAGTTTTAATAATAATGATCGATAATTTCGTTTTGATTTAAATTGAATTCATTTCAGTTTTACCTCGCCAGGTTGGTCTTGAGGAGCAACGCGGTACAGACCTCTGGCACCCACGTTGTACCTCACCCATTTGTGTTTACCGAGATCAGGTATCACCACTGCAACAATGATTGGTGATAATTATAAATTCTATAAGTCTTAGCTTAGTCGAGCGACGTTTTATAATGACACCCATACTTGCTTTGTCGTATATATAGAGCTGACACATGTTTGTAGGACTTTGAACTCACTACTTACAACTATAAACTTTTAAATAAAACACTTTAAAACGCGATATATTAGTTAAACTTATTTAAAATGATTGGTCCCGTGACCACGGTTGCTGCAAAGCATTCGAAACGTCGGGCCAAAGTAAAAATCATATTCAAATAAGTTTAACTAATATATCGCGTTTTAAACCGTAACAACGCAAGATATATTCAGAAACTATTAAATGTAAGCCTGTTCGGTAATCTTTCGTAAATCCGTTAAAATCGGCGAATAGCCAAATCTGTAAATTATACTGGTAGCAATAGTAAACGCGTATTTTTTTTCTATGTAATAATCTATCTATGGTTAGAAGTTGACCCTCTCATTATTTTCTCGACAATAGATTAGGGGCAATAGTTAAGATGTCTATATATCTGTGAATATAGACACGCAAAAGTTTACTTCTTTTAACTGCCAGTTATGTATTTAACTTAAAGTAAGTAGGTAGGTTTTAGTTAATATTAAGACCGGCCGTTAACAGTGAAGAATAATTAATAATTATCATATGTGTATATAGAACTGTTATAAATAAAATTCTATAAATTGATTAGACTTACTTTCAGTATCGTTCATCCAGACCAGATGAGTCACATTTTCCATCCATTTCGAAGTTATTACTTTTGTCTCGTTTCCTAAGTCATACCTGTAAATGAAAATAGGTCGTCATTATGGATCTGCCATTTTGGATTTTAAAATGACGTCACACACGAGAAATGTCAACGACTATTAAAGATTTCTGTTTGTTCTCATTTGGTTATAAAATTTAAATGAAAATTAGCAATATCGTTAATTAATTACAAATATACAAAGACAAAATGAATATAAAAGATTCTATTGATATAAAAGTTATGATTCTCACCAAGTCCCATTTTGCATGTTCTCAGTACTATTCTTCCACAGTTTTGTTATGTTATCCACCTCTTCTTCCAAAAGAGGACCTACGCTGAATGTCAGCGGGATCACCCACTTGGGTTGTGGGGGTGCTTTCGTCGTTTTGACAGTAGTGGGGCGGGGCGTTGTCGTAGATGTCGTGGTTGTCATGTTGACGTCGTCTTCCATTATTTCAGTAAAGTTTTCTGTAAAAATTGTTAAGTTTTATTAGAAACTGTTTTCTGTAGTTAGTCTACGATCGTGATTGTTGCATAAAATATAATCTCTATATATTTGAGTTACCAGGTTCGAAGAACAGCTCCTCGAGTTCAGCTCTGAGGTGGAATGTGAGAAGGTGGTTCCGGAATGGCGGTTCGTGTTCTGGAGGCTCCGCAGACATCACAAACCTGGTCAACATTAGGTTTCGAAAGATTTTTACCGAAGTCGAGGAAAAGAGGAAAGATGTGCATATTGTACTAATAATGTAATTGTAAATTAAATATCTATTTCCTAATTCACGTACCTCTCCTGGCGTATAATGACGTCGTGCCCGGCGTTCGAAGCGCTGACAAGCGGATATCCGGCTCTCTCGCACCAGCCGTCCCACGCGTTCTCCGGGGCTTCTCCGCCGCCTTCTTGTTGTAACGCGCGCCATAGATCACTAGAATATATTTAAATGCTATCTTTAGCTTACGCGATTAGTACACATAAGTTTTTTTTTCAAGTTTAACTAATATACAACGCGTTAGTGTTTTATTATAATTCAATATATTATTTTTAATCATTTATGTTCAACGGTTCTGTTTAAAAATAATTATTTTTATAAATAATAGAGTATTATAAATATTATCGCTTAAATGTTGTTGTAAATGTATAAATATATTCCATTGTGGATAAGGAACCCAAGTTCAAGTCCCGCTTACTCCGCTTTAAGAAGGATAGACTTACCGCGCATCAGCGCTTGCCGTTCGATGATCGCGCAGTAAACGCGCGAGAGCCGCGCGGCCCGCCGAAACGCCAGCGGCCTCAATCGCCATACTGACTATAGCAGCACCCTGTATATACAAATTCATCTTCAAAACAAATTTTATAGGTTAGAAGGCGATTACATAGTATCTACCTACATACTTAAGTAAAAATATTGCCATATTTAAGTGTATTTTGTATTTTTTAATTTAATTTGTATATTGTCGTATATATGATGAATTATGTAAAATATTTATTAAAAACAATAAAACTCAATTAGGATGAGTCCCGTTCGGTTTTAAACGGTCGGTTAACTAACTTCTAAGGATCCGTGACCACGGCTGTTGTGTATTTAAAATGTCAGGTCGATTAAAAATTCGGTTAAAAACTCGCCTTTCAAGCCGTTAGAAGTGTTTAATTTACAAGTGTGCTACTCGCGTAAACTACACTTAGGGCTTAAGATAAAGTTGAAAAATTTTTGAGTGTAGCAAAATATAACATACCTTATGTAACGATAGTTCATCGGTTGTAGCTTCGATGTCAGCGCGTTCGAATCTCGGTGAGGCCACAGCTCGCACCGAAATACTCGAGTCTAATCTAAATTTATTATTATTATTATATTTTTTTATTTATCTTTATTTATATTTTCTTTTCTTACTGTTTTATAACCAAAAGCGATCCTCGATAAATGATCTAAAAAAATAACCTTCCAATTCGGACCAGTAGTTACTAACTTTAGCGCTTTCAAACAAACAGCTTCGGCTGAATAATATTAGTATAGATCTAGAACTCTAAATGTAACTCACGTAAGGGCCGGCAACACATGATCCAAAAGTAGCGCGTCCTCCTGTCTTTCAGCGACTGTCCCTAGAGACGGTGCCTTCTCACCGAGCACCGAAGTCAAGGCTTCCATCAGCCATTGGGAACTCCACCATCTCGGTGACACCAGGCCTCCAAACCACTGTATTAAAAAAAAGTGAAATCCCGTTTCCCCATCGTGGGGCATGGGGCAAACACATTTTTTGTCCGTTTCACTAATTCTTTCTTTAACAAGAAAGTAGTCGACCAGGCTGAGCCCTGCCCGATCGAACCAAATTTTTTTTTTACTGGGATTCGAACCCGGAACCTACAGAGGCGGTCATCCACTGTGTAATGCCCGATATATAACATCTCCACAAGCTGTCGCCCTATTTTGGCTTTGATTGTTCGATAATCCAACTTTATTATACATAACAAATTTATTATGTAACTACATTAAGTATAGGCTTTTGTAGCATTTGTTTGCACGGCTAATAATCAACGGGTCTTGAGTTCGATTTCCACGAAGCCCAACACGTTTCTAGAATCGGTGTTTAATTTTTCTGAAACACGTTGGAGTTCGTCTCGAAAATCTAGATTTTAAATTTAGAAGGAATTTTGGAAATCCACCCGGGTCACGAACCACCATCCGCAAGTAAGAAGTCGTGATGGATTTCGAATATCTAAAGAAAAATAGGTCGATAGCACATCCTGTAGAGATATTAAATGGCTGGGCTATTTTACCTTCCATCGAGTAAACCTCATGTTTGTCTGTCCTTTAAAAAAATCACGTAATAACAAAATGTATCGTTTAAGTGGAAAATACCTGTTGAGCCAATAACCTTGCGATGACCTTGGTGTCAGTCAGGGTGGCAGGTGAAAGGGTAATGAGACCCCAACCTTCGGAGTATGGACTGCTGTTCTCGACGACCACTATATCTGAAAATGTAATGGGAATGTATGAATGTTTGTTGAACTTCAGAAGATCAAAATTTAAAGTGTAATCATTCTTTTATATACAATTATATACAATTTCCCGTTTTTCCACATTTCCCGCTGTACTATGCTTGTAATACTCACAGGGCGATGTTTTATATCCTATAGCCTTCCTTGATAAATGCTCTAACCAACACAAAATATTTTTTAATTCGAACCAGTAATTTTTGAGATTAGTTCAAACAAACAAACTCTTCAGCTTTATATATTAAGTATAGATAACTCACCGAATTTAGGCAGAGGGTACGAAGTATTCAATTCGTATGAATACAGTTGGATCGTTTTTTGAACCCATTCAAGAAGCGGACTGAAAAGAGATATTCATTTAAAGGAACATTCAAGTAAGCTTCATTCAACTTAAAAAAAGATGAAATAAATAAGTTATCAAAAGCCTAATGCTTTGCAAACGCAAAGTAGCCTAACTGCAGTATTATGACTAGAGTTATTTATAATTTCATAATCTAAAAATGTTAATCTACAAGAAAGCAATGACCGAAAATTGTTAACATAATTCTTACACAAATAATAGTACAAATCTATTTTCGCATCAGTTAGTTGCGCTTTATTATTTTCTTCCTTATTGAAAATCATGTTTTTTTTTTATTAGGCCACTCTACCTCTAGCCGCCTTATATATTTTCCTTGTATCTGAGGCAGATTCTATAAATACCTGACTTGAATGAAGGAATTAATTTACTTGACCTATCTATTCAACAAAATTTTAATATCTAGATTAATGACTGAATGGTTCTGCTCTGAAAGTGTTAAGTTATCCCTATGGGGGGGGGGGGCATAGGCTTAGACACAAGATTGAAATAACAGATTGGATTCGAAGTTCGTTTATTAGGTGAAGATTAGGTGGTGTACATTTACTTTGACTCATACTCGTAGTCTATTTCTCTTGCTCTTACTCTTACTCTTTCTCTTGCTCTTACTCTTGTTCTTGCTCTTCTTCTTATATATTCTTATAAATTAATTTAAACGTCGATTACATAGACTATAAACGCCTACATACCTCAATTACTAGTAACGACGTAGTTTATTAAAAGGTTGTGTATAATTTAAAGTCAAAGGTCAGCAACGCATTTCTGGTGTAAACAGAAACAAACTCTTTAACAACTTGTGCATAATTACCCAGATTCATCCAGTATAACTTGTTTATCGCTGTACAAACTGATTTCGGGGGCAGGTTCATCACTGCTCTCTGTGGCTTCGGGCAGACTGGGCGAAGGCTCTAGAAGTGGGGCGGAGCGCCGTTGCAGACGGCACACAGACAGAGCTATCATGTGCGGTGGCATTGTTGGGGTCGTCGCGAATTCGTCTTGGAGCTATAAACGGTTAATTTTGTGAGGAAAGGCCAAAAGTTACGCTTCTATGGAATACCTAGCTGTGTTAGCAACTTCGTCTGCGTAGAATAGCTATTTTGGGCATTAAAATTTATTTTTGCAAACCACATCTTCATCTTTATAGATTAATACTGTTGCCCACGCCCGTGTCAGTCGCGTCCCGTCGATTTTATAGATCATTGAAAGAGAAATTATTCTTTTATCCATATTTTACGAATTTGCTACGAATACCCACAAAAATAAATAACGTTTTAAATTTTCTCCATATCTCCCGCTTTTTCTTGGCTCCTATAAATCGCAGCGTGATGTTTTATAACCTTCCTCGATCCCCCTATGTCCGGAGTGCAGAGAAAGTGAGGAAACAAGCATCCATCTACTCACTGAATGCTCTGCATACTCGAGGCTGAGACAAACACATATGGGTTCGGACGAAGTTACAGAAGATGAGATCAAAGAATTACAGATGGAAAAAATAATAAGATTCTGCAAGCAACCGGAAGCTTTGAAGAGGACACGGGGAGAGTTGGATGACCCAAAACCTCTACAAGGAGGAAATGGGGAAATGGGTGAAATGGTCAGCTGATAACGTGGACTGATTACCCGTCCTACCACAGGTGTCCCCGAAATAAAATAATAATAATAATAACCTTCCTCGATGTATGCTCTAGCAAACACAAAAATATTTTTTTCAATTCCCACTAGAACTTCCTGAGGTTAGCGCGTTCAAACTAACAAACTCTTCAGCTTTCTATATGAGTATAAATCATATCTTACCAATCTATGTCCAAGATAGAAGCCAGCCTCTTCTGTAGCAACGATAGGCATATTTGTCAGCGATACGTGAAACCTGGACAGGGTAAACTGACTTAATATAAAATACCGACTGTAGTAAACATTTTAACGGTTTAAAACGCGATATATACTAGTTAAATTTATTTTTATTATGGCCCGACGTTTCGGATGCTTTACAACAGACTTGGTCACGGGGAGTCTACCCGTAATTAAAATAATTCTCAAATAAGTTTAACTAATATATATCGCGTTTTAAACCGTCAAAGTGTTTCATTTATATGAATTAATATAACTAATGTTATGAGGAATAGACAAGACACTGAAATGTGTTATTAACATTTAAATTGTATATAAGATCTAAGATAAGTTGTTGCCTTATTTTGGCTTTGGGCATTCGGGAATCCCTCAGTCTTTACTGAAACCGAAACGCGATTAGACTTCACGGCTTTTTAATCGGTGAATCTTGGTTCGTGACCCGGGATATTAAAACTAGACTACCAGACACCATCTTAATATTAAGTTGGGACATTAAAATCCAAAGTCGGTTCGAGTTTGTTGATAAGCAAAGATAGGCCCGAGAGCGCATCCTAGTCAGATGTTACATATGTGATAATTCTGGGGCATTTTCACCTTTCAGCCAGTGACCGCCTTGTCTGATTACATGGTAAAAAAATTTAAAACTGTGGGCGGTAATTCGTGTTTAAATAAAGTTGTATACCTGTCTCTCACTATGGTCAGTTTGAAAGTCGCGCGAAGGTACGGCTCGTCGAAGCAGGGGAACACTGAACGCGCATGCGTCAGCCATAATCGGGATATAGCACATCGACTGAAATCAAAATTACAATATAGTCTCTTATGAACAGACAGCGTCAAAAGCCCCTCTGTCTGTTTTGTTTCTATCGGGATACTGGAACCAGATAGGAGTTAGGCTGTGAATAAAGGGTCGCAAAACAGACACAGAATTGTGTCCAACGCATAATGTCCACATACTAACTAGCTATTCGCGAAAAAATAAAACAATAATCACTGCAACTTAAGACAATATTGTATATTGTATACTAGCTGTGTCAGCGGCTTCGTCCGCGTAGAACAGGCGTCCGAATTTGTTTTTGTAAACCGAGGATGTAGAGAAACGACGTACGAGAAAATTCAAGCTGTATTCCCCGACGTTCTTACAAGTTAATCTTAAAAGATAGACATATAGCGTCGCGGACATTTTTTTTTATCCATTTATAGATGAATCTTTCTTTTAAATAAAACACTTGAACGGTTTAAAACACGATATATTAGTTAAACTTATTTGAAAATGATTTTTAACTTCGCCCCGACGTTTCAGATGCTTTGCAGCAGCCGTGGTCACGGGGAGACGGTGGTCTCATTTTCATTTTCAAATAAGTTTAACTAATATATCGCGTTATAAACCGTTAAAGTGTTTTATTTAAATGTGTACTACTCGCGTAAACTATAGACAGTATTTAGGAATCTTTCTTTTATATATTTTTTTTGTTATCTTGAACCGTTTTCATACCGTAAGCATCGGAAACTCACAACGAATAATTTTCCCCTTTGTTTTCACATTTTCCGCTGTTTTGTCGCTCCTATAAAACACAGCGCGATATTTTATAGCCTAAAGCCAACGTCGATAAATGCTGTAACCAACACAAAAATAATATGTCAATTTGAACTAGTACTTCCTGTGATTAGCACGTTCAAACAAACAAACACTCTTTAGATTTATATATTAATTTAAATATGAATCAATGTGTAAGACAACACAAAATATCAATTTTCTTTTTTTGTGTGTCTGTTTACTTACTGCCTGTGCGTCCCAGTTAAGAAAAATCCCCGTAACTTATCACTTCTGTCCAATTTCGTGATGAAGCGAAGGCTCAAAGTGTAGTTGTATTTGCGACGAAGTTTCTCCTAAAAGACAACAAAGGTTGTTCGTAATTCACGGGTACACATGAAAAAAAAACGGTTAACGGCTTAAAACACAAAATATATTACTTAATTTATTGTTAGTTATTCTCTGACATTTCCTATCTTTTGTACGCTAAACAGATAGCAACAGCGGCCTTATCGCCCAAGGCGATTTATTTCAGGCAACCTTTGTTTGCGGGAGATAGAAACAAGAAACAATTAAAGAGTAAAAGTCAGCAAAATAGAAAACAGTAATAAATATGAACACAACAAAAATTGTATACACAGAAATAATAAGACTAATACAATTTATTCTCACAGAGAAACAAACCCTTAAACAATAAAGTCAGAACAATACTGTCAAGAAAATATCGCTTGACTCTGGCCTTGAAGATATTGAGCCTTCGTGAAAGACCTATCGCGTTTTAAACCGTTAAAAATATTCGCATATTGTTAAACCCAAAATCATCTCTTTGAGTATATTTAATATATAATTCATTACCTTGAATTCAATGTATGTCTGTTCTGCTGGTGGGAAGTCCAAAGCCTTGACAATTTTGGGCCCAATGGACCCAGACTTGAAAAGCGCCCTCTCTGTCACGTTCATGTCCCTAACATTGAGGACAACGAACATGGTGTCTCGATCTACTTTGAAGTCTATAGACACCTCACCTGGAAGATTTTAAAGAAAACAATTTAACGGTTTAAAACTACATATATATTTAAATTTATTTGGAAATTGTTTTAACAACGACCCGACGTTTCGGATGCTTTGCAGCAGCCGTGGGGGAGGCTACCATCCGAAACGTCGGGCCGTAATTAAAATAACTTTATCTAATGTGTATCGCGCTTTAAACCGTTTAAGTCTTTAATAGAAACTACAGACAGTATTTGGAAGATTTTTTTTCGATTGGAAGGGATGGGATTTACTTAGCAGAAGGTGAAAAATCGCATAACATCTAAACAAGACGCACTTTAGACCTATTTTAGTTTTTACCGTTCAGAAATTCCATTCACAAAATGAACTTATTATTTTAATTTAGTATCCTGATTTCCAGATATCCAATATGCTGCCAAAAATTATAAATTGAAAAACTAATGGACCCGGTGGGGATCGAAGACACAGTCCGCTGATTTATCTGCCGTACATTGCTACATTACCGCAGGTATAATATAATTAATTCTATATTTCTTTACCTCTCATTTCTCCGGTTGTCAAGTTTGGGTGAAGCCATAAGCTGTAGTGTTTCGGTATAACATACGTGGGTAATCTTGCACCTCTCCAAGGGAAGACCATCCCGTTTGTCGCTATACGTTCTCTGGAAACAAGAAAATGGAACATTTATAACGGTTTAAAATGCGAAATTTATCGTGGAACCGCCAAAGCATTCAAAATAGTATAAAAATAAGTGAATATATTTCGCGTAAACCGTTAAAAGTGTTTTGTTTAATATCGATGACATCCACACAACAGCCGTACAACATCTATGATTGCGTTGTCGCCCTATGTTGTTTAAGTTAAGCTTAATCTATTCGACTTTTGTCTAAAGTCTTAAAAGCGTACCGAGCAACTCCCAAGACTTCTCTTCTAAGAGATTGCAAAGTTATGCCCAACTGTGGGACTGGCGTATTGAAATAAATATGTATACAAACTTATTAGCGACAGTTGCGTTTTCGTCCACCTCCGTTGGTGTTTGTCCAGAGAGCAAGAGAGTTTCACTGGAGCACGGGCATTCTGCAATAGGAAGATTTAATGATTAAATTAATTTAATAAAAAATAATAATTAACACATTTGAACCTATTCTTGCGTTAGATATTTAGAAGTCCACAGACTAAACGTAACGATGAGTCCAGAGTGGACAAGGCAGATAAAACCAGCCATAGAATGTCCAGATTCCCGAAAAGTCTAACAACTTACTAAAATATTAAATTTGAATAAAATCTCGGTAGGAATCGAACCCACACCCCGTGGCTACTTACATTGAGGGGTTAAAAAAATATGGGGCCTTAATCTAGAGTTTCAAGTTTCACTTGAGGTGATATACCCCAGTCTGTAGCATGCAAACAATATGTGCTATCGACTTATTTTGGTTTTGGATATTTGATACCTGGCTGCGGTGTAGCGTAGACGACGAGTAATGCTGTTGCGAACATAGCTGAAAAGACCAGACCAGCTAGGCATAGCGCCCTGCGTTGTGAGCACACAGCGACCGGTGTCTCCCCCAACTCCCGGGCCTCCCGGGCCTTGTCTGTGTCTAGAAGAGAAGATTAACAATAAACACTATTGTTGGTCGCAACGTGATGTTTTATATCCTAAGGCCTTCATCGATATATGCTCTAACACTTTTTTATACTAGTTCTTGAAATTAGCTTTATATTATTAGTAACTGGCAACACTGACGTTTGCAAGTATCCTCAAGAATGCAACTAAATGTTACCGCGTACTTCAAAGGCACGAGTTGCGTGTACATAAATATAATGTCTCAAAAGGTTAATAGCTTAAATTATGTGCTTCTTGAGAAGTCTGCAACACTGAGGTAACGCGACAAATCCTCCTAACAAAGTGTTTAACACAGTCGTAATACATACGAGTACTTGTACTACAAAGGATTTTTAAAAGGCGCGAAGGGGAGCGAATTTTATAGCAGTTATTATTTATTACTAGCTGTGCCTGCGACTTCGCCCACGATAAATCGTTATTTTTATGTTTGCTAACCTAAGTACTCCACATATTTGGAAATTATAGCTGTTGCCTACGACGTCGGGCGCGTCCCGTCGTTCTTGGAAGTTTATCTTAAAAGATAGAAATAGGTATACTAAGACATTTACAGATCATGTAAAGAGAAATCATTTATACATATTTTTTGAGCATCTTAAACCGTCTTAGTAGACATGCACCGGCAACCCACAAAGGTGAATAATTTTCCCCTTTTTTCCACAATTTCCCACTGTTTGTTCGCTTCTATTACTCGATAAATGATCTAACTAACGAAAAGGGAATTTTCAATTCGAACTAATAGGTCCTGAGATTAGCGCGTTCGAACAAACAAACAAACGACCGACGTCATGGGTAAGTTATGAAGAAGCGGCTTATATAAATCAAATTTGGTTGCCCCAAGATATGTATTCTACGGAGATAAAGTCGCTGACACAGCTAGTTATTTCTATAATGGAAGCACCATAGATAAGGCAAACTTGAACAAGTTGAATTATATAGACTAGAACTATATAGCTTATTGCTTACAAGCTGTCTTTTCGGAGACACAAAAACAAATGTAACTAACAGCGTGTGGCCTAAAGCGAAATGCATATAAAACCCGCTTTCATAGAGCGAAGAAAGTGTGTCAACACTCCTTTATGTCCTTGAAAGCCTCCAGGTTAAGTGGTGGAAACTAGGGCTCGAACTGTGTTGATTCAGTTCGTAACCCCGGCTCCTAGTTCCCGAGGGTTCAAGTGGCGTCGGAGCGTTACGGAAATATGCTGGTAGATTATTTAAAACTAGCTGTGCCAACGACTTCGTCCGCGTATAATATTTATATTGCAAACCTCCTCAAGATAACCAAGAAATATATACGAAATAATAATTCTATATTAAATGATCTAAATGTCTGCAGTATATGTTTATATTTTAAGATTAACTTGTAAGAACCACGGAACGCCGTCGACGTCGTGGTATAAACTGTTATAATTTACAAAATATATTGCACGCGGATGACGTCGCGAGCGCAGGTAGTTTCAAATCTGGTCCAATGGTAGCAATTTATGGCTAATAAGCAACGAAATCCAATTCCATTGACATCTGTCTCTCTAAATAACTTAGACAATCCTCACCTGCCAGAAACGCCACATCGTCGAGGTCCTGGTCTACCATGTTCCTCCAGGCTGCTGCTGTACAAAAGCAGATGGTTTAATCAAGCTCTGACAATTAAATAAAATTGTTTTTAACGGTTTAAATCGTTAACTATTAGTTAATTGCATATCATTGTAGAGTACCTCTCCTCGCTCACATCGACCGAACAATCCGAAAGACAATGATATCCTAAACGATGGCCTTCACAGCCTTACACAATTTATTAGTTAATTATTATCTGTAGTTTACACGAATAGTACTCATGAATATAACGGTGTAAAAACGCGGTCCTCCCGTGACCACGGCTGATGCAAAGCTTCCAAAACGTCGGGCCGTAGTTAAATTAAACATAAGTTAAATACAATTCGAATTTATGCAATATTAGAATAGCTCTCCTCAATCAAAATCGGTCGAGCCGTTCCGGGGATGTATAGTAACTAACACACATTTTTATAATTGACGCAGCGTAACGCGTTACCTTTCGCTGAGCCGTTCCTGTCCGGTTTGTATTTTCCAATCGGTTCCATTTGAATACCATCCATTTCACGTAGACAGCATAACGGTGGAGGACTGCAACGAAAAACGAGATAATTATTTTCTTTAAACATATTTCAGCCATCTGAAAACCAATTATTTATTTAAGCTGCACAGCATAAGATATTGAACATTAATACGCAAGTGATAGGGTTGAAATTACATTGTACGAGAGGTTCCTAAAATTCGACGGATGCCGGTTCCAGTACTATCGGTGTCGTAAAATTGAATCTAAAATTTGTAATTTATACTTTAGGCAATTAGCACTAAACTTATTTTAAGCTTGCTTCAGGTTTATGTATGTAGCTTACACGACTAGTACATATTTAAATAAAACGCTTTTGTCCGATACCTTTACTCCTTGCTTACGGCTGCTGCGAAACATCCGAAGCAATATATTTCGCGTTTGAAACAGTCAAGTGTTTTTTTTATTGTTTCAAGATTTTGAATTAGAATTGTTTTAAACTAGCAGCTTATTTATTTATTTTAAATAAAATAAGCTGCTAGTTTTAAACTTATATATTTATTTATTATTAATTTTACCATTTCTACTTACTAATATCCCGCTGTGTGCTAACTTTTAGTTTTAATGGCTAAGTAGTTTCATAAAACAAAAAACACAAACGGAATCGACCCACAACCACAGAGTACCAATTACTTGATTATTTATAGTTAACAATTTAAATAAGCCATATAGGCACGCACAAATTTTAGATATTCAAGTATTTATGTTTTTACAAGAGGGGAAAATATTTGCCAACCCCTTTTCCCGCAATAAGTTTTCAAAACACTCTCGTGTTGTGTTTTTGAATAGCGAGACGAAGCCGCGACGTCCATTATCTTCTCGGAAGCTGGAAAGGGCGAGTCAGTGTTGCCAACTGCGAAATACCGCCTACTTTTCGTTTCTTTTTCATTACCCTACTCTATTTTCAACGTACCTTTTCGCAATTACGAGAAGATATTGGCATAATATAGGCTTTGTTTTGTTTAATTACAACATTCCGATGCCTAAATAAATTTGTGAACGCAATCTCGAATGTGATTACTTTGTTAATACATAGGCGTAATCAAAGCTGAAAATCAGTGCAGACGTCTTAACAATTGTCAGCATACGCTATAGTCGTCTTTCTAATAGCTCAAGTAATTAAATATTTATTTAAAAATTAAAAATGTCTTTCTGGTGGGAGTTCAAACAGGTTAAAACGAAAGGAATTGCAACTGTTTTGCTGTTTTAATATGGTGTACTATTAAACATTAAAATTTTAAATTAAACATTTAAACAGTTTAAAACGCCATATATTAGTTAAACTTATTTGAAAATGATTTTTAACTTCGATCCGACGTTTCGGATGCTGCAAAGCCGCCGGGCCGAAGTAAAAATCATTTTCAAATAAGTTTAACTAATATATCGCGTTTTAAACCGTTAAAGTGTTTTATTCAAATGTGTACTACTCGCGTAAACAATATCATTTTATTAATTAGGCACATCAAAAAAATACTACGAACCCCAATATTATAAAAAAAGAACTATAGTGTTTATATTACCGATAATAATAATTATATTATTATTGTTTAAAAAAATTATAGTTATATTTTTAATCGTTAATTTTTTTAATATGTATTGTTCTTAAACAAATCTTAATTGTTGCAACAACGAAACAATAGAAATGAAAAACAAAAATAAATAGAATTGTTGAAAACAAAAGACACAGCTTTTGAATAACTAATTTGAAACTGTAACTGAAGAATAGGAAGGACAGCAAGCTAATTGTATGCTGACAAATGTAAGATTGCTACGCTGATTTTCAGCGTTTTCCCATACAAAGATATTATCAAACTAGATGAGCCTGCAACCACCTTCACTAATACATAGCAAGATTTTCCTGTATAAATTAAATATCGATTTTAGATTGTCAACACCTTGCTAACCAATTGAGCTACCGAGTCCTACACGTCATCGATACATGCAGCTCCCGCGCTTTTTCCTAAAATCGAATTTTAATTTATATAGTGCCAACATGTGAAAAATATTAAAGTTTTCCCTGTATCTGGCAACACAACGACAAGGGTGCAAGCTAATGTTGTAACAAGTCATTGCACTTTTCAACCCCCAACGGCGACCCTTCTCAAAACATCCTAATGGCTAGATGCGCAATTTTAGCCTTTTCGCACACGTGGTCTAGTCGTACTAATCCTTCTCTTAAGAAATAATTAGTAAGTGTATGTTTGTATGTCTTTTACGCTGAACGGGCTTGACCGTTCACAAAAATTTGGTTGCAGAAAAGATAAATTTAAGTTTTGTGTAAATAACACACTTTTAATGGCTTAAAATGCGTAATATATAGTTCCTTTATTTTTCTTTAATTTTAACTATAGCACGACGTTTCAAACGCAACAAAATCGGTTCAAAAGCGTCCCTGCTTAGCGTCGGGTCGTAGCTGAATAGATGTTATACCGGATGTATTTCTCGTTTAAAGCTGTTAGATTCGTTTTATTTCAAGGTAATTTAATCTTCGATCATCTTTTTATTTTAAGCGGGGTTTTTACTTGACGGTGACTTCCCTATAACGTCTAAACAAGATGAAACCAGAAATGACTGAAGCCGAAAGGCGATTAAACGTCACGGCGTTTTAATAATTTATTATCTAGACTTCCAGACGAAGTCCGTCATATTACAGAATAAAAATAAATTGGACCCGGTGGAGATCGAAGTCACGACCCGTTGATTATTAGTTATACAATTCTGCCATTGAGTCAACTAGCTCGTAAATATGAATAAATATTGCAGAAAAAATCCACTACTTATTTAACCAAAATTGGGAAAAAATGATACTGTCACTCATACTGTATAGTGATATTATAAATCTGAAGTCTGTTGGAACGCGTTTATCCCTGGAACTACTGGTTCGAAATAAAAAAAAATTTTTGTGTTGATCGGTGTTGAGGAAGACTTTAGGGTATAATACATCTGGCTGCGACCAATAGGAGCAAAGAAGCAGTGATCGAATTATTCATCAACCAAAGATTACGTTAGCTGCGCTACGAAAATTGTTTAAAAAATATGTATAAAGAATGATTCCTCTCTAAATTAACCAACCAATCAATAAATACGACTGTAGCCTATGTCTGTTTTGAGATTAACTGACAAGAACCATTTTTCTCGTAATCAAATAAAATCGAAATAGTACGTTAACTAGGTCGGCAAATTAAAACACCTTTAGCGGTTTAAAACTCGAAATATTTTACATGATTTTTACCGCCGTCGCATCAGACTTGCCGTGCCTAATATTGCGTTGAACACGAGATTTCAAAATCTTGTCGTAAACATTTATTGTTTTGATGAAAAAGTAGAACCAGATATGTGTTCGTCCCTTGCCCCTAAATTAATAATTTATTTTTAACTATGACCCGACGTTCGCGACACTTCATTTTATTTTGTTGGCCTATCGTTACACCTTGAGCGATGGAGATGGAATGGTGGATGTTGTAGCGATTCTAAGTAATTCTTTACAAGATAAAGAGGCTAGACACTAGTTATAATAAACAAACTTACCGTCTCTACAATTTAGAGGCACAGTCTTCTTGTCAACAAACACGGCTACCACAAAAATACTACCGTCCACGCTCGAACCATGTACCGATATGGGAAAATCGATTTTCCGCGGGGAAATGCGAGAGAGAAGGCGTTATGGTAAATTGTGTGAGAGCGATAGAGAGGCAAGATGCCACCGTATTCAGCGGGTGTGATGAACCCTCGAAAAGTAAGGGTTGTTTTTTGTTATTACTACTTGTTCTCGATTCGTATAATTGTCGAATGTATTTTTTGTTTGTTTCGAGAAGTGGAATCTTGCTTATTCTAAGTGAGGTATATATTTTTTCATTTATTTTAATTTATGCGTAGAAGCCGACCGAAACATTATTTTTAATGTTTATTTGAGGTTAAAAAAAAGGTAAGAATAAACTTAATTTACAGAATAAACACCTTTAACACGATCCTAGTGGGGACTAACCAATTCTACGACTATTGGGAACTAGTAATAAATTTAAAAAAGAAGCTTTCTATGTCGTTGTTCAAAGTTACTTGGGATTTATTCTGATAAAAAAATTTGTGGAAAATAATTTCCTATCCAACTTCTGAAAAATTTTAATATTTTTCACATGTTATTGCACATGATGGCACTATATAGATTAAAAATCCGAAACAAATAAAAAAAATGACTCGGGCGGCACTTGCACCGGCATCGTCAATGTTCCGTGCTGTTGCTAACCAATTGAGCTACCTCACGGCCGAATTTTTTCAACATATTGATACAGGAGCGCCTCTGTAGGCAAACGGTTAAACGTATTGCCTAGCATTGCGTTAAGCGCGAGAGGTCCTGGGTTCGTATCCCAGGGAAACAAACAATTGTTTCAGTCAGGCAGGAAGTCTGATCCACTACTTGCCTGTTAAAGAACAGATCAGTGAAACGGACTCAGAAATGTGCTCGCCCCATGCCCCACGAGGGGGAAACGGGATTTCGCTTCACTTTATTGATACATGCACCACTCGCGCAATGTAATTTCAAACTTAACACTTAATGTTCAATGTTTTATGGTGAAAAAAATATTCAAAACGATTTTCTCAAATTTTCACTTCTCTTTGCATTACAAAAGCACAACCCGTAGTTAATTTCGTTAAGATTTACAATTACAATAATAATTCACGGTTTTATGTAAACGCCGAGTTTCTTTATAGAGTTCTCGTAGTAGGGGGTATGTTTACCAGCTAACTAGTGCACTAGGCAAAGTGTTACATGTGGACGTAAGCGTCTTTTATCTCAAAAACTGGGTTCTAGCTGGTAATGAGGTAAGCGATACAAGTCTAACTTAGTCGCGCCTCGTTTTAAAGTGCATATATTTGCCAAGTTGTTCCTTGACATTACCAAAAACTAAGCATTTTTGTAGTAAGCCAAACTTGGTAAGGGGAATCTAACACATGGTTTCGTTAGCTCAGTGGTGCCATGACCAGGAAATCTGGATAATTATATGAATATTAAAAGGGGTGGTAGGAGGAATATCGCTCAGCTGTTTCCTCAAGAATGACGCTTCGAAGGATCCACGATCCTTGTTGTCTGTATGCTGTTCTTCCATTGAAGAGTTGTGCCCAGCAGTAGGACTAGAAAGGAGTTCTACACGCAAGGAAAGATTTGGAATGGAATAATTTTGTGTTGAAGAGTATTGTTAAACGGCTCAATGCCCACCGGGCTATATTTCTTCTAGATATAGGTGCACCGCCTATAGGTAGAAAAGTGAAGTTTAATTTTCAAATAACAGCGTATCATGTTATGTAATAAATTTCGCGGTTTAGTTAAAAAAAAAAACACTTTTTTTATTAAAGCAGTTACTGTCAGTGTAATGTTGTTTAGTTTCGCGGAAATCGAATTCCACTACTCTCGTATTGCGCTCTAAAATTGGGTCACACTCAAATTAAACTTAAGTCTATATTCAACGTTTTATTAAATTCTTAAATATCCTTAATATAACTATTTACAGTACACTTAATTTTTTAAAATATTTACAAACACAGTATACAATTGACTCGACAAAAAACGATGATGTTTTTAATAGTCCGCGGCCGTGTTCGCCAAGTAATCCCTTCTCCCGATGTTCGAGGCTTGCTTGTTCTGAACCGCTTCCAACTTGGGACATTCTGAAGAAAAAAAACTTATTATTTCACGAAAATTTTCCAAGAAAATGTCTGGTGTGCGAAATAATTTAGCTTATTTTCAATTTATATTAACAATGGCTCGACGTTTCCAATGTTTTGGAGCAACCATGTAAGCAAATTAAGTTAACTAATATATTTCACGTTTTAAACTGTTAAAGTGTTTTATTTAAAAAATGTCGAGCATCAGCCCGGAGTTTGGAAGTAGGGGTTAACACCACCATCACCCTCTTATAAGCTATCCTATGAGGAAGACGACCTGTGTCCAATAGTGGGACTCCAATATTGGGACACTACCTTGCAACGAACGACGACGTAAATTGTCCAATGACATGAAAAAATAATATTAACCATTATTTTTTTATTTAATGGATTTCTCACCTGTAATCCGATGCCCCAAACCCCCGCAGTAGGAACAACCCTGGCCATCCGCCGCTGGCTCTTCAGCGCCACCTATCATGTCTATCAGGAATGAGGGTACCTGGAAGATGATAAAATAATAATTATACGTTATAATAAATAATCTATACCAATATTATAAAGCTGAAGAGTTTGTTTGTTTGTTTGAACGTTTCTTTTTGTGTTGGTTAGAACATTTATTGAGGAACGCTATAGGTACTAAAACATCGCCCTGTGACTAATACAAGCGAAGATACAGCGAGGAATGTGAAAAAAATGATGTCACTTTAAAATAATTATATGATATCCGATAACTCATTATATTAGCCCCATGCCCCACACATGCACATAACGCATATTCGTCGCATGCATGAGGGCAGGCCGACATGGTTTCACTGATAGAACTAACTTACAAGAGGGGAATTGAACTAATTCTGTGCCCTTCCCGACTAAAACTATTCATTGCTTCCTCAGAATTCAAATACAGGATATCAACTCAACGCAATGCATTCCACAACGTTCCTGCGATGGCGGACATTTTTTATGCCATCCACAGACTGAAACCGAAACGCGAACATGTATCAGTAAAATTAGAAATTGATTAGAATTGTTGGACCTGGTGGGGATCGAGCTGGTTATTGGCCACACTTTGCTACCATTACCATTACACCAACGACCCCGTCAAAGTCATGCCGCGTCTTACCTTCTGTCCAGCCTCCCTCAATAGATGCGCTAGATCCCTAAGTACACTGTCGTCCTGCTGACGCGACAAGAGCGTCGAGGCCACGCCCACCTGCCCCGCCCTCCCGCACCGACCGATCCGGTGCACGTAGTTCTCAATGTCCTCCGGCATGTCATAATTGATGACGTGCTGTATGTTCTGGAAGTCGAGACCTGGAATAAAGTTAAGTTTGTTATGAGGAAAAGACGGGGGAAAATATTCTTCTTTGACCTTTAGATGCGTACGCCGCGAAAACAATTCAAGATATCCACAAGATATGTAAAAATATTGGCTGCTCCTTAAATGATCTAAAAAATGGCCGTCATAGTAAGACTAACTGGCACGAACGACGTGGTGGGTAAGTTTATGAAAATTAAGAGGTTTGCAACAGCAACGAAGTCACTGACACAGCTAGTACATAAATATCTAAATATACCTTTGCTAGCGACATCTGTAGCTACTAGAACATCTTTCTCTCCTTTTCTAAACGCTTCGACGGCTCTCGATCTTTCTTCTTGATCTTTCCCACCGTGGATGGCTACAGCTTCAACTCCTGGAAGAAAAAAAGATGAATTTACGTATAATACTATAATTAAGTAACATAACATCACTAAGGATGAAATAACAGTTTGTAGTTTATGCTAGTAGTCATCTAAATAAAACACTTTGACGGTTTAAAATGCAAAATATTTAAGATAAACGTAATTACAAATTATTTTAACTTCTTTGGTCTTAAACCATCCGAAATGTCGGGCTGTAGTTAATATAAGTTAACGATACTAAAATAAATTTCGCGTTTGAAACCATTAATTTATTTTATTTAAATAAGTTGAAAAGGTTTATTTTATTAATAAATTAATTAAAATGTATCCTTTTTTCATTCCAGTTAATTAGTCTAAAAATATCTTGCTTCCCCAGAATTCAAACCCGAGGCCTCTCTTTCTTCTCTTTACAACGACACCACCACGCAAGTTTTATTACGCACATATTACAAGCTATTGGTTGAAACCCATAAATATTATAGTAAATGCCCTTACCCTTTAGCAGCAAGTACTCATGTATCGCATCCACGTGCTGCTTCCTCTCAGCGAAAACCAGCACCGGTGGTGGGGTCTTCTGCAGACAGTGGAGGAGGTGCACCGTCCTCGCTTCCGCCTTCACCAGTTCCAACTCTTGACGGACGTTCAGCGATGCGGCACCAGCTCGACCCACGTTAACTGTCACTGGTTTGACCAAGGCTGACCTGAAACATGACAATGTAAGGGATACAGAATGATTAGACAAAGTAAAATAGGGGTTAAAAAGTGACATCATAAAGAATGACATGGGGGTACAGAATGATGACATAGGGAGGAAATGGTGATGTCATAAAGAATTATAGGAGGGTACAGAGTACATAGAGAGGGGGAAAAGTGTTGTCCTAATGTACTATGTGGGTTACACAGTAAAGACACAATGGTGGTGGTGAACAACAGTGTTTGTCGCAAAAATATAGACATGTTGGGCCCGTTGGGAATCGAATCCATGGTGTAATAATCAACGGATCGTGACTTCGATTCCCACCGAGTCAAAAATGTTTCTAATGAATTTATAATTTTTCGAAAATATTTTGGTGTTCTTCTGGAAATCTGGATGTGAAATAGATGGTAGGAATATCAAAATTCCGTCCAGACTACGAACCACCGACCACAGATGAAAATGTCCTCACTATAATACAAAATATATATTAGATATATAATTAGTTTTTAAACCAATTCCCCATTTGTAACTCAACAACCCAATCCCTTACCTCGCGAAGTTCTGAATCTTCCGTGGCATAGTAGCGCTGAACAGCAGCGTCTGCCGCTGACCGGCGAAGTATGAGAATATGGTTCTCACATCCTCTTCGAAACCCATGTCTATCATTCTGTCTGCTTCGTCCATACAGAGGTAACGGCATACGTTTAATCGCACCTGAAGAACGTCACTCACTTTAGTTATATCGCGTTTCCGTTTCAGGCCGTGGATTTCTGAATATTCAGATCCAAAAGTGAGTCCTATGCTTGTCTCTGTCCACTATCATAAAAAAAGAGGTTTGCCGGTGTATTGTATAGTTGGCTCTCTACTGACGCTTTAATCTCAGGAAGTACCCGTTTGAATGGACCTGGTGGAGATCGAACCCAGGACTCGCTGATTACTAATTATACATTGCTACCTCCCGTCAAAACCCGTTGAAACCTATAAGTGCTAATTGAGAAGTATATTCTGAAAGAAGCACAAATGATGTAAATTAAATGTATTATCTCAATAAAATCTGAATTAAATATTATCTGTACTTTATACGAGTAGTACACATTTAAATAAAACACTTTAACAGTAGAATGCGATACATATATATTGGTTAAACTTATTTAAAAAATATTTTAACTACGGCAAAATTGTCACAAGAACCCCGCGACCACGGCTGCTGCAAAGCATCCGAAACATCATATATCGCGTTATAAACCATTAAAGTGTTTCATTTAAATATCTGAATTTCTCTTAAGAACTCCAATTCGTCTTGTACTAATTTTATAAAAATATAAATATTAGGGACCATTTTCTTATCCAGCATGTCCATCAATCTTCCCGGGGTAGCAACCATGATGTGGACACCTCGCTGCACTGTCTCCATACATTCCGAAACAGCCACACCTAAAATAGACACGCATTTAATAAGTAGGTAACATTGAAAATGATTAGAACTGCCCAGATGGGAACATTGCTAATGCAAAACTTTTTAATTTTTATTTAGAACTCTTTGGTAACCTTATGTATATTGCATTTTGGCTTAAAGGTCTCGTTACCAGGCGTCATTTGTCGATATTTATGTGAATCGCCGGCAAAACTATACTCAGTTCCAACTGAGTTTGTAGAAAATGTAAACAAACAATAATAATCTAATTTAGTACCAAAAACACATAATTGTCAGGCCATTTTACATTATTAACTCGCTAACACTATTCGAAATTTGACCTGAGGAAGTTTGACTTCTATCAAATTTGTTAAGATTCAATACAATTTTATGATTTTTACCAAAATGATGTTAAGAATACGTAATTTTTTCTGATTGGTTTGCTTTGGGCAGATCTTACTATAGATTTAAGTATATATTCATACCAATCATTATATGTAGACTATACATTAATTTCCGAATTTCACCTGTACATATATCTATCTTAATGACAATAAAAAGAAAGTTTTAATTTGAATTTGATATGCAATATAATTTTTAAATATGTATAAAATATAGAGTTTTTAAACTAACCACCAATCGCCAAGCAGCTCCTGATTTCCGGATGTCCGGCCATTTTTAAATGCTTGATAAAATGTAGAATAATGTCGTGTGTCTGTTTCGCCAATTCTCGGGACGGACATATTATTAGGCCGTAAGGGCCTTCGTTTCTGTGAATTATTTAATATCATATGTTAAATAAACTGCTAAGTATGAGTTAAATATTTTATGTAATGTATGAAAAGTATGAGTAATATAATCAAGTAATGTATACCTTGGGTTGTAACCTATTTTAAGTTATATTACTTAAGTGCCTGTTATCATTATGTAGAATATATTTTTTTTAGAACAAACAAGGGCAAAAAATGTGTTTGTAGTATTATTTTGTTCTTAATTTTTCTTGTTATAGCAACACTTATAATAAAAACTTCATTATAGTTTCAACTCTCTAGCTACTAGGTTTCTTAAGATACAAACTGCAGATGCAAACAGAAAGTCCTAGAAATATGTTTCCAAAGTGTTGGTGTAAAGATTAAAAAGGAGATCTTTAACTCACTTGACAAACGGCATTTGCACTTCCTGCTCCAAACACATGGCTATCAGCGGTAATGTGAATACCAGAGTCTTTCCAGATCCTGTGAAAGCTATGCCAATCATGTCCCGTCCTTGTAACACAGCTGGGATACCCTGAACTTGTATGGGAGTGGGCTTCTTTATTCCCTTCGCTTCCAGACCTCTTAGTATACCTAGATTTAAATATTTAGAATTATCATTAAATCCATACATTCATTGCAAGATATTTTATAAGTTTATTTTACAGTATTAGACTTGCCTTTAGGAAACTTCATATGCTGAAAAGTGCGTATCGGAGGTGGAACATCTTCGCCTTCCACCAGTATCCTGAGCTGCTGCCTAACTCTCTCATGCCTTGACTCTGGTAATTCCAGGATACACCGTGGTGGTCTCCATGAAGTCTTGATTGGTTCAGAATATTGGATGCCTGGAAGAATGTGATATTAAATATAGTGTGGGTTTTCCGACTGAAATATGACTGATTTGAATCCATAGTGTACTAGTGAAGCCCTTTTATATAAACTAGTCTTTACCGCAGATGATACAGGGTTAAATAATGTGCATGAGTGGGACCTTCTATTGTTGTTGGCTTTGCTTACATCCCATCCTAATGTAAATGTCAAACTAAAGAATATTTATGAAATGAATTATAGCATGAAATTGCGGTTTTTACTAAGTGTATTTGAGTTAGTTCATTTGATTTTCTGTGGATTTTAGAGTGAATCAATGTAAGCCTTGTGAGAATATCACAATTTCATGAAAATTGTGTGTTTGTTTGTCAAAAATGCCAAGTTAGAAAATATACACTATAGTGTGGCATTGGCTATAAGGTATGATAATATAAATTCTTATTTTCACTAAGATGGAACAGATCACTAGAATGATTCATCGTACAGAAATACCTTTAGCCAATTCAGCAACACCCATTAGAGCCTTGCTCTGTGCTACACTCTCAAGGATGTGTTCCTCCTCTTTTGCTTGTCGTTCAGCGGCTGACAGTGCTCTTGCTTCTGCCAACCTTTTCAATTCACTATGTTGATCCAGCAGCGAGACATTGTAACGACGGCCCCACTCCTCTTGCGAACCTAGAAAAAATATATATATATAAAGATCTTCATAAATATGTTAATTAGTTTGAAAAACTACCAATAAAAGCAAATATATAAACAAGTTCTGAACTACTAAATACGACGCAAATAAATAAAATAGAAAGTGTCTTAGTATAATCATACTTGAACAATTTCTAGCAATAATCCTTTCAATTTCAGGCACAGAATGTTAGATTTATTTGAAGATACATCGTATTTAATTATGTATAAGAATACCTTCATCATCTGGATCATTATCACTAGAACTCTTCGTTTCTGCAGCTACTTCATTAGCTACCTGTCCAAGACGACCGAGTTTCAATAATTTCTGTTTCATTCTTTCTTTCACAGGCACATAAGGCTCATAACTTTCTACATCATCTTCAGAATCTGATGAATTTTCCTCGCGTCTATAACGCTTAACTGGTGGGTGTTGAGACATTACGATAATATCACAAAGTTTGAGCACAATTTCACGTGTACAAACATAACATTAAACAAAACAATCTTTGATAAATGATAATCGTCTGTACAATTTCAGATTTCAATGACAGTTGACCAAAGGCTGACAGCGATTGATTTATACAGATAATCAGTTTTAATTATTCCTGCCATAGATAAGACTGAAGCATTTCTAACATAAAATAAACCAAAGTAAACAAAACAATGATATTGCTACTTGTCAACATATATTATATTATTATTATTTGGGTGTACTATATACACCCGATTAATAAAATTGTTTTTATAGTGTAAATTAAACGTAATCGTTTAATTTAGTGATAACATTGGAAATCAGAAATTAGTGTTTTAAACATTTAGCAGTAAAATTATTTAGGTTGCAATCATATAACATTAGTTTCTAAAGGTGACTTTATATAAATAAAATTGTCATTCATTCGGTATCGTTTTAAAAAACTTAAGTAAATATGTTTATGCGTTCGTATGATGTTTCAACTGTGAACATAATATACATTTAAACGTTGTGTCGTTAATGAATTAATTTAAATTATATTAAATGAATGTATGATTTCAGAGTTAGTTTATAGCATTTTATATATTATGAAAAAATATGTTATTACGTAATTGAGATATCTTGTTTACCATTACGGCCAGTCGCAGAATTTAGAGAGAATAGACCAAAGACAACAGAATAGATTCATCTTCATCTCGCTCTTAAAATATTTAGTCTACTCGTTGTCTGTTGTGTTCTCTTTTATTTCTGGCGTCTGCTACTTGTGGGTCGCGTCGTTGAAATTTGTAAAATTGTGAATCGGTTAAAAATTTGAAAGGTGTTTGTGCTTTTAAGAATACTTTTAAAGTTATTAACATTTAGTAACATAAGTTGTTACTAAAACGGGAAATTACAATTTAAATGGCAAATACGAAGAGTTGCTATTCGATGAAGCTAAAAAACGTTGGTTTTTATTGAAAAAGGTTGAGTAAAACTTGTTCGTCGTTTTACAATAAAAGCTTGGAAAGCAACGTGGTCTTTTAGTGTCTTGCACTTTTGAACTATTTTTGTTTTTGTGTCGTTCTGTCAAAATTGTGGCTACCTTCTTGAGCTCTTTATAGCTTTTGGGATTTGTATTATAACATCTACCCTATGTCGGACAGGTTGACAAAAAAAGTTGTTGGCTTAAAAAAAAATTGGCGTCGTTCATGGTTTTTTATTAAAAGAGAACAGATAAATTGGACGAACAGATAATTTGCCTACAATGTGCCCGAATAATAGCTGACAGAAAATTCGAGGTCAAACAACCCTCAAAGAATTACCGAATCAAAATTTGCCTAAGACTTGAGTAAATAATTTTTCGATAAGCGATAAATTGTAATAATTTTAACATTTGGTTTAACAATTTTAAAATTTCCTGATTTCGAAAAGTCTTGTTTGCTTCAAACAATTGTTTCAGGAATACTCTGTATGAAGTGTAGTTATTTTGTGTCCACCATACCAGGACATCAACATCATCAAATTTCAATAGCTATTATGTTGTTATACCTTCGTGTTTCACCTTGTGATCTTTGAGTTTGATATATAGAAGACAGTGATTTCTTTGTGGGCCGCATTTGTTTGTAGTATTTGTTTGTAGTATTTGTTCTTGTGTGTACCAAGTATGAAAATAAATTAAGATAGTATATATAATTTTTGTGATTGCAATATCTAACAAATCTCTGTTAATATGGGTGTCATATCTATAATTTTCATAATAACTTCATTCGAATTTATTTTTTCCCTTGGAGAGTTGTGCTCTATTTCTCCTCATAGACCGGACAGAATGTTGTTTATTCATTTTGTTGTATCTTTTATTACTATTGTATTCATCGTATTATGGGCGGCAAAGATTATTTCCTTTGTATGATCTTTATCTAAGTTTCAAAATGACCTGGATGTCATATGAAATTGCTTAAATTTTATCGGTTGTGTTTTGGTTTCTCTTTGGTGTTAGTAGGAGTATGTGTTGACTTAGTGGGAAGTCATTTCAAAGTGAGAATTATATTTGATGATTTCAGAATGATTGTTATGTGTTGACAAAAAGTAAAATCATTAATTATGAACATTAATTTTGTGGTCACATGGAAAAGAATAGATATTTCTGACAGTTAAAAGAAATGTTCATTTTCAGAAATTTTAACTTAAGTCAATTTACGTTAAGAAAGCATTGTAACAAGTTAGTTATAATTTTTAATATTTAAAAAATAACAATTTGACTAGTAACATTGTAAAATTCTACATACATACCAGAGCAGTGGTTTATCACTATTATTGTGGCGTGTCGATGAGTTTGTCCATGTTTTATTTTAGACATTGAAAACTAAGGGAGGATCGAGCAAAAGTTATGTCATAACGTAGTACACTGATTTTACGAACAGTAATTACACTTACAAACGCACTGGATTCGGGGAAACTTATCAAACAATAACTAGTCGTCTCTCCCATTCACGGGTCAGATTCCTCTCACAAATTCTTTATTTTTACTGTTTTTTTATGCGTTTAATGTTTCAACAAGTACAAAATTATCAGAAAAGTAAAATATGAAAATGAAACAATTCTGCTTATTTGTGGAACAAAAGTGGACATTTTACATAACACATTTGCTATGTTTATTTCAATACGGAGCTTTTCAGAGAAAGTTGATCCTGATCGTTGTCTACTTGGAAAATTGTTTTCTAATAATGACTACTATGACTTGACGTCTGTAAGTGGCTTTTGTTTGGAACACAATTTTCAGGTTTAAGTTATTTTTTTTTATTTCGCACCATGGTTGTGGGTATTTCAGAGAGTTTTTCTCTTCTCCTGAAGTCGCAAATGAACGGCTTTCGTGCCATTAATCAACTCATTAACTGTGTTCATTTCGTGTTGATTATTATGAGACCAGGTTTTTGTGTATATTCCATTTCTTGTTGAGTTATTCTTTTAATGAACTCATAAAATAATACGCAATCGGCTGCTGTATCACAAAGAAAACGGCTAAAAATGTCGATACACACAGTTTAGTCCTGAATTATATATACTATTATTGTGGCGTGTCAGTCTGTATCGAAATTGGGATGATAGGCCATAACAGGTATTAAAGTGTTGCCCACTATCGGCATTGTGATTTTATTGACTGATAGCTAGATCAGGCTAGTTCTGCAGCCACATCTTCATCACCTAGTTTTGGCATAGGAGTGTTTGCCCTATTGCAAATGTTTAATGTCACACAAGTATTAATAGAACCTGCTAGTGGTGAATAATGCAATAGTCTATGCACAAGAAAGCAACGATAACGTGCTTTTAGAAGTACAATAGTGCACTCAATTATATTTCTTGCACGGACATGCAAGTTTGTATAGTGTGCCTCTGGTGTATTTGGTGCTGCATCTAGTATTGAAGTCACCGTCGTCCAATGGATACCCAGATTTACCTGAAATAATAATATTGTTACTTGTTAGACAATTAAATAACTCATTTCTATTGCGTCTTTCACTCAAAACAAAACATATAAATACTAAAAAACCAAACACTCTCTGCATTACTTAAATCTTCTAGATGAGCCCTTATGTAGGAGTCATGGGTAGCACGCCATGACTTGCATCTACACTTAAAATTTGTATGTAGGTATAGGTAGGTTTGTAAAGAGTGATGTAATGTCAAAGCTTACCATAACTTCATTCTCCTTTAGACCTTTAATAGTTTCCACGAATTGATACGAATCCCTGACGTGAATCTATTTAACTAAGTTTTGGAGGTAAGAGATTGTTTAATTTATGTATTTTTGGTAACCTGTACATTTCAGGTGGCTTCGGGCAGAGAGATGAGATGTTTAGCGTCGAGATTGAAAGTCGTTTTATACTTCTTAAGTAAGTTCTTAATAAATTCCGACGTATGTTTCATTACTTTGGTAGAGGGGTCCAAACTCCTATGCAACCCGGTTGTACACCGCGTCATCATCGAGTATTTTCGATATCTTTTGTTCATAATCTGGCGTATCAATCACGACCGTGGCGTTTCCCTTGACAGGACGCACTACGCAGTGCTATAATATTCTCAAACAGCTACGAGCGAATGAGCTGTCGACTCCGCAAGGGAAAGATTGTGTTTAGGCGGTTTGCTGGAGCGTAGAATGCAGGGATGACGTTCTTTGAAGATGCTTTCCTCGACGTAGCTGATTATCTCCTCGCAAGGCTTATTTTTCGCGGCGCCGGAGCAAAATACAGGCCTTTTTTAGGACTTGAGCGGTGTTTTCGTCTATATCGACTTTTGACAGATTGACAACTAAGTTTTGGCTTTGACTATTATAAAATGTTGTTTTCGAGTAAGATTTGTCTGTTAGTTTTGTAAATTTCGTTATCTGTTCTTGTTTATATGCCGTTCATTTATAAAAGACTCTGTTTGATACTATATTTTTGATTGATGTTACCAATCTTTTAAATATAACACTAACGGTTTTAAACGCGATATATTAGTTAACTTATTAGAAAATGATAATAATAAACTCTTTATTGCACAAACATAGACATAAGAACATGGATACATAGAGTTACATATACGAAATAATGATTTTTAACTTCGGCCCGTCGTTTCGGATGCTTTTCAGCAGCCGTGGTCAGCCGGGGAGACTAAAGATGGAGGATGAAATTGCCATCTGTTCCGTCGAAGTTGGTATTTGGCGAAACTGGCCGAGTCCTTACAGAATTTACTAACGGTGTCTTCGCGTTTGCCGGTATGTTGTTTATTGGGATCCAGAGTTTTTAATATGGGATCCCATATCAGGTGTTTCATAATTTGTCCTCCCTATTGAAATTTCGGTGTTTTTTGATTTCAATTGCTTCGCGTACCAATCTTGGAAAAAATCGACTCTTCTTTGCGAGGATTTTTGGCTGGTCAAAGCGAATGTAATGATTGGGCCCTTCCGATGAGTGTTGGCATACCGCATATTTGTAGAGACGTTTATGTTTTGTATCCGCGACGTGTTCTTTAATTCTGTTTGAGATGCTACGCTTTGTTTGGCCGATGTAGGATAGGCCACAATCACAATCCAGTCTGTAAACTCCTGCATCTTGTAAAGGGATAGTAAACTTGTTTGGTTTCAGGAATTGCTGAATCTTCTTGTGCGGCATGAAAATTGTGTCAATAGAAGCTCGATTTAGGACTCTGCTAATTCTATTTACTCCTTCACATATCGCACCCCTAGATGAAAACATCACTATCTCAAAAAATTTTTTTTTGGGTTTTGGGGGTTTTTTAAAACCCCCCCCGGGAACCCCCCCCCCCCCCCCCCCCGGGGGTCCAACCCCGGGGAGCCCCCCCCCCGCGGGGGGGAAAAAAATTTTTAAAAAATTTTTAAAAACCCCCCCCCCCCCCCCCCCCCCCCCCCCCCACCCCCCCCCCCAAAAAAATTTTTTTTTTTTTTTTTTTTTTTTTTTTTTTTTTTTTTTTTTGGTTTGTTTTTTGTCCCGGCCCCCCCCCCCCCCCCCCTTTTTTTTTTTTTTTTTTTTTTTTTTTTTTTTTTTTTTTTTTTTTTTTTTTTTTTTTTTTTTTTTTTTTTTTTTTTTTTTTTTTTTTTTTTTTTTTTTGGGGGGGGGGGTTATATATGGTAGGTAGGCGTGCTGACGTTTGACTGTGGGTGGCTTGTTCCTGTTCCTGGGATGTTGCGGAGGGATTCTCAGCTTGTTCTTGCATAGAACCTGCTTGACATGCTGTAACTCCTCATTTAATCGTGGGCAGCATCACAGAGACGGCGGGCTCTCTGAAACAAAGATACTCCGACAGAACTAAGTTGGCTGGGGTGGTGATGTGAGTCAACGTTCAAATACCTATCCGTATGGGTTGTTTTTCTAAAGACGGTATGCCCAATATTACCGTGTTCATCACGAATTACTAAAATGTCTAAGAAAGGTAGTTTGTTATTGTCCTCCTGTTCCATTGTAAACTTAATGTTATTATGAATTGAGTTAAGGTGTGTAAGAAATGATACCTGTGCTTTGGGTAAGATGGTAAAGGTATCATCTACGTATCGCTTGTAAAGCTTAGGTTTAACCGGGGAAGAAGCGAGGGCTCTCTCTCCTCAAAGTCTTCATGCCTCAAAAAATGTCAGCAACTAAGGGTGAAACTGGAGAACCCATGGCTACCCCATCTACCTGAATATAGAAATCTCCATTCCAAAGTAGGTACCCGGTTGTCAAGCAATGTTCTAAGATATCCGCATATTCTATAGGTATGTTGTGTTTAATAAGTTTACTCTTAACAATTTTGATACAATCAGCTATAGGTAAGTTTGTAAAGAGTGATGTGATGTCAAAGCTTACCATAACCTCATTGTCCGCTACCTTAAGACCTTTAATAGTTTCTACAAATTGATACGAATCCCTGACTTGAGCATTTGTATTTCCCCTGAGGGGGGCAAGTGTTCTAGATAAGTGTTTTGCTAGTTTATAAGTGGGCGAATCTATTTGACTGACTATTGGACGTAAGGGTTTGTTTATTTTATGAATTTTTGGCAACCCGTACATTTTAGGTGGCTTCGGGCAGGCTGAGATGAGATGTTTAGCGTCGAGATTTAGAGTCGTTTTATACCTGTTTATAAGTTCCGATGTCTTTTTCATTAATTTGGTTGTGGGGTTTCCCACGTCAGCACGCAGTACTATAATATCTTCATTCGCTCTTAGTTGAGAGCAGTCGACTCTGCTAGGAAAAGATTGTGTTTTAAGCGGCTTGCTGGAGCGTAGGATACAGGATATTGCTTCCGCAATTTCCTTAGGGATGACATTTTTGAAGATGCTTTCCTCAACGTAGCTGATTATCTCTTCGCAAGGTATTTTTCGCGGCGCCGGAGCAAAATTTAGGCCTTTGTTTAGTACTTGAACTGTGTTTTCATCTAAATTGACTTTTGATAGATGGACAACTAAATTTTGACTTTGACTTTGATTGTCATGACGTTGTTTGTACGAGTTTGTTTTGTCTATTAGTTTTGTAAATTTTTTAATCCGTTTATGTTTATAAATTGTATATTTATTAAATGCTCTATTTGATATTATGGTTTTGCAATATTGCCAATCTTCATAATTAAAAATATGTCCAAGTGTGTTGTCTTCGTCTTGGATATCAACATTTAACCGTCGTATTTTGGCTCGGTGATCGGCGATGAGCCTGAGTAATAACTTTTGACTTGCGGTTTGGAGAATCTTGGCGCTTCCAGCTATGTCCTGTTATGGCGCTATTCGGACACAAACTGGGATAATATTGTGGTCCCGACATCTATTGAGGAAATTTAAGGATGTTTGGAGGCGGGCACGTTTCGAAACGTCGGGCCGAAGTTAAAAATCATTTGACGTAGAATTTTACCATTGAGAACGATAAACACTTGTCGCCTCCTCTCCTCCGTTTGAAGTCGTAAATAAAAGGCCTTCACGTCATTAATCAACGCGCTACCTGTGTTCTGTTCGCAAACTGTGTGTGTGTGAATATTATGAGACCAGGTTTTTGTGCATATTTAATTTTTTCTTTAATTATCAGCTGCTTTATCACAAAGAGAACGGCTAAAAATGTCGATACACACTTTCAATAATAACGAGATTAAATACGCTAAGTACACACTTCCGGTACAGTGGGTAGTCCTGAATTATGTACATTGTACACTAATATTGTGGCGTATCAGTCTGTATCGAAATTGAGATGATAGGACATAATATTATTATTATGATTTATTATTTAATTCTTTATTGCAACACACACAAGCACAAAGTACACAATATATTTCCTTAAAAAATATTCTTAATAATACAAGTTAAAACGATAAATTATACTTACAAGTTATGGAGTGCAATGGGCGGCCTTATCGCTTAAGAGCGATCTCTTCCAGGCAACCCTTAAGACATATATACATAACAGGGAGTAATATCGATCCAGCGTTCGCCAAAGCTGGAAACACACGCGCGGGTCAGCCAGCGGTGTGTCTACTAGTATATCTGTTAGTTCGTTATTATAAAGTTTAGATACGACACCCCAGCACCGTTGATAAAGGCCCCATTATTAAACTTTTTGCGTGCCCCATTACTAAAAAGTGCCGCTCCATATGTTTACTAACCAACACGTGTTTCTGGGCAGAATCGATACTTTGTTTTTGACCCAAAATTCGTCCACATCTTCGATTCTAAATTGCTATTTATCAGCATTTATTTTCTGATACACGGTTTAATTCCTTTTGCTGCTAGAACTTTATTTCCTTTGGGTTTATGAAAAAAAGTGGTTTCGTCACAATTAAACACCCTCTTTAGATTCTGAATGACAGCTTCGATATATTTTTCTTTAAAAACTCAGAAATTTCCGCAAACAATTTGCTTAATGCTTCATTAGTAAGAGCAGCTCTAGGTTTTGTTAAAATTTTGGATGTTTTTAGGTTCAATCTCTAGGTGTCTTTTTTTTTTTAATAAATCATACCAGTGTCTTCCAGATCTGGCGGTTACTTATATAGGTTGTTACACTTTGCTGTTGATTTTTGAAAATTGAATAAGCTCTCTTGGATATGAAGATTAAAAACAAATTTACATTCATATTTTTTTACTAATTAACAATATTAACGTATACCTTCTTTGATTTATTTAAACATAAACATAAAAAAAATATAGAACTCACATTTAATAGCCGTTTGAAGACTTAAATACCATTTCAACCACCTTTTGCGCTCCATTAAGTGGACATGGACAGCATTTGATCCTTTAAATCTACACCGCCCATGTACTTATTGTAGTCGTGTACTACCTTTAGGCTTTAGTATGGGCCGGCCTGCTCTTCTTCCTGGCATCATGTTGGCATTGTGAAAACTCGACACTGTAGTGACTAATCGAACATCTTTCCAAGATAAGACAGATACGTCACCGCAGTGTCTACTTGTCACTGCTCCTCTTGGAACTTTCTTTTCCAGGAGAGTTTTTTTCCCCTGGTGTACCAATTCTTCGCCTGTTTAAAGTACCAACAACGCCAGTCTTATTAAATTTTAAAAATCGTGAAAAACGAAGAATGTACTAAAAATTGTCCATAAAAAGACAGTGACCTTTGTGAAGAAATCCTATCATGAGCCTAAGCACTACCTTGACACTAGCGCTCGTAAATCCATTCAAGGAGTTCTCTCCAGAACTCCATGCCTGTGGATATTCTTTGCCCTTATAGACTTCAAATTTTAAAAGATAGCCTTTTTTTCAGAGTTCGTAAAATTTGATTCCAAATCGTGCTGCTTTTGAACGGATGCATTGAACGAGCAACGATTCATCAATGCAAATTTCTCTGCGAGCCGTGTACATGCTATCAAAAATCATGTTACAATGGTCTATGATAGACTGTATTTTTGCAACTTTCCTCCTAAATTCACAAATACTTACATTATAATTATTCACGAAGTGCAGGAAACGCATGAGGAGCCAGTATCGTTTTAAACTCATAACTTTATGAAAACCACCACCGATAGCCACAATTTCTCTATTCCAGTATTCATCTACTCGTCCAGCTACCACGATTGACATATACATTATGAGCCCAAAAAGCCTATAAAGTTGTTGTCGTCAGTTGTTGTTTCCACCCAATCGTTTATTCGGGAATTCGCAGAGATCCCGTCCACGGATTCGGCAGCCTGCGAAATTTGCTGCCACGCATATTCATTGGTCTGAGCCACAATTAAACTCATTATATTATAATCCCAAACATGAGTGACCAGCTTTAGAGGATCTGTTTCCTCAATGTTAGTGCCACAATTGCTTGCGTTTAAGTATGGCTCAGGCCGACCACAAAATATCTCGTAGTCACAAGACCAGTCGAACGATTCGGCCGGTATTTTCTCCTCCTCATCGACAAAATCTATGGGGTCCTATGGGACTGGACATGTAAACGCCAAGCATTTGATATAGCCATGTCAATCATGTAGGTATACAATACCCACCACCATTTTTTCCATGAATACCGACTCTATGATCTAATAACGAATACGCCAGTGCAATGGATTGATCCAATTCATCTACACCTCCCATGCCTTTTATTATAATTTTGAAATAAACGCGGGATCGTCATGTCAGCTCTCTGCAGATCATCTCTTCACAGTTCCCAACGGCTCATGAGAATCATAATTTGTTGCCATTATGCAAATACTGTTGTCTTTCCAGCGAACTAGAAACACCTCATTTTGTTTATAAAATCTGTAATCGAACTCACCTTTTGCTTTTTTCTTCATATCCTTAGCGTTCTGCAAGATACAAGTTCACTCTGGATCCCAATAAACAGCATACCAGCAAACGCGTAGACACCGTTAGTCAATTCTGTAAGGACCCGGTCAGTTTCGCCAAATACCAACTTCGACGGAACAGATGGCGCTAGCGTAGCAATTTTTTACTTTGACGTCAGAGACATCCTCCATCTTTAATCTCCCCGTGACCACGGCTGCTGCAAAGCATCCGAAACGTCGGGCCGAAGTTAAAAATCATTTTCAAATAAGTTTAACTAATATACCGCGTTTTAAACCGCTAAAGTGTTTTATTTAAATGTGTACTACTCGCGTAAACTATAGACAGTATTTAAGATACAATACAGTTTTTGATGCTTAGAGTAGACGCGAACTCTTTTGCTTTTTCCTTCAACAAGTTCCCGC